ATTTTAAGAGTTAAATATTTCAATTTTCTAATATATAAAATGCAAACCTCCAAAACCATTAATTCTTAGTGTAAATTAACATTGTCTGTCTAAGATATTTGTTCACTTTAAAAACTCCAATACACTTTAGTATTATATAAAAGTAAAATTAATTATGTGCAATAAATAATTTAAAACTATCTAATTATATCATTGTCTAAAAATTATAGAATGCAAAAGTCTCAAATCATTAACTCTTTGTGTAACTTAGCAAATTAATGTCTCTCTTAAAAATACTTTTTTAACTTTTAAAACTCTATACTTTAATATAAAAAATCTCAGTTGTATAAAATTAAATCATGTGCATCATATTATTTTATGGTTTGCTTTATTCTTATTGACTATTTATGTGTTAAAGTTGTTAATTATGATTTATTTTATCATAAAGATATAACATAAATTTATTATAATTTATTTTTTAATGAGTATTGAGCTTCTTCTCTATTTAATTAAAAATAACAGTGTTGAAATTAATTAAATTTATGTACATTGTGCTTTTAGTTAATTACAGTTATTTACTATTAATAGTGAAGAAAGCATTTAGGAGGAAACTTTTTTTTTATATAGATATTTACATAAAATATAAGTTAAGTTTCTGATATTCAATATTTATTTACATTAATTTATTTTAAAATTTAGAAAAATAAATTTAAAGGCTTTAGATGGCGCAACTAAATGTGTATATTTTACAATATATATTTCACTGCAAATGTGTTTTGGTCATCTTTCTCTTTCGTCACTTCATTATATAGACGGCTAGATGCATGTATATACATTGTGCTGGCTCTTTTTTTATTTTCATGATGTCTTTCTACAAAATGTTGAATCGAACCACACTCTTTTTCGTATAGGTAAGATTCGTATGGACTACTACTCATGTTTTTCTGTAATACTATAAATTTACACCGTGTTAATATTGGGGATGTTTCAATTAAACTACATAATTTTTATTTGTTGTTATTCCATTAAATTTGTAGTGAACATAAAATGAGAAATATTCAAAATAATTTAAGATTTATTTTTTATGTCTTGGAAATAAAATGTTGCCACGTTGATTCTATGCAGCTACCGAAATTTAACTTTTTATTTTAAAGATCTGAAGAAGAAGAAGAAAACATTTATAAAACGTGTAACAGTGAAACGAAATTTTCGAATATGACAACCACAAATTTACACGTCAGAACTTAACTCGATGTTTACAAGTTCGTGAGTCAGATCGAATGAAAGAAACTTATCGATCGATAAGAGCCGAATGTTCCTTTAGACCGCTCGATCAATTCAAATATGGTATACGTACGAAGATGTAACTCGATCATCATGAAAAAGATATGCACACACAAAAATAAGAGATAGCTGTATAAATATTCTGCGTGGCTCAATATGACAAAGCATGTGTCATAGCTGTCTTGCGAATAACCTTTTTTTTGTATATATATAACCAGCCTCCCTTTTTTCTTGTGTGGGTTAGCATTTTGTAATAAAACTATATGTATGGTCGTCATACTAATTAATCGATATTTGGTATTGATGTATACGAGTAACGAAATGTATATTCTATTCGTGTAAACATTGTATCTTATGATTAAGTGAAGAAGACGTGCTTTTACGGGTATGTACGCACGGTGGTGCGTTTTAGAGCCGTCACGACATCGTTTTAAAGACCGTTCTCATATTCTTTGATATTGGAAAAAATATCCCTTATTTGCGTCTCGCCATTGCCGTTGACCATGACGTGACTGTATATAATTGTACAAAATAACTCTATAAAAAAAGTCAAAGTGTGTATAGATATGAAAACTAAAAACAGATTTCTTGGGATCACAAGCTAGTCCTTTCGTCAGAGAGACCAATCACACACACAAAAAAAAAAAAAAAAAAAAAAAACGAATGGCTTAGATCAGTTTTTAGTTCAGCAGTTTCAACGATGGATCCCACTACTCTAAAGTGACGACGGCGACGCGTGTCGCTCGCACGTGATGACCCACTCAAACTCAACAACACATTGTAATAAACCTTTCTTTTCTCAAACTTAGATCCAAATGCTTTGTGTCATTCATGATTCATCATCAAACTCTATCTCTAAGTAGAGGTTGTGTACGTGACTGCTTAACTAGATTCTCCTTTCTTCGAAGATGGGTTTTGTTTAACTACTTCAGACCACTACCTTCAACGACGGCGCGTGCATTGACGTAACGTTATGTGTTATTTATAAGAAAAAAAATTAGAAGGTGAGAGAGTCTTTGGACCACATGATCCACTTATGGCCATGACGACCGAGACGATCCAGCATCTTCTTCTTCCATTTCTCTTTTTCTGAACTACACTTTATTAATATGATGACAATTACGTCACGGCACAATTTATATAAATTGGTTTTTTGTAATTTTTTTTTTCTTTTTTCATATACGTTTTCTTAATTCGTTAAGTCTGTTTTACTCTCTCTACATTTACTGAATGTAATTAGTATTCGTTTGAAAAATTACAAAGAACAAACAAAAAAATGAGCCTCGTCTACGGTCTACTGGCCTCTGCCCATTTCTATTTCTGAATACAATTAGTTGTTAAGACGCAGTAGTTCATATCATTTAACTTTTCTGCAAATAAAGTAGTTGTCAGTTTGATTTTGTTCAAGTGTCTTAGTAATTAGTTTCCTTAAAAAATTTGGTTGGACTATCAATTTAAAAATTGGCATCCACAATAACAACAAAAAAGTATATAAAAAACAGTGAATCTCGCCCGCAACAATGTAATAACGAACGCACTAGAAAAAAAAAAAAATTTGGCTATGGAGCTCAAATAAAGAAGTATGAAGATGTTACCTCGATTCTCAAAAGACTCATTGAGCCCAAAACATAATAATTCTCTATATGAATCCTAAACCTTATACAACATATCTAGTATTCATATTACATATGTGAGAACGTTTGATATTAAAATAACTAGGCTATAACACCGAGCAATGATCTTTCAATCGCGACGATTTCATTGTTAAGCACGATTTCAGTGTTTCGGTCATGATTGATTTGTAAGATAAGTATAATCTACTACGAAAGATTTGGTAAAGACACTTTTATGTTAGCAAATAAGATGTGAAATAAAAGGGGTGTATGATATTAAAAAACAAATTGGATTGATATCTCATCATAATTTTATTTCAATAGTTTTAGTTTGTTCTTTATTTCTTTTTAGATTTAAATGAACTACAAAACAACATAAAACTTACAAATTTGACCTCATAGTAAATGATCAGTACTATATTCAACTTCCACAGTTTAAACTTAAAGAAAGTTAAAAGAGTGATTATTGGTAAAGTTTTAGAATTATAGTAAATTCGTTGGTTGTAGGATATATTTATAGTTTTACCAATCCGACACTTATTAGTTGTACATCATATGATTTTTTTAGCTAAATTTACCTTGCACAGTCATTTCATTCGATTTGATATGGCTAATTGGCTAAATGTAAGTATTCAACTAGAATATAACAAGATAAAATGTTTGGGACCAAAAACAAAACATTTTTTATAGAATTAAAAATATTGAGACTAAATCTTAAAGTTTCAGGAAAATGGGGCATGTATTTTGCAATAATAAATAGATTAAAGTTAAAAAGTAAGACAAAATCTTAAAAATTCACAAAAAGTGGAGCCTAATTACAATAAAACCTTTTTTATGGGGTCTAATTTTGAAACTAAAATTATATTTGAAAGGCTGAATACTTGGGTATATGTGGAGGGCCGGGCCTGATTGTACATAAGAAAGCTTTCACTAAAAACAAAACTTTGGCGGGTCATACAGAACATACAACGGACAAAAGTTTACAACTGATGGGGAAGAAAATAAAACAAATAATATAATGAATATATATTTTACGACCCAAATTTCACAAGGCCCATAAATTAGGGTCCATTAAATAATACATGCTACGTGGCACGTGCCATTAGCAACTAGCAACGGGACCTATCAGCTAATCATATACGAGTTGTTGTGTAGTAATCTAGTCAGAGTTAATTAGAGACTCATCAGAGGCGGCTTAAAACTGTTTTGGGTTCTATTTAAATATTGGGTTAACTAAGATGTCGTATTTGTATGTAGAGACTACATATGAACACTTCCAACTTATAAATTAGGACTACCCAACCACTAAACTAGCAAATTACTATGGTTGACTTACAAATGATACTAACAAATATTGTTTTGAATAAAAAGCACTATAATCACTATCCGTATTCACTGTCATATCACTAGCTAACACAAAACAAATAACGTTGGATAAACTAACTTATATAACCATATTTTGTGATGTTTGTTTTGCATACTAATCATAATTTTGACAAAAATGTTAGTTTGTAAGTTGTAACTAACTATGGTCTAATTATGCTATATCCCCTTTACTATGTAGAATTGTCAAATCAAATCTATAACTAGTTTTTGCTTTTGTTTTTTACTGACTCGTCGTATACTCGAGCGTAACTTTCAAAACAAATTGATAGTATCCTAATTAATGGAACTTAGAAAAGTTCATGTCCCATAGTGTCTATGTCGTTTTGATCTGTAACGTCTAAAAGCCCATCAATCCCATGGGGTCGCCACTCTCACTCTTAAATTTCATCTTTACTTGCATATTCAGAAGTTTCAACAAATAAAGCTAGTCGTTTCTTCATATCCACTAATACAAATATCATATTCATATCTACCAAAATCTAATCCTCTCTTCAAAGTTTCCGTGCGTCATTGTTTTCCCCTTACCTAAGATTTTCTTAATCCATGTTTTAACTAATAATTTCACTTGCAAGCGTATAAATAAATACTAGAGACAAAATAATACTAACTTAGATGTGATAATTATGTTTTGCCTTTTTTGTTATTATCAATATAGTAAGTATAATTAGTTGGAAATAAAATAGTATTAATTATTTAGACAATTTTGTCCTTATTTTTTCCACAGTTTATAAAGAAGTCTCAAGAGGAGACCAAACTGATAAAGGCCTAAATAAAAAAACAGAGTTTTCTCTCTGGATCACATTATCTCTTCTTCTTCTTCTTCCTCATGGATTCATCAAGAACTCGAAATGTATCTAAAAGATCCGATCCCGTTAACTTTCCGGCGAAGTCATCTCGGAGATCTTTATCTTCTTCTTCTTCTTTCTCATCCTTCTCCTCATGCTCATCTAACTCCCTTGTGTTTCCCGGCGACTCTCCTCTGAATTCTCCGGCGACTCCTCTCCGTCTCCTCGGTGTTCCTTTCTCATGGGAACAGCTACCCGGGAAACCTAAAGACTACTCTCATAGACTCAAAAGCTGTGGAAACGACGAATCTTCGAATCTATTACCCCTCCCTCCTCACCGGAGTGTTTCCTTTCCGGCCACGAAGAAAAACCCTAAATCTAACAGCTCCTGTAAGAAGCAAAGCTACCCTGTGACCGTGAGAGACCCCTTCGCAGCTGCGTTGTTGGAATGTTCCAAAGACGAAGGAACAAACAGTGGCGACGAGGAAGACGACGGTGTTGAAGAAGTAGATCGGAGGTTTCAAGAAAATTCCGGTGGTTCAAGCAAGGCTTTGTCTAAGAGCAGCATCGGGGACAGGTTTGGGTTAGTGAATCTCTACGGTTCTTGTCGGAGAACTTGTGCAGTTTCAGAGTCCATTGTTTATCTTCCAAGATCAAGAAAAGCTGCTCCGTACGATCATCATCTTCTTCTTCCACGTCGTCGCCGTTGATTGTTTCGTATTTTGGTGATTTACATTATATATTTTTTCTTGGTTTTATTATATTTTCTGTATAATTTTCTCTGAATGTGACATATTATGGGTTTGTGTGTTTTTTATTTTTGGTCTATAGATCGTAACACGAATGTATAATTTCGGGAACTTGTTTACTTGTAAGTTGTAACCAACCATGAATCCATATAAGCATATTCACTTACATAAGTATTTTAGTGTGATAACTTGTTAAAGACTTTAATTAATTATACAGTACTACAGTATAATATTCGCATTCAATTATTTAAACTTTGGTGGAACCAAGTTTGAAGGTTCTGTCATTGATCTCTAGCTAGTTTCCAATCCCATTCCATGTGAGAGCAAGCTAGGCTATACGTGCACATAAAAATACAAAGTAACATAACTCTGATTAACTTGTTATATACACTAGGATTTTAAACAAGGACACGAGTTTTGTACTGACATTTGATTTTGTTGTTTTTTACCATTTTGACAACGATGTTGTTTTATAGCATGCCTAGTAAATGATGTTATTTTAGCATGCCTAGGGACTTTGAGCTATGTTTTTGGTATTTTCATAGAGTTTTGGAAGTCTCTATAGAAGTGGATCTTTCATTATTGTTGTTAGCACAAGGCAATAATTTAAGAAGAAAAAAAAAAAACAAAGTTGTTGAGCCACCATGCATGTCTTTGCACCAAGTATTTTTCTTATACGTTTTTCACTAAATTATAAAATAAAATTTTCTTCTTAATTAGATGGAGTTTCAATCTTTATTTATTGTTAATAAAGACACTGTCTCGGCTTGTTTGGGGGTTATAAAATAGACTCCACCTTCCTATATTTGTGATATCAAAATGACTTCCCTGGAAAAAGAAAATAATTCCATTCGTACCACTAAACTACCAATCAATAATTTTGATTTAATTTTCATTATTTAGAGAAAGTGGATCGAAAAAAAAAAATTTGTAGTAAAATACAAAACAATTCAAATAATTGATAAGTTTTAAAATTAAAATCATTTATATACTAAGTATGTATAGATTACAGTGTATACAATCTGACGTAAAGTATAAAATTTGGTTTAAAACTGAACTATGAAAGGTGTGTGTATATATACAACACATTATCAGATTATGAAATAGCCATTTTTCAAAGTAATTTTGTTTACTCTTTGTATTGAAATAATTTTAGATATAATCATAGTCTCGATATAAGAAGAAAATGTTCATTTATTGAGAATTCATTTGTTACACATGTACTGTACATGAATTAGGCTTGTGCTGCTAACTTTGTGTGTGTGTGGTTGTAACGTTATATATGTGATTGAAGAACAGGGACCCCGAAGAAGTAAATAGTAGCAAGTACACTAATATATCAAATCTGCTCACTATGCAAGTATGCAGTGAAAAAATTGAAGTCCAATAGTCAAAAAGTTATCTAGTTTCGTATACTCAAAAATACTGTTTCTATATTTGAAATGCTTACGCAACTCTCATATGATGTAATATTTGAATAGTCATTGACATTTTATGTCCCACGCTGTAGTTAACATGTCTTGATCGTTCTTAAGAACATTTTACATCAAGTTGTTTGGTTTAGCGTACAAATTTAATAATATTAATTTATAGTTTTGGTTTTAAATTATAAGACTAAATGTGTCACGCAATTCAAACATGTCAAATTCTTCAGGCTAGGGAACTACTTGTATATTCCCTGAGGTTTTGTACCTGTTGTTGTCTTTTGTTTACTTAAGATTTGTGATACCAGTTTGAAACGTATTAGATACTAATACAGTATATGATAAAATACTCGCCACAGGATTGTTCCATTTTATCTTCTCTTTGTATTTTAAATACGTATTTGTATCATTATAATGTAAGGTCCGTAGTCAAGCTCGCAAACACGTCTACCTAGCAAATACAAAATACTAATTATATATTATTAACGCTTGTAAATATCACAGTCTGGTGCTACAAAAATTGAATATGAATAAATAAATAACAGTGAAATTTGCTATTGTGAGATATTTTTCTAAAAAAACGAATTGTGTTTTCGTTAGAACTAAGTAAGTATGGAGTAGGATCACCGAGAGGGATTAGTGGGGAGCCAAAAGAACCTAAAAAAACGTGGGACGATATTAATGATGACCTATTTCTAAGACTAACATAATTAGACACAAATTTAATATGAACATTTAGTACATTACATTACCTTTCATCATTGTCTGCTATGTATTCGCGTGTGTGCTTTTTACATTATTGACTTATATCTCAATATTATAATGCCAATTACTCTAAACATTAGTGATATATAGATCCCTAAATATTGAACACATTTTGGTTTATTTTGTATTGATCAGATTCTGAAGTATATTCAAATAAGTTGTAGTAACTAATAGATGTGAAAAAAAATATTCAGCAGCAGTGGCATATATATGTGTGTGGGCATGTGCATAATATAATAAATGAGAATTGGATGAGACAAGATGGACCGCTATAAGTGATTGAGATATGTAGCTAGCTTGCGACTAAAGACACCATTATCATCATGTCCTCCTCCTCTTTAGCACATGGAATAAACACAATATATACTTTATAAAGTTATAAATCTATGAAATATATATGGATCAAAGCATACGAAGCAGAGTCCAGTACTTATGCTATATGTAAACGCATCAAATCCAGAGAAAATTGCAGTTAAAATTCAGGATACTTGAGCGACAAACAAGCTGATAGTATTCTTTCTTCACTTAAAGAGTAATTTGCACAACATATGTAACATCATACGCCAATGACTATTTTAATGTAAAGTTCGTAAATCTTGAATTGCATACATTTACGAGGGGTGTGTGTCTGGGTAGTGGAGATAGTGGATAATAATCATATCGAAGCTAGGTCGGTTTCAGTCATCAATACTATACGGGTTTTGAATTCACCCCCAATTATTATGAAAAAGATTAGGCTATATGTACTAATACAAACAGAGTACATGTTTTCAATATTTAACATTATTATACTTAAGACATCACCATTCTTTCATATTTATATGTTGATTCATTTATTTATATTCTAGATAATAAGGATTTAGCTTTAAGAAAATGAGATATAAAAGGAACCTGAATATATATATCCCCACTGATATATGTAGTCATGGGGAGGATCCTGAACTTGACACTGCACACAACTACAATCGATTTTAGAGAGACATTTTCTAATTAACCACAACTAGACCTAGCTACCATAAACATACAATGCTGCATAGTGAAGAAGTGAACACAACTACAAGTCATTTTAGAGAGACATTTCATAACCACAACTAGACCTACCATGCATAGTGAACATAAGACACCAGAACTGCTTGACACTAGTCCACAACGACTTGATGTAAATCTACATCTCGTCGAAGACAAACTAAACAGTCATTGTAGTACATAAGGCAAACCAAGATAAGAAAAAAATATAATCAAAAATTACACATGTACAATCCAACATAGAGCATGCACGGATACTCAATCTCCCTGTTCATAATTGAGCCGGCTTTCCTTATTCAGTGCTATGGTTTCTTGTCGCAACTTCAAATCGTAATTTGAAACTCGAATTAAAAGCTCAATTAAGCTTAAGTGAGATTGTTTTGTTTTTTTTAAAATGGGCCTTGAGGATATAACATGCTGCAATTAAAGTATTCAGGGGCTTAGTTTAAGGCCGCCGTTAAGAAAAGACTTTAAACTAACCAAAAAAGAGGCCCGTTACACTGAAATCAACATTCATAATAAAGAATATAGTACAACTTAATATATTACAACTTGCAAGGTTTAAGAAACAAAAGTAACTCAATAATAATTATTTTTTGGGTGCAAAATGACTTAAAATTATTTTGCATACAAAACAAAACCTAACAATGACAAGATACGACTTATAAGCTAATTAATGTGTATCATTGGTTTTGGATAAGAATTTTTATTACAAATTAATATACTTATTATTTGATTTGATACCAAAGGGACCGTCATGTTCCGCTGTCTCCAAGAGTTAACGAACATCCACAAGTTATCTGTATAATTATTAGTTCAAAAATTATAAAAATACAAGTTTCCACATCTTTGGTTGACTGTTTGTTCGAGAAGAAAACATCAAACAAGAGATAAAGATCTAGTAACACCTTCTAGTTATAAAACTAATACTGCCCAAAAAAAAAACTAAAAAAAAAACTAATAATTGCCATTCTTTTATTTTAAATTATGTAACTTAACATGACAAACCTCAACATCTTTATAGTCTGTAAACAAAAAATTCAGAAATTTGACTAATAAGTTGTAAAAAAAGTGAATATATATAATTGTTTTGAAAGGATTAGAATTTTGAGATTAGATACAATTTGGGACGTTTTAAAACAATGAGTGGTAAAACCAAATGAATCAACAGATGACGGATCCACAAAACCAAAACCATGAGCTCATGACTCCACTTATTAAAACGTGTATTTGTGTTTTTTAAATAGATGATACTAGATGCTGACAAAGTAACCTAACAAAACCCGAATCGGAGAAATCCAGATAATAATACTATTACATAGAGACAGTTTTAGTAATAAAAAGTTTCCAAATCTCATCTCTTTTTCTCTCTCTATCTCTCTGTCGGCTCAAGAACCCTAAACATCTCCAGAAAACCAAAAGATCCTCCTCCTCTTCAACCTACCCCATTCTCGATCTGAGTCTTCTCGGGTGTTTTTTTTAAATTTGTTTCCTTGGTATGGTTTAGACTTTTGTGATTTAAATGGAAGCTGACGTGTCAATTTCCTAAACACCCTTATCGCCAAAATTTCCCAGAAACTAAACAGAACGAAACAATCGAAACTTTGGTCTTTGTTCGTCGATTTGTTGAAGGAGCACGGTAGGGACGATGAATCGTGCTTTGGTCCTACTTTTACACGTTTTCACTGTTTCTTCTTTAGCTTCTGCCAAAGTTATTCTCATGAGGAACAACATCACTCTCTCTTTTGATGACATCGAAGCTAATTTCGGTTAGTTTCTTACCTCTTTGATCCCTACCCTCCTCTGTTTTCGTATGCATCGATTCTAATTTGTCAGGGTTTTTGAATCTGTCTTTGGGTCAACGCACTTACTTTGAGGGTAATGATTGAAAAAGATGAGATTTTTAATATGTTTATTGCCAAATTTACCAATTTTTGCAGCTCCGTCAGTGAAGGGTACAGGTGAAATCGGAGTGGTTTATGTAGCTGAGCCTCTTGATGCATGTCAGAATCTGATGAATAAACCAGAACAGAGCTCTAATGGAACTTCCCCTTTTGTGTTGATTGTAAGAGGAGGCTGTAGTTTTGAAGATAAAGTGAGGAAAGCTCAGAGAGCTGGTTTTAAAGCTGCCATTATCTATGACAGTGAAGACCGCGGAACCTTGATAGCAAGTATGATCCATTCTTCTTTCGTTTCTCTGTTGATCCCCTATGATTCTAATTGCTCTGCTGGTTTTTTGTAGCTTCAACATTGGGCATGTTTAGTTCATGTTTACTGATATTTCTTGAGTTTTTTTATCAGTGGCAGGTAACTCAGGCGGTATAAAGATTCATGCGGTTTTCGTTACAAAAGAAACGGGAGAAGCGTTGAAGGAGTCTGCGGGGTTTCCCGATACGAAAGTTTGGTTGATTCCAAGTTTTGAGAACTCGGCCTGGTCAATCATGGCGGTTTCATTCATTTCATTGCTGGCAATGTCGGCTGTTCTCGCTACTTGTTTCTTTGTCCGTAGGCATCGGATTAGAAGGCGGACAGCATCTCGGTCCTCTCGAGTCCGTGAGTTCCACGGGATGAGCCGCCGCTTGGTGAAAGCAATGCCGACTCTTATATTCAGTTCGTTTCATGAAGACAACACTACTGCATTCACTTGTGCTATATGCCTGGAAGACTACAATGTCGGAGACAAGCTCAGGCTCCTGCCTTGCTGCCACAGTGAGTATCTATATTCTATACAACTGTAACTTGGAAACATTTGTTGGAACCAGCTAATAAATATATGTTTCTGCTTTTGGATGTGTGTTTTCAGAGTTTCATGCTGAGTGTGTTGACTCGTGGCTAACCTCTTGGAGAACTTTCTGCCCGGTGTGCAAACGAGATGCAAGAACGAGCACGGGCGAGCCTCCGGCTTCAGAGAGCACGCCATTGCTCTCATCCGCTGCATCGTCTTTCAACTCCTCCTCTCTGCATTCATCAGTCAGATCATCCGCACTACTGATTGGTCCATCCATAGGCTCATTACCCTCTTTCTCTCCCGCATACGCAAGCTCATCATATATCAGACAATCGTTCCAGTCTTCCTCTAACCGCCGGTCTCCTCCAATAAGCGTAAGTCGCAGCTCTGTTGATCTCAGGCAACAAGGAGCTTCTCCATCTCCATCACCTTCACAGAGATCATACATTTCTCATATGGCTTCTCCACAATCACTGGGTTACCCGACAATTTCCCCATTCAACACGAGATACATGTCATCGTACAGGCCTAGCCCGAGTAATGCGTCACCTGCATTGGCCGGTTCATCGAATTATCAATTCCATCCGCTACGTTACAGTGAATCAGCCGGAACTTTCTCTCCATACACCTCTGCAAACTCGCTTCCTGACTGCTAAATAACCAAACGGTCTTGGTTCAGGTCATATAAGATTATTTTCTTTTGCATTTGAGTTTTTACTACGAAACGTACGAGTGCTGTTTGTGTGTGTAACGGTGCATTATATAGTCTTTTGGTTGAGATGAACATCTTTCGGGTTTAGGTTAGAGATTTTAATACTTCCACAATACACAAACTCGGTTCCTTTGTAGAAATATGAGCTTATGTATATATACGTTTCTCTTCTTGTTGCTGTTCCACAGTATACAAACTCGGTTTTGTATGTCATGATTCTTTTCTTTTCCTTATAACAACTCTAGCTGTTACCACGAGTTCACCAACATACATCTTTGTGATACCACAAGATTCATAGTGCCGTATTCCTGTGAACATTGTAGAACAGGCCCAATAGAGAGTTCATGTTAATGATATTAATTAGGCCCAATAGTGAGTCCATTTTCTAAAAACGACATCGTTTAGTTGATTTATGTAATTTGGTAACTGGGACCAAGTAGACGAAAAGAAACTGAAGTGAATGAAAACTCAATCCCACCGTTTGGCCGGACTTTTCTCCTCCGGCGTCGTTGAGGATCTCCGGTGGTTTGGAGAATCATTCTCACCATGCCGATGAGGCACCTCAACGCAATAGTGGTGTTACTTATGATGTTCTTTACTCTCTTAATCCTCTCTTTCACAGGCATTTTAGAATTCCCATCTGCCTCAACTTCGATCGAGCATTCGATAGACCCGGGATCGAAATTACCTGATTCAACATCGGATCCATTCAGTGATGTCCTCGTAGCTTTTAAAAAATGGGACTTTAAAGTGGGTTGTACTCGGTTCAGGGAGAATCATAAGGATTTGATCCGGGGCAATGTTAGTTCGGGTTCTTTACAAGTATCTGGTGGTGGGCTGGGTTGTGGTAAGCTTGAGATGGAGCACGTTAAGGTTTTGGTGAAAGGGTGGACTTGGATTCCGGATAATTTGGAAAATTTATATTCTTGTCGATGTGGGATGACTTGTTTGTGGACTAAATCACCGGTTTTGGTCGATTCACCTGATGCTTTGTTGTTTGAGACAACAACTCCTCCTCTACAGGTAAATTACTTGTTTGATTGGTGATTAGTTTATAGATTTGGATGATTAGGACAGGTAATATCACACTTTCTCTTTTGTTTACCCCAAATTGGATGTAATCTTGTAATGTCAGCTGCATTCTAGCTCTTAAGTGGTGTGTTTAGGTTCTCAATGCTTGGAATAGCTGTGGATTAGTCTCAATAGCTACACTTCAGTTGATCTGAGTGTGGTCTCATGTCTGAGTTTGAAGCTTTTGAGTATTATGGTAGGGTTGACCATTGAGTGTTTATGGTGTTTTCAAATGAAGCTACTAGAGAAAATCTTTTGGTTTTGGGATTCACTCAAAGATAAACGAAAGTGTGCACAAAAATTTCTTGTTTCAGTCCGGTTATCACGACTGCCTATATGGTTCAAGAATTTTGGCTTAGAAACTTTGTGTACTGCTGTTCTTGTCTTGGCCAATTTCTGTTCCGACTTGCGAAACTTGCTTGATACTAATTTGGAGCGGCTTGTGCATTCATTTTGGAAATTGGGAGATAGATTTGGATGTTCAGGGCAAATTAAAATCTCAGAGCCTTTTATTTCCCATGAAATATGATGTCTGGATCCTTGAGTGTCATTATAGTGATCTTTCAGTTATTGGATTCCGATGATGCTGAGTTGCTTACTTTTTTCCTTAGAGACATGTTGGAGATCCGCTCCGTGTGTACATGGAGTTAGAGGCCGGAAGAAAACGCTCAGGCCGTGAAGATATATTCATCAGCTACCATGCCAAAGACGATGTCCAAACAACCTATGCTGGTGCGCTCTTTCATAATAACAGAAACTATCACATCTCTCCACATAAAAATAATGTAACTAACCTTTTCAACTCCAATTCCATACGGTTCTTCTTTCATTTTTTCGCTTTTTAATTCGATTGATTGTATTTCACAGGATATTCTAGTGTATTGGTCTTCCTCAAGATGCCTCCCTCACAGAGATCGCCTCGCAAAGAGCTTACTCGATTTGATTCCGCAACATTCCTTTGGTAAGTGTCTAAACAATGTCGGAGGCTTGGACTCAGCGCTCTCTATGTATCCAGAATGTGTTGCCGAGTCCAACGCTGAGCCAAAATGGTACGATCACCTCCACTGCGCTATGTCACACTACAAGTTCGTCCTTGCAATCGAAAACACAGTCACTGAATCATACGTTACCGAGAAGCTTTTCTATGCGCTCGACTCGGGCTCTGTTCCGATATATTTTGGAGCCCCTAACGTGCAAGACTTTGTCCCTCCGCATTCTGTGATCGACGGTACCAAGTTCGGCTCGATGCAGGAATTGGCAGCTTACGTGAAACGCCTAGGTGATGATCCTGTAGCTTACTCAGAGTACCACGCGTGGAGGCGGTGTGGACTAGTGGGGAATTACGCGAAAACCCGTGCAGTGAGTCTCGATACGTTGCCGTGTCGGTTGTGCGAAGAGATTAGCAGAAGAGGCGGGAAGAAAGCCGGAGTTTGACAAATCCACCGGTGGTTTTACATGTGTGAGATTGTTACATTTAGAGTGTTTCTGTAAATGTTATCTCATCTGCTCACATCATAAAAGTAAATTCAATCAAAAATTGAAATCTTTCAAAATATCTAGATCTTAGACATGGGTATTCAAAATTATATCAAAAATTCAGAACATTGTCACATTTTCAAATCTTAGGAAAAAGAAAGATAAATTTAATGATAGTTAAATACTAAAATATAATAAATACTTATTTTGCGAAAAAGAAGAAGATAAGTTCCTTCTTGTAAATATAGCAAACAGAAATAAAAAATTGATATACACAAACGTGTAAGTCATAAAATAATTTGATACTTTTACATCAAATTACATACATTTGTCTTCTTTTAACAGCTTTGTAAAGAAAATATGAGATCAGATTTTTAAGCTAATCATACTGAATTTTCTATAAAATCACCATAAATAAAACATAACAAATATACACAAGAAGTTCATAAAAAGAAAGAAAGAAAATAGAAATGGACAATAACAAAGATATGCTGAGATATATTTCTATCCGCGACAAAGCCTACGCTCCAATGAACACGTTTTGACAGCTTCCAATATCTTTCTCTATACATATGGGTTTCTTCTCTTAACGTCAATTTTTTTTTTCCTTCTCTCTTGAGCGTTCTTCGTGTATCACCGATGGACCGACCAAAGAAACGGGACGTGCTACGAGCTGTGAATTCGATGAGCTGTCTATCGGAAAATGGCGAGAAAAAGGGAGCAGAACGGATCCGAGCAGTGAACTCGGTGTGTTCGATATCGGAAATGACGGATGAACACCTACTGACTCGGATGCTAGACCGACCAAGACTTAAACTCGAACGGAAAAAGTCATTCGATGAGACGTCTTTAAGCCTTTACGACAGTGCACATTCATTAGACGGTAGGTCTGGTTGGGATACGCCTGTTTTCTCCATGAAAGACTCGTTAGACCCTAACCCAATGGTCACAGAAGCTTGGGAGGCTCTGTGTCGGTCTCAGGTCTACTTCCGGGGTAAACCAGTAGGAACCATTGCAGCTTACGATCCTGCTTCCGAGGATGCCTTGAACTATGACCAGGTACATTATTTTGTGTTTGTTTTTCAGATTTACAGCCGATGGTTACACTATTCTAAATATTGGGGGAGTAGTGGAACGTTTTGGCCTAACTAAATCAAACATAAATGTTTTGTCTCATTACAATAATTGTTGTCTATTTGTAAGGTGTTCGTACGAGATTTTGTACCGAGCGCTCTAGCATTTCTGATGAAAGGAGAGTCCGAAATTGTGAAGAACTTTCTCCTGAAGACGCTTCATATCCAGGGGCAAGACAAAAGAATCGACAGGTTCAAGCTTGGTGATGGTGCAATGCCAGCGAGCTTCAAAGTTCTCCATAACCCTATCAAGGAGACTGATACCATCATTGCTGACTTTGGAGAGAGTGCCATTGGGAGAGTGGCTCCTGTTGACTCTGGCTTCTGGTGGATCATTCTCCTCCGAGCTTATACTAAGTCTACAGGAGACCTTTCTTTAGCCGAGAGACCTGAGTGCCAAAAGGGAATGAGACTTATTCTCTCTTTGTGTCTCTCTGAGGGCTTTGATACGTTTCCGACTTTGCTTTGCGCTGACGGTTGCTCCATGATTGATCGGAGAATGGTAAAACTCGCTTACATCCTCTTGCCTATGTCATTTCATAAATCCAAGAAACGAACACGTTTAAGTATAGTGACCTTCTTTTCAGAATCTTTGAAGTTTGAAGTCATACAAGCTATTGTAAACTTGATGTTCTATTGCAGGGAGTTTATGGGTACCCGATCGAGATCCAAGCCCTCTTCTTCATGGCTCTTCGTTCTGCACTCTCTATGCTGAAACACGATTCCGAGGGAAAAGAGTTGATGGACAAGATTGTGAAGCGGCTGCACGCGCTGAGCTTCCACATGAGAAGCTACTTTTGGCTCGACTTCCAGCAGCTCAATGACATTTACCGTTACAAGACAGAGGAATACTCACACACCGCAGTGAACAAGTTCAACGTCATCCCTGACTCTATCCCTGATTGGATCTTCGACTTCATGCCTCTCCGAGGTGGCTACTTCGTAGGAAACGTCAGTCCTGCCCACATGGATTTCAGATGGTTCGCATTGGGAAATTGTATCGCAGTTCTTTCCTCCTTGGCCACTCCTGAGCAGTCCAATGCCATCATGGATCTGATTGAGGCCCGGTGGGAGGAGCTGGTCGGAGAGATGCCTTTGAAGATATGTTATCCGGCTATGGAGAGCCACGAGTGGCGGATTGTCACAGGTTGTGACCCTAAGAACACAAGGTGGAGTTACCACAACGGAGGCTCATGGCCAGGTGAGTTGCCTTCTTTTACAAGTCATTGATATATGAGATAACATAATTGATTGAGAATATGTTTTTTGTCAACCACTTTCAAAGACTTTAAATATATAGTAACATGAGCAAAAAAAATGAAAGAAAGATAATATATGCAAGACATGAGTGATTGAAAAATATTGTACTCCTTATAATATACTACATATAGTAGAATTGGGAATCCGATGCCTCTTGGGATTATATTGCCGTCAATGAGAAAAAAGAAAAAAAAAAACTAGCCTAGTAGAATATGTTTTTCATAATGTTTTGTTTTATTCTTCTAAACACACATTTGATTATTAGTGTTTTTTTTTTCGTTTGGGATAATCATTAAACTAATATTGTTGTCTCTCATGTGGGGTGATATGCAAAATGAAGTGCTCCTATGGTTGCTAACGGCGGCCAGCATAAAGACAGGAAGACCACAAATAGCAAGACGGGCAATAGACTTAGCGGAGGCACGGCTGTTGAAAGATGGATGGCCGGAGTACTACGACGGGAAGTCGGGAAGGTTCATCGGAAAACAAGCTAGAAAATTTCAGACATGGTCGACCGCTGGCTATTTAGTAGCCAAGATGATGATGGATGATCCAACGCATGTAGGAATGATCTCAATGGAAGAAGAGAAACATATGAAACCTCTTCTTAAAAGATCTTCTTCTTGGACTTGATGTGCGTCTTCTTTTTTTTGTCTTGTTATTTACTGTAGCCCTTTCATAATTACCATTGACAAACCACAAAAATATTCTTTAACACCCCAAAGTTAATTTTATGTGGAAATTTCAACTATGGTTGTCTTGACTTGAGACCACTTTGGTACTAATACGGACCACCAGGTAAATAAGGGATGGGTGTGTAGTAGGAGCCATTGACTATTGACCATTGACCAATCAAATTCTCTTCTTACAAGACACAATCCGAAAGGAACAAATTAGAAAAATAGACGACTAAATATAAAACAGAATACGACCATTCGATTAATATCATGTACGTCTGTAAACCCCACACTTGCAGACTTGCAGTAATATTTTGGGTACTTTTACTAAGTCAAACACAATAAAATCGCATGTAACTAAAGACTACTAATTTGAAGACAAAAAAAAAAACTAAAAAACGTATTAATTTATGTTTGATGAATCTTGTTTTGAGGTTATGAATGTTTTCGAATTTTGAATGTATATACAGTATGTGAATAAAATAAAAATATGTTTCAGTGCATTTAGGTAGACTAGAAAAAGTAGGTTGAACACTATGAACCTATACACAAAAAGTAAAAGTAAATTCTTTATCCACAATATTAATAACACCATAGACCATATAAATATACTTAGATAGCTCATATCTGTATACAAAATGAGCAAATCATATATATATAGTAATGTTTAAGGAATTTTGATCGTGAAATTTCATAGAAAAAACTTGGGAAAAAGAATCGTTAAGTGATCATAATTTTCTCTGATTTTCATGATCAAACATCATAGTTCTAAGTTCTAACAAAAAAAATAAAAATAAGTATTGGATCGCACGTTGAGTTACTTTATACTACTTGACAGGGGTCAACGAGTTTTTGCTTTTTGTGTCCTTGTTTCATTCCAGATTTTTAGGCCAATTTAAATACATTTAGTGGGAAAAACGGTAAAATATGTTTTTTTTCTACTTTTGTCAATGTATTCAATAATATATCATCGAGTTGAAAACTTGAAAATTGAAATAAAAAAATTAGTGATAAACTCAGGAGATAAACAAGAATAGTGATGAGTCTCTTTCAAAATTCAAAGATTTAGCTTTTTTTCATGTGGGAATAAGAATAAGAAAAAGAAGACTAAAACGGGTTGTTGAAGAGAGTGATTAAACATGAATCACCGCTCACCAGTAACGTCTTTATCTATCGACAAGAAAGAAAAATAAAAAACATATTTAAAAAAATGGTGAGTGGATCAGTATTATTAGCAACCACCAGATAGAATATAATTAACTATAATAAGATTGATTAATCTTTCTTTTCACTAATAATAATTTACCTAATTAGGTGTTTATAGAATTTCTTAACTAGTAGTCTATCGTGACTCTGATTCTAGCTTTCAAATGTGAATTAATTTAACCAACAACAATTTCAAAATTGGAACTAAAGTACACATCAAAAACACTCTAAATTGAAAGAGCTAATTAGGTGAATTATCACATATTATTCAAACCCAAAGATTATCAAACCTAGTTCTTATTTACCTTCATACTATTACTATATAGTTTTAAGAGAGCTCCATATTGTGTAAGAGTGTTCAATTTTATTGAATTAGTTTGCATAATTAACAAAAATTAAGAAAGATTAAGAATGGCCATTTTAAATAACAATGGCAAAAGCAAAGAAGGTGGTGGTGTTTAAAGAGACAGAAACAAAGAACAGTGTATGTAAGGAAACAAATAAGTCAATAAAGGTTGAAGAGAGAGAGAGATGGATTAGTTTCCTTTTCCTCTTCCTCACTCTGCAAATCACACACCAATTCATATCCACTTGTTTTTATATCTCCTCAATCATTCTCTCTTCTCTCTCTCTCTCTCTCTCTCCTTCTTCACAAACTCCATTATAGTAGCAGTAAAGCTCACATCTCCTTCCTCCTCTTAGTTAGATTAGATCTCCTTTCTACAGTCACTGCTTCTCTTTGATTCTTCCTTCAAATCAAAAAGCTTCACTCAGATTATGCAGGATTCGATGTCAAGACTCGGAATTCTCTTTGGGTTTCTTTAAAAATCACATCTTTAGTTTAAAAAAGCGTTTTTTTTTTTTAACTGTTGAGAAGCTTAAAGGAGATACTTATATGGAGCTTCGCACGAATCAGAATTCTGCGGCGGAGTCGACCCTTCAGCTTAATTCCGGTGATAAACCGTCGCCGGGATCAATTCCTTTTGTCGGAGCTATGTCAACGACGACTTCGAGTTCTACGTCTAATTCAACAAGCACGAGCTCGGGCACTGCTCTCGCCGTAGTTAAATCCGCCGTGAAAAAGCCGTCTAAAGATCGCCACACTAAAGTCGATGGCCGTGGCCGGCGAATTCGTATGCCGGCGATGTGCGCCGCTAGAGTTTTTCAGTTGACAAGAGAGTTGGGACACAAATCCGATGGAGAAACCATCGAGTGGCTTCTCCAACAAGCTGAGCCAGCTATCATCGCTTCTACTGGCACCGGTACGATTCCGGCGAATTTCTCAACGCTTAACGCCTCCTTGCGCGGTGGTGGCTCTACCCTCTTTTCTCAGTCGTCAAAGTCTGCTTCTTCGCCGCTCTCGTTTCATAGCACAGGGATGTCTCTGTATGAGGACAGTAACGGTACTAACGGTTCATCGGTTGATCCTTCTAGGAAGTTACTTAATTCCGCTGCTGCAGCAGCCGCTCAGCAGAACGCAGCTGCTGTTTTCGGGTTTCATCATCAGATGTATCCGCCTATAATGTCCACGGAGAGAGCTCCGACTAATTTAGTGAAACCTCCGTATAGAGAAGATTACTTCAAGGAGCCTAGTTCTGGAGCAGAACCAAGTGGGAGTTCTCAGAAACAGGGTCAGTTCCAGGATCAAGAATTAGGTCCTGGTCGTGCCACGGCTAATGTGGTGCCTCAACCTATGTGGGCGGTTGCGCCAGGGACTACAAACGGAGGAAGTGCGTTCTGGATGCTTCCGATGAGCGGTTCGGGTGGGCGGGAGCAGATGCAGCAGCAGCCGGCTCACCAAATGTGGGCATTCAATCCGGGGAATTATCCGGTTGGGTCAGGAAGAGTTGTAACTGCACCAATGGGGTCAATGATGTTGGGAGGCCAACAGCTAGGATTAGGAGTGGCAGAGAGCAACATGGCGGCTACAATGCGTGGTAGTAGAGGCGACGGTTTGGCCATGACTCTAGATCAACATCAACACCAGCACCAACATCAAGAGCCCAACCAAACTCAAACTAGTGAAAACGGTGGTGATGACAAAAAGTGATACAACCACCCTCTTGATCATTCTAATGACAGGCCACACTCGCGTTTAAAGATTCGCGATCTGCGGTTTGGCGATTAGCAACTCCAGTCGTAAAACAGGTTTTGGCGGTTAAATGCTGCCATGGCTAAATGAAAGATATGATGAAAACAGATGTGGTTTCTAAGCTTTTGAACATATTTGTCACATCATTTGTGGGGTTTTTGTGTGTGTGTTTCTGGCTTTCATCTTTTCTTTTGATTGTGAGTTTGATTAATAGATATGTGAATATGTTGGTCTTTCTTGATTTTTGGGAGATCTTTCTACGATTCATTCAAATGGATCAAAAGCAGAGTTTGAGAATTTCATAAAAAACTATTCAAAAGCTGAGAACAACAGCGTCATAAGGAACTCAAACCAGATGCCTGCTTCCTGTGCTGGAGGATAACTGCAAAGACAGGAATCAACACACACCGTAGCTGAAAGCTGTAAGGAGCCTAGAGACTACGATAAGCAGAAGCAGAGTATCAAGCAGTTGCCGCTTCGACTTCGGTTCAAAAACTTGGTGTCATAATCAGATACTCGACCAGTCCTCTATTGTGAGAATGTTGGCGCCATGTATCTATGTCCTAATCCCACCTCTCACTCTCACATGAAACATGTAGCTGTGGACTATCACTGTATACTTGAGCTAATACAGTCCGGATTTGGGTGTCATCATGTCTCGTTGAAAGTTCAGCTTGTTGATGTATTAATGAAGCCAATACTGAGATTGGTACTTGAAGCACACTCTTTCAAGGAATACAAATATAGAACTATCTTCCTTTACAGAGACATCATGAGACCTTGGTATGCGAGATTGGTGTAGCTTACAATACCGGTTGTTAGGTATGGAGCATCGGGGCATCCTCTGTCAGTTGCGGCTTTTGCCAATCTGGTTTGATCAATTTTCAAACTTGATCTCTCTACCTATCTCCCTTCTATCACAGATCTCTGTTATGTTGTTTTGATAGGAAACTAGCAAAATTTAGTTCAAGAGATGTCTTTCTTGGCGTTTGCAAGATCTTTCTACACAAAACTTCCAATTCGAAGCAACGTAAAAAAAAATATATCCATATCGGATTATCATTATTGCAGTATTAAACTGCCAGAAAAAGGAGGAAGAATTAGGAAAAAAACAAACACTTTACCATAACAATAAGACTTGTAGCTAAGGTCCAAAGGGAGAAAAGAAACTCTCTTGCAAAAGCAGAGTTTAAGAATTCATACAAATTATTCAAGCTGGGAACACACAAGTTTCCTGAGTGACTCAACCAGAGGCGGTCTTCCTCTGCTGGAAAACGACTGCAAAGATAGGAACTCCAACACCGATGCTGAAAGCAGTGAAGACACCAAGAGACATCTTGAGACCTTGGTACTTCATACGGTCCAAATTGTACATGTGTTTTGCGTGGAGGTAGTATGGCTCGTCGTGACCATGTCCTCCGCTCATCTTCTTAACTCCAGTCGAGTGGAAGCTTCTGCTTACTATTGATGGTGATAACAAAGAAAGATTCAGCAAGATTTTGAAATGTACCAATCAGGCACTTACGTACCATCTTATAGCTCATACAAATCTCAAAAAATACATCAAAACAAGCTGATCCTAATACTATAAAGCCTTGCTGCTAAATGTCATGTCTATACATATTGCGTTTGAGCAACAAAAGTTTACAAATGCTTGCAGAAACTATCGAAGCATGATTACGAAACTTTCAGAAGCAAAATGTGTACTTTGTTAGGTTCATCTCAGCCTTATGATAACCAATCTGTTTCGCATCAGGCCATTAAGGCGTATCAAGGAATAAGATTCTATAGTCCTATATCAAAATCTTAGAGCACAGGTGTTTCAAACAGAATTTGAATTCCCAAAATTAAACGCTTGAGAAATCGAACGAAGAACCACATCAGAAAACATGGAAATCTTAATCCTTACAATGAAAAAGAAGCTATACCCAAATCAAATCAATCAGAGTATTCGATTTCTAGGCAATCAAAACCCTAGACTACATAAAGGGCGAAAAAACAAGAGAAATGAGAAACCAATCAAGCAAGTAATATATTATTGGGTACTGACCAGATCTGGAGACTGATGCTTCGGAAGAAGCGATGATCTTAGAGACAGATCTGATGCTGGTGCTCAACGCCATGATCAGAAACTAATCGAGAAAAATGCAAATACTAAAGATGAACGAGACGACTTCTCTCAAAATTTTACGGCGAATCTGTTTGGAGGGGGTGAGACTGAGAAAATGGGATTGATAATATTCACACGTGCAAGCGCCATCTTCTTTTGGGCCCGGCCCGTTAACTCTTACACAAGGCCTTTATTGGGTTTATTTTTCAGGAATCACACGAAGTCAATATTCATGTCAGTTTCTTAAACTTTGACGTGTTGGGTTACAAAATGTCCACGTGGCGTGTAAGAGAATCCTAAATATTTTATCTCTCGATGGTCCTCAGCTAGCTATGATTCTTGACCACAAAAAAACACACAGACGATGGAAGCAACGAAGCGTATCTTATCTCTAGACATTTCATATTAAAAACGCACGAACATGAAACAGATAAAAGATTCTTTCTTTTATTTGAAAAATGCTAGAAAAATAAACATGGCTCACTTGCAACAGAGCCTCTACTCCGCCGCTAGGCAAAAGGTTCCTTATCGGGGAACGGATCAAGGGAAGCTGACGTGGACACGTTTTCCGGCGAAAGTACGGTGCGCGTCGACCGAGTCGTTAACGAGTTTGACTGAGAATAATGCGGCGGAGGTAGAGTTGAAGTATCTGGTGAGTCAGCACGGGTGGGACGTGAGGAGGTTGAACAGAAACGACGAGGATGAGATCAGGAGAGTGTCTCTGGTTCAAGCCGAGGCTTTCCACATCCCTCTCGTTCTTTTTAATGATTTTTTCCTTCTCTTTTTCCAGGTTTGTTTGCATAATTCTATATTGTAGAAAAAGCTTCAACATTGTTTTGATCATGGTACATGTATGAAAATTTTGGTATCTTGATATTGCAGGCAGAGGTACTCTCAGCACTTCTTTACAAACTAAAGAATTCACCATCTGACAGGTAAAACACAAATGACAATCTCATTTCTTCAATACTGTAATTTCAAAACGTAGTAAAGTTATATACAAAAAAACAATGCGGCAGATATGCATGTCTCGTGGCGGAGCAAACTAGCGAAGCTGAAGCTTCGTCGAGCTCAAGTGTAGTCGGAGTGGTTGATGTTACAGCTCAGAATGAAAGATCAGTGCTTTGCCATTTTCCTGGTGTTGAAGAGTATCTTTACGTTTCGGGATTAGCTGTCTCAAAAGCTCACAGGAGAAAGAAGATGGCAAGTACATTGTTAAAGGCATGTGATGTTTTATGCTATTTGTGGGGTTTCAAGCTACTTGCTCTTAGAGCTTATGAAGACGATGCAGCGGCTAGGAATCTCTACTCAAATGCTGGTTATAACGTTGTAGCTACTGATCCGTTGTGGACCTCTACTTGGATCGGCAGAAAACGTCGCGTTCTTATGACCAAACGCTTTTCTTAGTCATGTATATTTTACCTTAGCCTTGCACATTGCAGTGATAATAAACATACTACCATCTTAACTGGATAGAGTGTACATGTTCAACCAAATCAGAGAGACAATAACTGAAAACTGAACCAGATGATCATCAAGATTTTTAAGAACAAAACACCTAGCAATTATCCAGACGTCAAACTTTTCTACAAAAGGGTTAAACTAGCAACATGACCATGTTTCGTTTCTACACCTAAGTGGACAAAAACTGCAGACAACGTATTTTCCTAAACGAAAGATAAAAGCCGATCAAACCTATTGACATTCGATAACCTGACATGCTCCTTAGAGCGAACAAAAACAGAGTCAGTGAATGGATAGTCACGCAGATGGTCTGGTGAAGAGTGACATCGCCTTTAGATCTACAGGAGGGAGTTCTAATCCCGGGACATGATTGCCTTCAGGTCCCATCCAGAGACCTCCATTGTGATGCGGCAGCAGTACCGGCGACTGACTGTTGCTCTTCTCTGTTGATGTTTCTTGCTTCTTCTTCACAAATTCAAAGAATTCAGCAACCTGGCGTGCATACCTTTTAATAACACCAATGAAAAAACCGTCTGTTAGATTTAGGATTTCAACCAAGTTATGGTGACATTTACAGTAGTGTAAGAACTTACTGTGCCTTTGCCTCGATATCTAGGCTGAAGTCAATATTGGGTTCACAGTCCAAAACCAGAGCAGGGACCTGTTGAAACCAATGAATCAGTCTAAGCAAAATACATCTTCGACATTTAGCACGAGCATGCAAAAATGATATAGCTTTACCTTCTGGATACTAGAATGCATATGATTTCCTTCTAAGTAGAAGACGCGGTCTTTTATATCAGGATGCAGAGAGTTGTCCATGTGAAAAGACGGTTTACTAACAGACAATACACCATGGTTTCCGCTCTCAAACGGGAGAAGCCAGCTCTCATGCTTCTCGTGCAGATCTTGGAGGTATTTCAGCGAGACTCCACCTTCTTCTGCTCGTTTCCTGAGCATCATTCTCTTGTGGCAAGTGTCTGGACTCGCCCTCAAGTATATAAATCCATCAGGAACAAGTCCAGGTAGACAAGAGACAACCGGATCAAACCAAGAATCATAGATGCTTATCTCCATCTCATTCATCCACTTCGCTTCATGAACCGCTCGCACAAACACCTGAATGCCAAGTTGCACAACATATTAAGTATGCAATCACACATATCAAAACTATCAATTTTTAAAAGCAATTGCTTTCAAATTACCATTCTGTCACTGAAGACACTCCTTTCCATCAACCTTAGAGGTTTAACCCCTGAAGCAGACTCTTTCTCTTGCATCAGCCGAGTGACGAACACATAGTTCTGGAAAGTATAAGCATACCTCTGAGGCTCAGAGTAGAAAGCATCCAATATATTGAAATGGTCAGGTCCAACATCTTGCCACTTATTAACTGGCTCAGGAACAATCTCAACGAGGTCTTGTAACTCCACCGTCTCATTAGCTATTCTCTGAAGAAAAGTTGATTTGCCGACACTAATGTTCCCTTCAACACAAAATGTCAAACGTTTCTTTGCATTTAGATTAGGTTCAGAGCCAGAATCCTTGAGCTCATCATCCACACTCTCTTTGATAAACGTCGTTATACTCTCCGCATGGTTTCTATGTATAATCCCAACAGAGCTCCTAAGATAATCAACCATCTTCTGACTCGCTTTCCAGAACTGAGATTTACAAATCAATCAAAGAATGAAACTTTCAATCATTATCTCAAACCCTACAAGTTACAAAATGTAAGATTTTCAAAAATACCTTATCTTTATAGAGCTTCTTGAGCTCAGCAACATCTCCAATCCCGTTATCAACAAGCTTCCTCTGATTCCTTAAACCCACTCCAGGAATCTTCAGCAAATCTGGGTTACCGATAAACTCACCACTTCCACTAGAACTCCGACTTCTACGGCTCATCCTCACAGGCTTTTCATCTTCTCCGTCAGACTCTCCCTCGCTCTCAACCACTGCTCCAGCAGTAGCATTAACCGTGCTTAAGCCACCATTAGACTCCGAGCAATACAACGCACGCCACGACCCGGTTCGACCGACCCAAGCCCGGTTCGTACTACGGATTCCACCGTCGATTGAGCAGCGGCAAGCTCGGTAACCAGCTGTTGAGAACCGTAACGACGCCGGAGCTGGTCTTCGAACACTCCTCTGCAGGTAAGCAGAGAAACCAACACCGCCTGAAGAAATAGAAGCCGTCTTCGTCGGCATAGTGGAAGTTGGGAAGAAACAAGTAGAGAGAGGCTTAGAAGTGGAACAAGGAGTAAGATTTTTGACGGGGGGCTTAAACCCTAGTGAGATAAAACCGGCGGCGAAAGAGTTCACCGGAGTAGAGAGAACAGGTGTTGAACAAGTGGTACTTTTGCACAGAATCTTCTGCATCGTTTCCCTTAACCGAGCATTTCACATCACTCAAGAGTGCTTTTGTGTGTGGGGGGGGGGGGGTTTGGTGGTTTGGGCGCAAAGAGGAGGAAGATGAAGTTGCGAAAGTTGCGTTTTTAGGGTTTTTAATTTAATTAATTGAAATCATTAGTGTGGTTAAGTATTTAATTAGAAGATATGATTATGGGACTAATACGTTTTTTAAATCCTTATACTGTAATTTTATGGGGCAAATACGTTAAAAAAACAAAATGGTGTAATGATGTGTCTGTGAGTGTGAGGTGTTATTTGTCATTGTTCCGACTTGTGTAGCACACATGACACGTGCTGATAAAAACAACCTTTGGTCTTTTATTTGGGTCAAGCGAGCCTCTTGCTAAATCATCAGTAATTCAAAAAGATGTTACAGATGTAGGCCCATTTCATTTATTGGACCGATTGTGACGTTTCAAATTTATTCCCTTTTCCAAACTTTATTTGATCGCACATATAGTATGATGGGCTTATATAGGCCCATTATAAAATCAAAAGGCCAAGTTTTCTAGGTTAGATTTCTCCTTCCGGGAAAAAGATGATATATAAGTGGCCATTGTTATTAGTTCTTTCTTGTTTGGTTTAGCTTCTACACTACTGTGCGGCGTCTTTTGGAGATAAATTAACCCTAGTTTTTGTGTGATGGCGGAAGAAGCTAACAGTGTTGATGTGAAAGCTTCGACGAAGAAGGATATACGGAATTACCTCTGCCAGTATTGTGGAATCAGCAGATCTAAAAAGTACCTTATCACTTCGCATATCCAATCTCATCATCAGGTTTGAGATCTCCTTCCATTTCGATTCCAAAGTTTCTTCTGTTGCTCTGGGTTCGTTTTTAATGCAACTGAGAGCTTAAGAGTATGTAGAATTGGTGATAGTTTTGTTGAATCGGGAGTTGTTTGATTCGTTTGTGTAGATGGAACTTGAAGAGGAAATAGTTGATGAGGCTTGTGAGGTTGGGGAAGAGACTTCAAGTAAACATACTTGCCAGGAATGTGGTGCTGAGTTTAAGAAGCCTGCTCATTTGAAGCAGCATATTCAGAGCCATTCGCTCGAGGTAGATTTATGCATCCTCGTCATTGTAACTGATACTTTGTAGTCTTTTGAGTATTACTTGGGTTGAGTTTTCGTGCAAATCTACTACAGATGGAGATGCATAGAGATACTTGTGGGTTTTGATTCGTATTGAGTTTTGTTCTTATCGTGATCTGAAAGTTTATGCATTTGCAGGAAATAAATGGCCTTTTTGTTTAATTCAAAAGGCCTTACTTATATTATTGCGTGAGGCATTGGATCCCAAAGAGAGAACTCCAAAATGCGAGGCTACATGTTATGGACTAGTATCAGGTTGGGAGACCTCCTGAGAAGCTCCAGCAAGTAAGCCTCGATCACGCAAAAAGTTTGAGGTCTGATATTCTTTAGTTTAATATTTTCTCACAATGCTATGAATTTTGTTTCAATGATGAGCCATGTTTCTGATGAATTTCACTTTCTCGTCATGTAGAGACCTTTTGCGTGCTATGTGGATGATTGTGCTGCTAGTTACAGAAGAAAGGATCATCTCAATAGGCATCTTCTTACCCATAAAGGGAAGCTCTTTAAGTGCCCAATGGAGAACTGCAAAAGTGAATTCTCAGTACAGGGAAATGTTGGTAGGCATGTTAAGAAATACCATAGTAATGATGACAGTGCTAAGGACAATACTGGCGATCTTGATAAGGACAAATCTTGTTGTGGTGGTGGTGATAAGAAAAATATTGGTAATGGGGATAGTGGTAAAGACAATACCAGTAATGGCAGTTCTCCACCCTCTGAATGTTCAACTGGTCAGAAGCAGCACGTCTGCAAAGAAATTGGTTGTGGGAAAGCTTTCAAGTATGCTTCACAGTTGCAAAAGCACCAGGATTCTCATGGTAATTCCTTCTTCTAATTGCCATCTATTTTACTGTCTAGGGCATTTGAACATTGCTTGTGTCATGTGTCATGTCTGAGAATCATTCTTGTAAAGTGCATTTTCTTGAGCACTGAAAGCAGTTCTTAGCGTTTTCATTTTTTTCTTTTTACATATTTTTGTTAAATATTCCAGATTTCCTATCTCTTAAGGTTTAGATTTACTTGTGCAGTGAAATTGGACTCTGTGGAGGCTTTTTGTTCTGAGCCTGGGTGTATGAAGTACTTTACAAATGAGGAATGCCTTAAAGCACACATAAGATCCTGCCATCAGCACATCAACTGTGAGATATGTGGTTCTAAGCATTTGAAAAAGAACATCAAAAGACATCTACGGACTCACGAGGAAGATTCAACACCTGGAGAATTCAAGTGTGAAGTTGAGGGTTGCTCTTCGACATTCTCAAAGGTAAGAAGCATCAAGAGTTACTTGGACTCACCAAAACAAGTATCATTTTCCAGATTATTTAACAACCCTAATTACATTACCTTGATTTCGCAGGCTTCTAATCTTCAGAAACACGTGAAAGCAGTGCACAAGGATATCCGACCCTTTGTATGCGGTTTTCCAGGTTGTGGCATGAGATTTGCTTACAAACATGTCAGAAACAACCATGAGAATTCTGGGTGCCACATATATACCTGTGTAAGTTCATCCTTAATCTGCATCCTGACTTATTTTTGGTTACCAAATTCCATGACTAGAATATAATCTGACATATACAACTGAATGGTGGTTTCAGGGTGATTTTGTTGAAACTGATGAAGATTTCACATCAAGACCAAGAGGTGGACTAAAAAGGAAGCAAGTTACAGCAGAAATGCTGGTAAGAAAGAGGGTCATGCCTCCCCGGTTTGATGCAGAAGAACACGAGACTTGCTAGTTGCTAGTATCTTACAACCTGGAAATCTAGTAGCACTACTAGGCAGGTGTTACGACTTACGTGTAATTACCTTTTTTTTTTTTTTTTGTAGCGTCTGTAGAAGAAAATATATAAAACAACATAATTAGTAATGTAAAATTTCATTTGGAAATCGAATCTATATCTATCTTTCTTACCTCTAACTTCTTTATTAAGAAGACTATTGATTTTGAATCAAACATTCATGTAGAGAGTCATCTTTTTGGTCCAATCTTTAGTGGTTTGGTCAAAGTAAACAAGACTTTGACTGTTCAACCGTTCAACATTTTCATAAGTCAACGGTCGGTCGAAGAAGCACTAGTTTGAGTATAAACATCTTCTATAGCCCTGGGCACGAAGCAAATATTCGGAAAATTTGAGATATTTGTTATTTGCTTTGCTTCGATCGAATAATTGATTTTGCTATTTGGTTCGATTCGTAAATTTTCGAGTATTCGGAACTTCGAATATTCGAATATTTTTCGTAATATTTGCGAATTACTTGCTTCGCTTCGCTTCGACCCATCTAATTTTTTTTAAAAACAAAAAACATATAGTACAGAAATATAAAGTGCAAAATATGAAATATTAGAGGTTTTTATTTGACATATTTTCAAAATAAGAAAGAAATGTAACCACCGTCCATAGAATTCTCACATTTTATTTTTAATAATGATTTTTCTAGTAAAGTTTTATTTGCTTAAAAACAACATTTAGCAAAAAAAAAAATCCAACGAGCCATAATATAATAATTTGAATAATAGGCCTATCAGATATATACCCAAATCTATAAATACACCTATTATATATATTATATGTATTATATAATAATTTATATTTATACATATATATAAATATACGAAGCGAAGCGGATATTCGGCACTAAAAAAATTAATATTTGTTATTTGCTTCGGTTTTTACGAATACTAGATTTTCATATTTGCTTCGGTTTAACATCTTATACATATTTGAATTTTTCGAATCGAATCGAAACGAATATCGAAGCGAAGCGAATCTAACGAATATTTTGCCCAGGGCTAATCTTCTATAATAATCTAATATAAAGCCAAGAATTGCAGAGATCAATCAAGAAAGCATGGCTACAAACAAGATTTTGGTGATGTCTCTCATAATAGTAGGTACAGTTTTGCTACTCTAGAAAACCATACGAAATCATCAATATCCTCAATCATGTCAAGAATTAAACTTTCTGAAATTTCCATCAGATTATGATGTTCCATTGTTTCTTTAAAAAATCCATTAGGAGCGATGCTAGGAGGAGTAATCCCAGGAGTTACAACAGGAAAGACAGCGAAAGCTTGTCCTCTCTATTGCTTGCAAGTAGAGTACATGACATGTCTTTCCTCCGGCGATGCCAAGCTCCCACCGAGATGCAATTGTTGCCTTGCTCCCAAAAACTGTACTCTCCATCTCTCTGATTCCACTTCTATCCATTGTAAGTAACAAATGATTATAAATCTAGTAAGAAACGTGAACGCCTGATGGAATCCCTTCTTCGAATCCCATCCATTCCTCCCACTCGTCGATTTCACCCATCTCTGTAATCTCCATTTCTTCTTCTTCTTCTTGTCTCTCAAACTTTTGCATCAAACACTGAAAAAATTGTGATGAATAAATAAATGTTTGGTTCATAGGGATTGAAATAACGCAATTGAACACCTGTTTAGTGACTTTGAACACCTGTTTAGTGACTTTGAACACCTTGATTATACATTCATTTTTATTTATTTTTTTGGTTTTTCAAGAAGATCTTGAAATACCAAATCAAGAAAATCAAGAAATCAGACAAAAAACAAAAAAAAAAACAAAAAACCTCGTAAGCGGATTTGATGTCTTTGAAATCCTTGTCCTGTCCCTTGTGCACATCTGGATGATACTGCAATAACTCATTTTGTCTATTAGTTGTAATGTTGTTTTCTTTTCTTGATTTGATTCGGGGGATAATATATTAACAAAAGTTTAGAACTTTTCTCCCAACAAAAAAGATATTAACCTTAAGAGCGAGACGTTTGAAGGCACGTTTGACTTCGGTTTGAGAAGCGAGAGGGGTCAAGCCAAGAATCGTGTAATGACTAAGATCTGGTGACGAGCATCTTGTCGGAAAACGGATTAACCGGTTGCTCCCGGTTTGAATGGTGGAACCGGGATGATTCGTCGGAGCTCTGAACCGGATATTTCGTATCATCATCATCCTTCTTCTTCTTCTTCTTCTTCTTCTTCTTTTTCTTTCTTCTTTCCCATTTTGGGAAATTGTGATGGACCTTTTTTATCTTGTACCCGACGGTATGGTCATTGGATATCCGATTATCCGATTCACATTCCGATGTCACGTCGGTGATGTATTTTAATATTTTTTCTTTTTCTGTGTTTCTTTGTTTGGTCTCTCTTATAAGGGCATATAATCCAACATTTTTCCATGTCCAAAAATAATAAATAAAAAATCCAACATTTTCGCAAAAATATTAAAATGATTCCAAATATAATTCAACATTGTTCCACAACAAATAAAATTATTCCAAACATAATCCAACATTGTTCCAAAAAGAAATAAAATTATTCCAAATTCAAACATAATCCAACATTATTCCAAATTTCTTCAAAGGTAAAACAAACAATGTTTTACTTCCAGTTATGATCATCTGTCCACCCGTACTTTTCGGCCCACCCGTTTTCCAAACCTGAAAGACATAAAGAAAAATGTAGCTCAAGAATCATAAAACCAATAGATTGATCATATGATTATAATTTGGAATATATAAAAAAAGTTTCTAAGAGTATATAGTTTATACTAACCAAATTCAAAAATGGATGGAAGTCGGTATTCTGGCTTCTTGAATTTGATTTCTCCTAATTCACGAAAAATGTCTTCATCAATCTCTGCTACAGTCCTTTTGTCTTCAGGTTGTTCAACTTGAACAATAGCACCACGTCCACGAGACGTCCTCTGCACACATTAACCATAAGCATCAAATGTTACAACACAAGTTCTTTAAACCAATAATCAATTAATGGAAAAAGAAGAAAAATGCAATACTGACCGGTCCATATGCATATTGTCCCAATTCCGTATTGGAGGCTGCAGGAAGGGCAAGCACCTATATATATATTTTGGTCAATAAAAAAGTATTTGCATGTATCAAGTCTTTGTTTCATCCAATTTCCAATATCTTATATGTTTCAACAAATTAAACAATGATTTAAATTATGATATGAGACATTGAAGCAAATCTATATATTAATTCTCTATTGAATCATTGAGATATCTCATTAAATACTCTATCCTTTTAAATAAGACCAAGCAAATGATAGATCTGATAATAACACAAAAACATAATAAATAAAGATATAATTTATTAGATGGTTTGCGCGCGCAAACAATCTAACGTCTTATTCAAATTTTCGCGGGAAACCAACAAACCATCTTATTTAAAATTTAGCAGTCATACAATGATTTATATGTATTCACATATTCGCTTAATGATCTCATATAAGAACTTAAGATATGTAATCCTATATAATGATAGATCTATAGATCCTCATGCAAATAAATACATCATACAAAAAAGTTGAATCATCCCATGGAAAACAACATCAACCTCTCCATAAATCAACACATATTATATTTTAAAATAAATAAATAAATGACAGAGACTTTTCTACATTTTGTAATGAAAATCAGGACTTACAACTGATCGTTTTGGTTCAGGCTCGGCTGATTGTTTGGAGGATTCAGACTGCTTTCCTTTGGAAGACATGCTTGAAGGAGTAGATATGTCACAGTTTTTTTTTTTTTTGGTGCTTCAATGTGATTTGGGATTAACTAGTTTTGTGAGATTATATTAGATTTACAGTTTATGTATTTATATTATATATGAGTACTTGTATATATGTAAATGAAAGAAACATGAAGTACCTTTTTGTAATTTTAAAATTATAATAATTAAAATAAAAATGTCAAAACATATATTTTTTGGGTTTTCCTACTATAATTTCAAATTAAAAAAGAAAAAGAAAGAAGACAAATGTCCAATTAAAAGTAAACTCATAATTAGTTTTAGTGATTTACTAAATGACAGCTGTTACTGAGAAAATATAAATAATAATTGTTAAATATTTTTGGTAACAAATATTTAACTTGTGAAATAGACTTTATATTTCTTTTTTCTAAATATAACACCTTTAACTTTTAGTACTTTATAAAAATAACCAAAAAATTAAAATCTTCACCAGATTTTTTTTGACGCCCTATTGGTGGAAAAAAATTTCTTTCCAAATCAATTTTACAAGTTGTTTTGACCAATTAATTAATTACCATGAGAAATTAATTTACTTGTGTATACCAGGAAATTATTTACCAAAATATATAATGGTTCTCTTTTAATAAATTAAAATTAAATCCAAAATATAATTTGTTTGACTATATTTCAAATAATTTACTTGCTCACTAATTTTGGAGAAATTCATTAATGACTATTAGAGTTTTTGTTGAATAATAGATTAGTCAATCTTATCTTTCTTTCTTTTTTTTGTGTGCACCAGTCAATCTTATCTTATGTTAGTAAAGTTACTGTGAGTTGATTGGGCCTTAGTTATGTTTAGATCTATCGGGCCTTTGTAAATACTCAACCTGACGTAGGCCCATTAGTTCTCACTGTAATTCGACCCCCCCACACTCCATTGTCACTTCGTAAACGCGCCGCCGCGGAGAGAGAAGAGAGAATGGAGGATATTGAGGATTTGTTGGCCGGAGGAGTCGGTGGTGCACCACCGGGATTCCGATTACCGTTGAATGCTGTCGGTATAAATCCGAAGACGACGAATAAGAGCAAACGTAGTAGCTCGAAACAGGATCAGGTTACTGCTTCGAATCGTGACTCGCTTGCTCCACCATCTTTGAAGATTCCAGGAACTCAGGTCATTCTCCTCCAGTCTTTCTCTCTCTCGATTTTATTATCTCATTGCTTCGGTTTCTATATCTATCAACGTTTTTTTTGTTCGTGCACTTACATTTCGTGTCGATGAATTTTTCGCAGACGATATACATCAAGACGTTTGGATGTTCCCATAACCAGGCAAGTCAGTTTATGAATCTTCAGTGGTTGATACTGTTTTGGTGTTGATAGATTTCTAAGTGCCTCATCAGATTACACTTGCCATGTTTGTTACTCTAGTGATTGAGCTGAAATGTTTTAGCTGGGAATAGGCTAAAGCTAATCGTATCTGGTCTTGTCTCGTGTTTTGGTTATTTTTCAGAGTGATAGTGAGTATATGGCTGGTCAGCTTACTGCATTTGGCTATGCGTTGACAGAAGTCCCGGAGGAAGCTGATTTATGGCTCATTAACACGTAAGCTTTTAGCCTCGAGTTCTGTTTACCCAATGTAATTACTACGCTTTTATGCTGTTGAGATATTCATGAGTAGTGTGAAGTGTTAGCAAATATAGTTCACTTGTTCATGGTGTAACATTGTAACTTTATAGTTTTTGATGCAGCATTTTTGCTCAGTATAGCTTTACTTTGTGCTTACATTGTATTTTATATGTGGGGTTGATGCAGCTGTACTGTGAAATCCCCTAGTCAGTCTGCTATGTCTACTTTGATAACGAGGGGTAGAAGTGGGAAGAAGCCTCTTGTGATCGCCGGATGTGTTCCTCAGGGCAGTCGTGATCTTAAGGAACTAGAAGGTGTCAGTGTAGTTGGAGTTCAACAGATTGATCGTGTTGTGGAGATTGTTGAAGAAACTCTTAAGGGTCATGAAGTGCGGCTGCTGACTCGGAAGACTTTGCCTGCGCTTGATCTCCCAAAAGTGGGTAAATTTTTTAACTTTTGATTCTTTTCGTCTTAAATGCTGAGTATTGCTATTCCTAGCACCAAATAAGTAGAAGCCAAAAAACCTGGTTTCAGTACAGTTTTTTTATCTTTTAAATTTTGCTTAGTCTTTCATTACACAATCGTGTTGTTCGACTTCATTTGGGTGCTATATGTGAGGGTTGATAAGTCATTTTCTATTACAGGTGCGGAGGAACAATTTTATTGAAATTCTCCCCATTAATGTTGGCTGTTTGGGTGCCTGTACTTACTGCAAGACCAAGCATGCCCGTGGTCACTTAGGAAGCTACACAGTCGATAGTCTTGTAAGAAGAAGTTTCAGCTTCACAGTAGAGTTTTGATTTGTATCCAGCGTTTTCCCCCTTTTCTGTTTTTTTCTGCCAATTTAGTCTCCTAAACTGCAGGTGGAGCGGGTGAGAACTGTAATATCTGAAGGAGTTAAGGAGATTTGGTTGAGCAGTGAGGACACTGGAGCATATGGTTTCTTTCCAAACCCTTATTTTCTAATTTACTTTTAGTAGTTAAGACATAATTTTGCATTTCGTTATTCTTGGTAGCTAATTATTCTCAAAATGTTGCAGGTCGTGACATAGGAGTTAATCTTCCAATATTGCTTAATGCTATTGTTAAGGAGCTTCCTTCTGATCAAAGCACAATGCTAAGAATTGGGATGACAAATCCTCCCTTTATTCTAGAGCATTTGAAAGAAATAGCAGCAGTGTTACGTCATCCATGTGTCTACACCTTTCTTCATGTCCCTGTGCAATCTGGCAGTGATTCTGTGTTGACGGTGAGTTCAGAGTTGTTTAGGACTGCCAATTTTTCTCGTTCTAGTCTTATCTGAATATCTGTTGCAGGCTATGAATAGGGAATACACAGCAAGTGAGTTCAGGACTGTGGTAGACACCTTAACAGAGCTTGTGCCAGGAATGCAGATTGCTACTGATATAATATGCGGGTTTCCTGGTTAGTCCTGGATAAACATGGAAGTTTTATTTTTTCGAATAAATATAGAGTGAGGCTTAAAAACATTATACCACAATGCAAAATCACATTAGGCACATTCATTAGTTGGATGTGGATAGTTACATGGTCCTACGACTTGAGCACATTGATTGTTCATATAATTGGGTGTGTTGAAGATTTGTTAATCTCTTTTTTCCAATTTCAGGTGAAACTGATGAAGATTTTTCTCAAACAGTTGAACTTATCAAGGATTACAAGTTCCCTCAAGTTCATATTTCTCAGTTTTACCCCAGACCAGGCAAGCTTAAGAATTTAGTTATTTATATAATCTGGAATATGGGAGTGTTTCATAGGTCTAGACCTTAATTTGATAGTGTCATTTATGATATAGGGACCCCAGCAGCAAAGATGAAGAAGGTACAAAGTAAAGTAGTGAAGCAACGAAGCCGTGAATTGACTTCTGTCTTTGAGGCTTTTGCACCTTACACCGGATTGGAGGGCAGAGAAGAGAGGATATGGATAACTGAAGTAGCAACCGATGGCATACATTTGGTAAGCCCATCCTGAGCCACATACATTGTTATGTTTCAACAAACTTCATTTTAAATAAAACCAAAAGCAACTGTAGTTTGTTTTTATCTTTGATTGCAACCACTGTTTCATTTAAAAATTCTTACTTGAATTTGTAGGTTGGACATACGAAGGGATATATACAGGTCTTAGTTACTGGACCAGAAAGTATGCTTGGTAGTTCAGCTATGGCGAGGATAACATCTGTGGGGAGATGGTCAGTGTTTGGGGAAGTGATTGAGACATTTACCACTGCAAATAGAGAAACACAAGCCCGAGAAGAAACAAAGCCGCCTTGTTCAACGAATGTTAGCACTTGTGAGACATGCGCTTGCTCTGCTGAGAGCTGTGGAGAAGAGAGATCAAGAGAGGCATGTAATATCTCTGGAAATATCTCAAGACAGGAAGATGATCTGAAGGGAAAGTCAAAGAAAGAAGAGAAGGAGATCCAAGAAGCTGTTGTACCTAAAAGCAGCGTAGCAAATTGGGGTTTCATTGATAAGGCACTTGTGTGTGGAGTGTTTGTAAGCTCTCTCACCATTCTTGTTTTGATGATTAGCATTGCGTGTAGAGCTTTGCTGCGTCAATGAATCTCTCTCACTGTCAGATTAGTAGTTGTAAGAGTACCAATCTCATGTTTTTAACTATTTTCGTGCTCCCATTATGTATTTTTCTGATTTTGAGTCTTTTTGTTTGTGTACCTGGATGCATATATGATTGCAATTCACGTTGCATACAAAATAATTCGATAATTTGTATGCAAGTAAGAGTATCGTCTGATAAATTGCATCCTAAACAGACAAAAATCTTTGAATTAGACCAAACTTACACAATTATTTACTGGGCCTTACTGTACCAAAACTAGGCCCATTATGTAGTTTCTTCTAAACAAAGGTACGACCGTTTCGGGTACCGTGCAAAACCATCGTCGAGTCAACAAGTTTACTTTTCCTGTAGAGGGGACACGTACCACTACGTGGAGACACGTGTCATTCAGAAGCTAAAAGAAAAAGAAAAATGATTATTTACAGTTCTACATCCCTCCCAATGTGTTTGGATTATAGTATGGCTTAGTGGTAAGGCAGTTAAAGATTTGGACAGAGGAAGAACAACGAAATTAGTAATGACGAATCTATTGGCTTTGAGTCTTCTCTTGAGTACTTTACTAGCGGCGGAGGTATGGTCTCCGACCCCAGTCATGACTACCCACCCAACGGCGTCAGAGGGAGACGTCATCGTCAAAGACGGTCACCGCGTTGTGGTGGTTGAGTACGACCGTGACGGGAAAACCAATACTAGAGTCTCGATCTCGCCTCCATCGGCAGATCAAGAAGGAGAAGAAGAAAAGGGAAGTTCTTTGTTTAAACATGCTAAAGAGAGAGTGAAAGAAACGGCGTCGTATTTTCCACACGTCGGCCAAGGGATCTCGCAGCCTGTTATTACGACGGAGGAAGAAACAGAGGAGGCGCGTGATCATCACTCGACGGCTGGGGAAGTCATATGCGACGCGTTCGGTAAGTGCAGGCAGAAGATTGCGAGTGTGGTGGGTCGGGCTAAAGACAGAACCGCTGATACTGTCGGTGAGACTGCTTCCGATGTCGAAGACGCCGCCGCTCGCAAGGCTCACGATGTGAAGGAGACCGTTACACACGCGGCACGTGACGTGGAAGACGAGGTGGCTGATAAAGCCCACTATGCGAAGGAGAAGGTAACAGAAAAAGCCCATGATGTGAGACAGAGTGTTGCTCATAAAGCCCATGATGCTAAAGAAAAGGTGACGGATAAAGCCCATGACGTGAAGGATACGGTGACTCAAAAAGCCTATGAAACGAGGGAGAGGGCTAAAGATAGAGTGAGGGAGAAGGCACACGATTTGAAGGATTCGGTGGCTCACAAGTCCCAGAATGCGTGGGTGAGAGTTAAGAATGCATTGCGTGAATTCGGGACAGCAGCTGCGGGGATGCTAAGTCCGACGAAGATAGCGAGCGTCGTGGGGCTGACGGCCATATCTGCGGCGTTTGGGACTTGCGTGTGGGTGACGTTTGTGTCAAGCTACGTTTTAGCGTCGGTGTTGGGGAGGCAACAGTTTGGTGTTGTACAGAGCAAGCTGTATCCTGTTTACTTCAAGGCGACCTCAGTCGGAATCCTTGTGGGTTTGTTTGGCCACGTGCTTAGCCGCCGGAGGAAACTGCTCACTGACGCCACGGAGATGTGGCAAGGGGTTAACCTCTTGGCCTCTTTCTTTATGATTGAGGCTAATAAGTCATTTGTTGAGCCACGTGCCACCAAGGTTAATTTACATTTCCCATGGCTAATATCTTATGTTGGTGTAGTCATATATATACATGCAAATGACAGATTAGTTGAGTTTAGGAAATTAAATGAGAGAGTCCAATTAGGGTAATTTTGAGTGGTATATTGTTCATCAGTCTTTTGTCTTGGTACATGAATCTTCTTTTTTTTGGTCGCTGAGTTATAATTTTCTATGAGTTGGGTCAGGGATCTTCTGGTTGTATAATGTTGGGTTTTATATATGTATTGTTGTGGATGTATAGGCGATGTTTGAGCGGATGAAGGCGGAAAAAGAAGAAGGAAGAGGAGGAGAGAGGACGAGTAGTGAGCAGGAGCTAAGGCGGAAACTGGAGAAGCTGAGCGAGAGGCTGAGCAAGCTCAACACATACTCGTCTTGGTTAAATATATTGACGCTCATGTCTCTAACATGGCATTTTGTTTATCTCGGACAGAGACTTGGCGCCGCTTGCTGATCCATACTTTTGCTGTCTGAAAGCCTAACTTGTTGTTGTTGTCTTTGTTCTTTCTCGGTAGCAGCATGGTTTTGTGTTTTGTTGTCGGATTCCATGTGTGATATATTTTGTAATTAGGTCATACTTTCACTTTTATGTTAGAGTTTGTTTAAATTTCATCTTCGATCGGATAGCTATTTTTTAAACCGTCGCTTCCAGAAAATTAAATAGCAGTGTTATTGCATCGTCACGTTGGAGACTTGATGAGGTGATATATAAATTGATCCAACACAAGTTGGTACGCACATTTATGGATGAATTATTGTAGAAGACTAAACGTGCTCTAGAAATAGTTCGTAACTTTCTAAATATAACAAAACCAATGATAGTGTATTAAATTATTATAAAGATAACAAACTGAAGCTTCAGGATGAGACGTAAACAGAGAATCTATTGGAAATAATCACATGCTTATTTGAATGATTCACTAGGCTAGGCATGTTGTAATTAAATAGGGTTCGTTCATCCGTAGATGTATGCACGCCAAGCATTTCGGTTTAAACCTCTGGAGCATGAAAAGTCTTTTGAGGAGCAGCAGACTTCATCGTGTGGAGAGCTTCGACGATGAGATCACATAGGTGATGAGGGTCTGGAATCACGTCTACATCGACTCCGATGTTGATTATGAGTTTGTCCACATAGCTCTGAATACCAATTATGAGTCCCTTATTCAGAAAAAAGTAGACATCGGAATTAATGTTTCATCAATGAAGTTTCCTAACTGTACTAGTGCATGAATACGGTGAAGAAACGTACATATCTAAATAATCTAATATACAGTATGATTGCATGATTTTTCCTTTTAAATTACAATGATATGAAAATAATATGGATAAAAAGTTTAGTTTTAAAAACCGCATTGGAAATATAAATAAATAACTTTTGTGAAATCAAGACAAAACTCCAAAGAATAGTACATCATAATTAATCCGAAACCAATGATTTTGTGCAAGAGAAGAGAGTACCTGTGGAATGCCAAAAGTACTTGCAGCAATGTAAGATATTCGATGGCCAAAAAAGCTAATTTCTTCGGCTGGACCAACCACGTTTGAGAATATCATTGTTGTGCTTCCAAAAATTCTCGTTATAAGAGTTTTGAGTGCCTGATGGAAAATAGGCATCCATATAATTATGGCGATCAGATGCACAAATTACGTTTACTATATTTGGAGCTACATATATATATTAAGATGATATATGTTTTGATTTAAACATTTTACCTTAAATCCAAAAACCTCCAACGTACATTTGAGCAACCCATGGGAAAATAGAGGTTCGAGGGAATGCTTTTTACGATCCATCATAGTTTTGGACTGTCGAACATATTCAAATACATCATCATTTGACTTCATTTCCAAGGGAATCAGAACATAACCTATTGAGTTCCCCCATCTACATTTTGAACCTTTTGCCATCATATTTGCCAAATCCTGCATACATATGCTATGTGTTAAATTGTCACTATTTTAAATACAAAGCAAAGATCGTTTGGGGTAAGTATGTTATTCAGCACCTCAATATCTCTATTTGGCCTTAGATTGAAAAAAACAACACCATGAAGACGTTTTTTGTCTATAATTTTTCTTGACTTTGGAGATGTTTCAAGATCTGTTCACATATCAAGACAAAATGTCAGAATGTTGTTACAAATAGTATTTTATGCTATTTAAACAAGAGTAAATGATTTACCATATCTTTGATGTAAATATCGAGAAAGACCAGCTTGTACCATCCCAAAGAGGACATCGTTTACGGTCTAATGGTAGCAAAAAAAAAAGAGGAAAAGAAAGTCACAAAAAAAGAGAGGAGAAAAAGACATAAAAACTTCAGCTTTCTAGTCAAGCAACGTACCATACTCATGGCGTTCTTCACCATTTTGACATCATCCAAACTAATGATTCGATGAAGAAACTTATTATTCCTAAGTGTAGCTCCTGGTTTACCCATTATATGTGCTGAGGTGTCCTTCGCACAACAAATAAAAATGATAGACTTGATAACTTCAACACAAGTGTGGAACATTACTCTTACTATGAACCATAACCAACCAACCAAAGCAGAACAAACGTTCTTCGCTTTGCTTTTCTTCGGAACCACAAAGGTAGGCAGCGCCTCGGGATCACATGTTTTCCGGGTACAAGCGAGTAAAAGAGACATAAGAGACATCCCATCGCCCAAAGAGTGATGGAACCTAGCCACGGCTACAGATTCGGCATGTGATGTTTTAAGCTTCAATAAATGAAACTCCCATAAAGGTTTGGTCATATCCATTGGAGAGAGAGCCATATTTGATGTATAATCCTCAAGAAACTCATCAGGATTCTCAATGTTGGGATCTATATCCGGAACAATTACATGGTCTTCAACTTTTACTTTCGTTGGAATCCATTTAGCTTTTCCTTTCTGTTCACCATAACCAGTCACCTACACGTATCATATGATGTTAGGAATATATAGTATACATCTGAGAAAGCCTAACCTAATATATTGTGGATATGGTTAAACTTAGCATATAAACAATAAAAATGTGTGTACATTAATTAGTTACCGACCAGTATGCTAGAGAAGCGTGGATGGTTGATCAATGTGTTCTTCAAGCCTTCAATAATGGTTGATGGATTACCTTCGGTTTTGCATCCGATGGTAACAATGTTGAAGACATCGAGACCCGGCAAGCTAAACAACCGTGCAAATGGACTTACTGGCTCCTCTCCTTCAGTCACTTGCCTTTCTATTGCCATGTCTCTTTTTTTAAATTCCCCGGTTTATGGTATTATTTTACAAAGTACATAAGCAAATTTGGTTTATTTATATACACATAGCACATAGCTATGTTATACACTGTCGTAGTTAAATGAGGTTGTTGAGAAGATAAAATGCTTATTTATCTAACTATATATGTATGATGGGTCCAAGAACTGGTGACAATTATATCGTCAATAATAGACTAGTAAATAATTGAGATGGTGACATACATAGCCTATTAAATATTTATAGTGTCAAGCAGCTAAACTCTTCCTTGATCTAATTTCTTTGAAATTTCTTCAATAAACATATATAAAATAATTCTTTGGAGTTTTGGGTAAGTGTCTAGTACAGTCGACAAAGGAATAATTAACATAATTTTCTACATATCGCATATATAACATAAAGCAAATTATAGAGATCGTTAGAAACATGAAGTAAGACAGAAGTTAAGACTCCACGTGAAAGAATAGGACACGGTTCAAAGGTGTGTTAATGTGTGGCAAGAAATAGTATACGTCAATTTTTTGGTGGTTGGTTGGTGAACGATACTTCTTTCCTTTTTCATCATCTGATGTTTATTGATGACACTGTAGAAAGATACTAATTAGTCTACGTACACTATTAAAATGTTAATTTTGTGTGATGCCAAGGCTTTTCATATACTTTACAGAGTATTACAGTACTAATCTATAGTTAAAACTTCGCATGAAGTTGCATCTCCATAACACACATCAGATACTATCCTCTTAATCAGATTCCATGAAAAGCACATTCTGTGATGCAGAGTCTTGAGCATAGGAGATCTCGTCGATCGAGATGATGCAACTATCGCTCATTCGCTCTCCGGTTAGATCATGATCTAGCCTCCCAACTTTGTGTCCTCGATCATCCTCTCATAATCAAAATCCTTGATGGATTCCTCAAGCAACTGAGAGATCAGAGATGTTTCAACTTGAAGTTCACTAGGTCTTACTATGTTTCAACTGAGAGATACACAATCTTATTATGTTTCTCCAATTATCATATCAATCTTACTCTAGTTCACTAGGTCTTTAAAAACAAACACACGTGAAACATTCTTACAATATAAAAAAAAAAAATCAAAAAGACAAAACATAATTAGCATTAAAATTTAAAAGGTTAACAACTCAAACCAGTAATCTCGTTCGTTATCACTTTCGTTGGAGAGAAGAGAAAAAATGACCACGACTTCTGGAGTTATTTCTTCTCATCTCACAGAAGAAGAATACGTCACTGACGCCGTTGACCACCGTGGGATCGCCGCCAGAAGATCTAGTACCGGTAGATGGAGAGCCGCTTGGTTCATAATTGGTAAGCCGATGATTAAAATTGGGAGCTGCTCTCTCTGTTTACACTATTTTCTGAAATTTATGATGACATTTCATATTTTGCAGGTGTGGAAGTGGCTGAGAGGTTTGCTTACTATGGAATCGGATCAAATCTAATAAGCTATTTGACTGGACCACTCGGTCAATCCACGGCGGCCGCCGCCGCTAATGTCAACGCTTGGTCTGGAATTGCTACTGTCCTTCCTCTTCTGGGAGCTTTTGTCGCCGACGCTTTTCTCGGTCGGTATCGAACTATTATCATCGCTTCTCTTATCTACGTTCTGGTTCGTCTCTTCTCTTTCTATTGTTTTTCCGATTTGAAATGATAAAAAATCGAATCTTTATTTAGATCGAATGATAAAAATCGATTCTTTATTAGGATTTTTTGGATTAGATTGAGAAAGAATCTGAATTTTGATGTCAGGGATTGGCATTTTTGACTTTATCTGCGTTTCTGGTTCCTATGACTAGCAAAGATAGTACCCAAGTGACCTCTCCGCCTTCGTTTTTACTCAATGCACTCTTCTTCTTCTCTCTGTATTTGGTGGCTATTGGACAAAGTGGACACAAGCCTTGTGTTCAGGCTTTTGGTGCTGACCAGTTTGATGAAAAAGACTCTCAAGAGATATTTGACAGAAGCTCCTTTTTTAACTGGTGGTACCTTAGCATGTCTGCAGGAATCTGCCTGGCGATTCTAGTGGTTGTGTACATCCAAGAAGAATTCAGCTGGGCGGTTGGATTTGGAATCCCATGTGTGTTCATGGTGATCTCTCTTGTTCTTTTCGTGTTAGGGAGAAAGAGTTATAGGTATAGTAAAAGAATTCATGAAGAGGAGGAAATCAACCCGTTTACAAGGATAGCTAGAGTCTTCTTTGTAGCATTCAAGAACCAAAGATTGAGCTCCTCAGAATTGGGCAGAGATGCGTTGGAGGCAAATTTATCTCCAGAGAAGCTGAGGTATGTTCAAAATATATAGCGATAGTTATCGTAGGCTATGGTTCGAAAGCCTTGTTGGTGTGATTATGAATTTAGTCCACTTTCTTGTGACAGTTTCCTCAACAAAGCTTTGCTTGTTCCCAATGATTCTGCTGAAGGAGAAAAGTCATGTAAGTCTAGTGATGTTGAAGATGCCACCGCTCTCATCAGGCTAATTCCAGTATGGCTTACAACTCTGGCTTACGCCATACCCTATGCGCAGTACTTGACATTTTTCACAAAGCAAGGTGTCACAATGGAAAGAACAATTCTCCCTGGTGTGAAGATCCCACCTGCTTCTCTTCAAGTCTTTATTGGCATATCAATTGTCCTCTTTGTCCCCATCTACGACCGTGTTTTCGTCCCAATCGCCAGATCGATAACCAAAGACCCTTGTGGCATCACGACGCTCAAAAGAATCGGAACTGGAATGGTACTGTCGTGTATCACTATGGTAATTGCAGCGCTGGTCGAGTCAAAGCGGCTCGAGACTGCGAAAGAACACGGGCTTATAGACCAACCCGAAGCAACTGTTCCAATGTCGATATGGTGGTTAATCCCTCAGTATCTGTTGCTGGGATTGGCCGACGTATACTTTATAGTGGGAATGCAAGAGTTCTTCTACAGCCAAGTTCCCACTGAGCTGAGAAGCATCGGTCTTTCGCTTTACTTAAGCGTGTTAGGCGTGGGAAGCTTATTGAGCAGCTTACTCATCTCTCTGATCGACTTAGCCACTGGAGGAGACGATGGAGACAGCTGGTTCAACAGTAATCTCAACAAAGCTCATCTCGATTGCTTCTATTGGTTACTTGCGGTTCTTAGTGCCGTTGGTTTCCTTACGTTCTGGTTCATTTCCAGGTCGTATATCTATCGCCGGGTGGACTAAGTGTAGTTACCAAAATTATTCACTTGTTGTGTGACATATTCTATGTAGGGGGAAAAAAAATGAAAATGTGTAGTTACAAAAATTATTGACCAGCGGAGAAACATATGTGTATAAGAAAAAAAATAAAAATAATAAATAAAGACTCGTTTTGTAAACTTCACTTTCCCATAAGAGACAAGAAAATTTAAATGGTGCAGTCCAAGTGTTCACTTACTTTGATATATTTGGTGACGCAAGTGTTACCAAATTAATATCTTGTTCGTAGTCTTTCTCCAAATGGCTACTTCTGGAGAAGAAAGCGTGATCGACGCCGTGGACCACCGTGGATTCGCCGCTACAAGAACTAATACCGGTAGATGGAGAGCTGCATGGTTCATAATCGGTAAAGCTCTGATCACGAGCTGCTCTGTTTTCTTGAACTTCATTTTTTGAATCTCTTGAGGACTTTTTTTTTTTTTTTTGGCAGGGGTGGAGGTGGCGGAGAGGTTCGCTCACTATGGGATCGGATCAAACTTGATAAGTTACTTGACTGGACCACTTGGTCAATCTACGGCGGTTGCTGCGGCTAATGTCAACGCTTGGTCGGGAGTTTCAACTATTCTTCCTGTTCTTGGAGCTTTTGTCGCTGACGCTTTTCTCGGTCGGTACCGAACAATACTCATCGCTTCTTTTATCTACGTACTGGTTCGTCTTGTTCTGTCTCTTCTTTTTCGATCTGTCAGATTCATTTCAACCTCAAGTTTGAGTTAGATTGTGGCTTCTTTGAGTAGAAACTGAATTGATCGTAATTTGAATTTTGATGTCAGGGACTGGCATTTCTGACTTTATCTGCGCTCCTAATTCCCAACACTACTGAAGTGACCTCTTCACCTTCGTCTTTTCTCAATGCGCTCTTCTTCTTCTCTCTGTATTTGGTGGCTGTTGGACAAAGTGGACACAAGCCTTGTGTTCAGGCTTTTGGCGCTGACCAGTTTGATGAGAAGGACCCTAAGGAGAATAGTGACAGAAGCTCTTTCTTCAATTGGTGGTGTCTTACTATGTGTGTAGGAATCTGCCTGGCCATTTTAGTGGTTGTGTACATCCAGGAATACGTTAGCTGGGCACTCGGGTTTGGAATCCCATGTGTGTTCATGGTGATCTCTCTTGTTCTTTTCGTGTTAGGGAGAAGAAGTTATAGGTACAGTAGAAGAAGACAAGAAGAAGAAACCAACCCTTTTACTAGGATAGGTAGAGTCTTCTTTGTAGCATTCAAGAACCAAAGATTGAGTTCCTCAGAATTGTGCAAAGTTGAGCTGGAGGCAAATCTATCTCAAGGTTCTCCAGAGGAGCTGAGGTATGTTTAAAATATAGCAATCACAGGTGTTACGGTTCGTAGCCTTATTGCATACTTGCATGAATATGAATTTAATCCACTTTTTTGTGTGACAGTTTTCTCAACAAAGCATTGCTTGTTCCCAATGATTCTCTTGATGGAGAAATGGCATGCAAATCAAAAGATGTAGAAGATGCCACAGCTCTTGTCAAGCTTATTCCAATATGGCTTACAACTCTAGCTTACGCCGTACCATACGCACAGTTCATGACTTTCTTCACAAAGCAAGGTGTCACTATGGAAAGAACAATTTTTACAGGTGTAGAGATCCCACCTGCTTCTCTTCAGGCCCTGATCAGCATAACTATTATCTTCTTTGTCCCCATTTACGACCGTGTTTTGGTCCCTATAGGAAGGTTAGTAACCAAAGACCCTTGTGGCATCACAACGCTCAAAAGAATTGGAACTGGAATGGTACTAGCAACTCTCACTATGGTGGTTGCAGCTCTGGTTGAGTCAAAACGCCTCGAGACTGCAGAAGAACAGGGGCTTATAGACCAACCAAATACAACTGTTCCAATGTCGATATGGTGGTTATTTCCTCAGTATATGTTGCTAGGATTAGCCGACGTGCACACTTTAGTGGGAATGCAAGAGTTCTTTTATAGCCAAGTACCCACTGAGCTGAGAAGTATCGGTATGGCCTTTTACTTAAGTGCGTTGGGCGTGGGAAACTTATTGAGCAGCTTACTTATCTCTCTGATCGACTTGGCCACTGGAGGAGACGATGGAGAAAGCTGGTTCAATAGTAACCTGAACAAAGCCCATCTCGACTACTTCTATTGGTTACTTGCAGCTGTTAGCGCCTTTGGCTTCTTTACGTTCATACTCATTTCTAGGTCGTACATCTATCGTTCGGTGGATGGAGTGTAGTTTCTAAATAGAAATATGTCTTTTTTAACTATGTATGATGATAATGAAACCAAATCCACTCGTTCGTACAGACAAGATTACAAAATATAAATGACACACGTACGTTGTAAGTAAAAACAACATTTATTGGAAAGAGTTACATAGAAAGCACAAATAGCACGGGAAATGGAATTAACCGAATAGAGTTTTGCATGAGTCAGTTCTTTACTTCTTTTCGATCACTTCTTCAAACATTTCATTTTTAAACGTTCAAATCGGCAGAGCCTTTTGCTTCGGCAGTGGAATTCATCATAATGTGAAGAGCCTCGACAATGAGGTCACAAAGGTGATGAGGGTCTGGAATCACGTCGACATCAACTCCAAGATTGATAATAGCTTTGTTTACATAGCTTTCTACGTGGATGATGAGTGCCTTGTCCAACAAACAGCATATTAGTTTCGTAGAGTAAGGTTTTAATCATTTAAACACATTGAGAACTGAGAAGTTTATTGGGTAGTATGTACCTGTGGAACACCAGAGATACTTGCGGCAACGTAAGATACTTGATGGTCGAAAAGGCTTATTTCTTCGGTTGGACCGGCAACATTTGACAATATGATTGTTGAACGACCAAATATTCTCATCGCAAGACTTCTCAGCGCCTAATAAAATTCCATTAAACTCATCATTTATATTCATTATATATATATCCAGTTATCAAAATTGAGATTGTTTTACTATCTCACCTTGAGTCCAAAAACTTCCACGGTCAACTTGAGTAACACATAGGAAAATAGAGGTTCAAAGGAGAGTTTTTTCCTATCCATAATAGTTTTGGCTCGTCGGATGTATTCAAATATATCAACTTCAATCTTCATCCATAGCGGAATCAGAGCAAAACCAATTGAGTTTCCCCATGATCTTGGCATTGAACCTTTTTCCATCAGTTTAGCAAGATCCTGTTTATTATATACATGAAAGAAAATATTAATTAGGACGTTGAGATTCCAATTATTTTTTAAGAAAAATGTTGAAGACCGTTTAGGGTGCGTAGTATGTTTGTTTGCACCTCGATCTTTTTATTTGATCTTAGGTTAAAAAATACAACACCATGAAGACATATCTTCTCTAGAGATTTTCTTGGCTTCGGATTTGTTTCAGAATCTGTTTTCCAAAAGCCAAATAAAAAATGTAAGAAATGATAACAAATGTAATTTCATGACAGTAATAAAGATTTACCATATTTTTCACTCAGATATCGTGAAAGACCAGCTTGCACCATCCCAATAATAACATCATTCACAGTCTAATCAAGGAAGGACAAGAAAATAATGAAGCTCCTCATGTTTGGTCAAATTATATTAATTAAACAAGATAAATAAAAAACAAAAACAAACAAACAACATACCATATTCATTGCATTCTTCACAAATTTCACATCATCCAAACTGATGACTCTATGAATAAACTTATTAGGGCTAAGTGTAGCGCTTGGTTTACTCATAAGAGGTGCTGAAGCGTCACGACTGGAGCATGCGATAAGCAAAAACTTGAAAACTTCAACAAGAGTGTGGAACATCAGTCTTACTATGAACCACAAGCGAGCAACCAACGACAAAAAAACGTTGGTTACATTGCTTTTTTTTGGAGCCAACAAAGTTGGTAATGCCTCGGGATCACTTGTTTTCCTACTACAAGCAAGCAAAAGAGACATGAGAGACATCCCATCACCCAAAGAATGATGAAATCTCGCCACGGCAAGAGACTCTGCATTTGATGTTTTCAGTTTCAGTATATGGATCTCCCATAACGGTTTAGATATATCTATAGGGGAAAAAACCATATTTGATGTGTAATCCTCAAGAAACTGATCAGGATTTTCAATGGTTGGATCTATATCCGGAACAACCACATGATCTTCAACTTTTACTTTTGTGGGGATCCATTTCGCTTTCTGTTCACCATGACCTGTCTCCTACAAAGTATCACATATATTAGCAAATCGTATCAAAGTGGCATGCTCGCAAATAAAAATGATAAAATTAATATGTATATACAATGAACGGGTGTGTGTTAATTACTAGTATGCTAGAGAAGCGTGGATGGTTTATCAACGTGTTTTTCAAGCCTTTAATAAAGGCTGATGGATTGGATTCGTTTTTGAATCCAATAGTTACGATGTTGAAGCAATCAAAACCGGGCAAGCTGAACAACCGCGAAAACGGGCTAACGGGCACCTCTCCGGCAGTCACTTGCATCTCCATTGCCATGTCTTCGTTTTGGCTGTGTTTATTTGAATGATTCCACAAAGTGCATGGTTGGTTTAAATACACATGCTAAGCCTCATATATCTTTCAATATTATTGTATTATCAATATTGAAAAGATGTTTAAAAGTTTTGTTCTATATATCAAGCTCTATAAAAACGTTTCTAAAATATTGTATTTCGTCAAGGGCATTTATTATTACTTTAGCCATGTCAATGAGTTCTGATCATAATTAAACGACTTTCTTGTTCTTATCTCATTTTCTTCTTTTTTTTTTTTGTGGTAAAATAATCTGTTTTTTTTTTTTTTTTTTTTTTTCATTTTTAGTTATCAATTTCTTAAGATTCTATTGCAACATTAAGGTCCCTACTGTTTACAGTTAAAGTGAGTAAGTGACTGCTGGCAGGGCAACAGTCCGAATAGTGTCACGATCAAATGGTAAATCAATTCCATGATAACGTGATCAGTATTTTAACGCCGATGTGATTCACTATTTAGTTATTTCTCATTCCATTTGCAAACCATGAATTATTTCCAGTAAAATTGTTAGAAATAATATAATCCATTAGGTTAATTAAACCTAATTAAAATAAGGTGAGTTTAGTTAGGGTTAAGCATGCAGTAGACTTAGAAATTGCAAGGTAGCGTATACCGCAGAGAAAACTGCATGGAGACTTACAGTATAACTTATCTCAAACTTACAATTAATTAAGTCCAACGATTGATTAGAATATATACATATATATTCGTGAACGAGTCCTGAGATTGATTAGTTGTAATTCACAACGATTAAATTGTGATTTTGCATATCGTAATACTAATATGTCAAGATCATGCGTTTACGTCGGAATGGCCTAGTTCACTTAATTTTGAAGACAAGTAAGCTGATCCGAATTAATTATTCGTGGTACTTTTCTTCTGCCAAGGTTAAAGAAAGAAACACGACTGAAACTCTCCAACAGAACCGCACTATTGAAATGTGTAGTGTACTAATACTATAGTGTTTTTGTCATTATCCTAATATATGTCTGATCCTGGAGACTGTACTCTTACCAGCAAGATAGGAAAGGAGTTATTAATTGTACCTGCTGACCAAAACTTCAAAGAAGGTTGTTGAATAGATTATATTACTGTTAAATGTAGAAAAAACGTTTTTTTTCTAATTCGTAAATGTATTACTTTGATGATGAGTTCTCATAAATAACGATTTTTTTTTTCTTTTTCTCATTGTGCATATCCTTTTGGTTTCATACTAAATATGAAAAAGCAAGAGAAATTAAACAAAAAATTAATAAAAAATTAATATATTATATTAATATGGAATGTGATATTTTATGTCTTTTCACAATTTTGTTTTACCAAATCAACAAAATTAAAAGTCAATTTAAGTAGTCAATATCTTAAAACCTTTTTAAAGCAAATTAGAGCCCCCAAAGTCTTAACTCTTAAATACTTTATCTGTCCTATTTTTAGCATTTTGTAATGTTTGTTTATCCTTAATATGTTTTATCTTCTCTTTGTGTGTAAGGTTTTTATCTTGTACCTCGTAAGAATTTCCTACCAGAAAAAAGATAAGAAATGGATTGAAACTATGGACCTATATATTTTTTGGCCCAAATACCGACCCATTGTTTCCTTATATAATAAGCTCAAAACAAAAAGTTATGAACGAAAGACGAACATATGACGTGAGGCGAGATGTTGAAAAAAAAAAAAAAAAAAAAAAAACAATGAGGCGTGAGCTTCATATCTTTCAAATAACCTTTTTGACTGAAGTCAACGTTTTCAAACGACTTTTGAAAAACCAAAAGAAAAAAAAAAAGAAAAAAAAAGGAAAAGAACATATGGTATATTGTTATCGTGTTCCTCATATAACGTGTCCGCGAAGCCAACTACGTCCCACACCTCTCAAATCTCAATCATATAATCTTGCCGACAAATGCTAAATATTGCTCGATTGAGAATAATTGGTTTTATACATGTATTTTACATATATGAGATGTAATGTAAGTTAGGTTAAATAATATATTGTTGTGGTTGTTCATCTTCGTCATAAATGACTCTTTCACATTGGCTTTACATCCCATGTTCATATTTAAACAAACACAAGCACAAGAACTGAAGCAATCTAAATTAGTTGAACATGTTCAAACGACTTTTCAAACAAACAAAGCACATATACTATAGTCCCTTTGATCGGGAACTTATACGCTGCATACGTTAATAGTTTTGTTAATACTTCCCTAAAAGAGTCAAAAGCCAAGAGTTCCTCCTTCAACTGGCTGATGTTTGGAAACTGTCTTAGCATCTTGAAGACTCGTTAGGTCTCTCTACCTACATTCAAGAGAACCTAAGTTGGTCACTAGGGTTTGGTATTCCAGGTGTTTCCATGTTGCTTTCTCTGTTTCATCTTCCTCCTTGGAACTACCTCTTACCGTTTTAGGAGTGGAGGAAAGAAAAACCCTTTCGCTAGAATCACTCGCCTGTGTTTTTATTCTGAAGGTTGCAGTTCATCTTTTACTTTGGCTTCACATCAGATTTATGTTTCAGATTTCTTGTTTTCTTATGTTATCTTGATTTGTATTTAAATGATGCCTCTTTTGAGGAAAATATATAAGATGATTAATATTAAAAAAAAAAATTGAATCAGTCGCGTGTGTTTTCATGGAGGCTTTAAAGAAAGAAGACATCCCGATTTAGATATAGCTAACGCGAACGAGACTCTCCTTCTCCAAGCTCACAAGACTTCCAAACAGTTCAGGTAACATAATTAACAGAAATGTGAAAAAAAATTATATTGAAAAAATGTTTATAGTTTCATTTTCTTGAATATTATGCAGATTCCTAGACAAGGCAGCTATTTCATGTGAAATGGATGAAAGTGAAGAAGCTTATTTGAATTATTGACTATGTATGTTGTAATTAAATAGCGTTTGTGTACATCCATATATGTAAGCACGCCGAGCATTTCCGTTAAACCTCTGGAGCATGAAAAGTCTTTTGAGGAGCAGCAGACTTCATCATGTGGAGAGCTTCGACGATGAGATCACATAGGTGATGAGGGTCTGGAATCACGTCTACATCAACTCCGATGTTGATTATGAGTTTCTCCACATAGCTCTGTATATTGATAACGAGACCCTGACATCGGAATTAAGTTTCATCAACGAAGGTTCCTAACTGTACTAGTGCATGAATACGGTGGAGAGACTTACACTTCTAATATACAATATCCTTAATAAATACATTGCATCATTTTACCTTTTTAATAACAATGATTTGAAATAATATGGATAATAAGTTTAGTTTAAAAAACCGCATTGGAAAAAAAAATATAAAACAATGTGAAATTAAAACAATATTCCAAAGAATACTCATTATCGGAAAATAATGATTTTCTCATTTTGTGTAAGAGAATAGAATACCTGTGGAACACCAAAGGTACTTGCAGCAATGTAAGATATACGATGGCCAAAAAAACTAATTTCTTCGGATGGACCAACCACATTAGTGAATATTATTGTTGTGCTTCCAAAAATTCTCGCTATTAGATTTTTAAGTGCCTGTTTTCCACCCCCACACACCCATATATGGCGATCAGATGCACAAAATACGTTTACTATATTTTGAACTACATATATATATGTATTAAGAATATTTTACCTTGATTCCAAAAACCTCCAACGTTAATCTGAGCAACCCATGGGAAAATAGAGGTTCGAGGGAATGTTTTTTACGATCCATCATAGTTTTGGATTGTCGAACATATTCAAATACATCATCGTTTGACTTCATCTCCAAGGGAATTAGAACATAACCTATTGAGTTCCCCCATCTACATTTTGAACCTTTTGCCATCATATTTGCCAAATCCTGCATACATATGTTATGTGTTAGATTCTTTCTACTTTTTTTTTTGTTAGAAAAAACAGATTCCTACTATTTTAAACAAGAGAAATAAGAAGCAAAGATCGTTTGGGGTAAGTATGTTATGCAGCACCTCAATATCTCTATTTGGCCTTAGATTGAAAAAAACAACACCATGAAGACGTTGTTCGTCTATAAGTTTTCTTGACTTTGGAGATGTTTCAAGATGATCTGTTCACATATTTAAGACAAAATATTGTAAGAATATTGTTAGTTTGTTTCATATATTACTTTATGATATTTAAACAAGAGAGATGATTTACCATATCTTTGATGCAAATATTGAGAAAGACCAGCTTGTACCATCCCAAAAACAATATCATTTACAGTCTAATAGAAAAAAAGAGGAAAAACGGATGTCAAAAAAAAAGGAGAAATTAAAAGACATAAAACTTCATCTTTCTAATTAAGCAACGTACCATATTCATGGCGTTCTTCAACATTTTGACATCATCCAAACTAATGATTCGATGAATAAACTTATTACTGCTAAGTGTAGCTCCTGGTTTACCCATTATATGAGCTGAGATGTCCCTCGCACGACAAATAAAAATCATAGACTTGATAACTTCAACACAAGTGTGGAACATTACTCTTACTATGAACCAGAACCAAGCAACCAATGCAAAACAAACGTTCTTCGCTTTGGTTTTCTTCGGAACCACAAAGGTAGGCAGCGCCTCGGGATCACATGTTTTCCGGGTACAAGCGAGTAAAAGAGACATAAGAGACATCCCATCGCCCAAAGAGTGATGGAACCTAGCCACGGCTACAGATTCGGCATGTGATGTTTTAAGCTTCAATATATGAAACTCCCATAAAGGTTTGGACATATCCATTGGAGAGAGAGCCATATTAGATGTATAGTCCTCTAGAAATTCATCAGGATTCTCAATGTTGGGATCTATATCCGGAACAATTACATGGTCTTCAACTTTTACTTTCGTTGGAATCCATTTAGCTTTTCCTTTCTGCTCACCATAACCAGTCACCTACATGTATCATATGATGTTAGGGATATTTCGTATACATCTGAGTGAGAGGAAGCCTAACCTAATATATTTATGGATAATATATGGCTAAACTTAGCATATAAACAATAAAAATGTGTGTACGTTAATTAGTTACCGACCAGTATGCTAGAGAAGCGTGGATGGTTGATCAATGTGTTCTTTAAGCCTTCAACAATGGTTGATGGATTGCATTCGCTTTTGCATCCAATGGTTACAATGTTGAAGACATCGAGACCTGGCAAGCTAAACAGCCGTGCAAATGGACTTACTGACATCTCTTCTTCCGTTACTTGCCTTTCTATTCCCATGTCTCTTATTTTCATTTCCGGGTTGAAGGAATTGTTCGACAAATTACATATGCAATAATTTTTATTTATAGACATACACATAGCTATTCGTTAATTATTAAATGAGGTTGTTGGGAAAGACATACATATAGGTTTCGTTAATTATTAAATGAGGTTGTTGGGAATCTAAATGCCTCAAATAAATTGTTGTTCAAGAGATAATTTTTTTGAAGCTTTGGGTAAAAGTATGTACCATAAAAGCTCTAGAAATTTTATATTCAGTAAACTAATAAATTTTGTTAATTCCAAGTCAGGTCAATGTATGAACTAACAAAATTTTATGAAAATAATAAGATTTTTTTTATTAATTTATGTTTTTAAGTTTTTAAAATAATTTTTCCTAAAAGTCATCCTTATAAAACAGTTTTAAGTTGTATTTGAAATAACTAGAAACTTGAAACTACTACGGAGACAAAAATACGGTAACTCCAAACTGAATCTTTATTAGAAATTCTTCAAACATAACTCTTACAAACTTATTTTATCAATGTTACACAACATCATAACCTGTGATTTGCCCCTAAACGATTCCTAATCTACCTAGCTTACCAGCACAACAGCTATTGACACTCTTTTATTCACTCACCCACGAACTCACTTTACCCACTTATTTTTCTTGGACCTGATAGAATCTCACATTTTTTTCTCTCAAAAGTGTTAAGCCTAATATAATAAACTCACTTCGTTTATATAGCTCAAACTTCACAGCTCCTTTCTTTATTCAACATGCACTATGAAATTCCACATCATCGTGTTGAGTTCACATAAAACACATATGATTGATTAAACTACTAAATAACAATAGGAAATAGAACAATTAGATAATAGTATATTATAATATCATGCTAATTTTTGAAAATAATTTTTCAATAATGCTTTGATAAAAAAATATTATTAATTAATTATTTACATTATTTTTAAGGGAAACATGAATCATGATCGGTTCGTTTGATTAAATTATTAATGAACCTCTCGTTAATTACTAGTATGCTTGAGAAGCGTGGATGGTTTATCAATGTGCTTTGCAAGCCTTCAATGGCTGATGGATTGGCCTCACTTTTGAATCCCATGGTTACGATGTTGAAGCAATCAAAACCGGGCAAGCTGAATAACCGCGAAAACTGGCTAACGGCACCTCTCAGGCAGTCACTTGCATCTCCATCGCCATATCTTCGTTTTGGCTGTGTTTATTTGAATGACTCAACAAAGTGGATGGTTGGTTTATATACACATGCTAAGCCACACACGTACACATCTTTCAGTATATTTGTATTGAAAAGATGTTTAAAAGTTTAGTTCTATATAAATAAAAACGATTATAAAATATTGTATATCATTTAGGGAATTTATTATCACTTTTGACCATGTCCATGAGTTTTTCATTTTTCACCTTTTTACTTATCAATTTCTTAAGATTTAATTGCAACATTAAGGTCCCAACTGTTTACAGTTGGATTAAAGTGATTGCTGGCAAAGGGCAACAGTCTTAATAGTCACGATCAAATGATAAATCAATTCCATAATCATGTGATCAGTAATTTAACACCGATGTGATTCATCACTTTTGATTTTTGTTAGCATACCATTAGTTATTTTAATTACATTTCATTTGCAAACCATGACCTAATTAAAATAAGGTCAGTTTAGTTAGGGTTAAAGGCTTGAAGCAGTAGAGACTAGTGCAAGGTTGCGTATATATACTGCAGAAAGAAAGAAAAAACCCGCATACAGTATAACTTGTCTCAAACTTACTACCAGCGATTGATTCGAATATATTCAGAACGATTGAATTGTGATTTTGCATTGTAATAATAAAATATATTATGTCAAGATCATGCATTAACGTTGCAATGGCCTAGTTGACTTACTTTTGACGACAATAAGCTGATCCGAATTAAAGTCGATCGTGGTACTAATTTTCTTCAGCCAAAGGTTAAAGAAAGAAACACGACTGAAACTCTCTAAGAAATCGCACGATTAAATTGTGTGTTAGGTTAATATATGTAGTGTTTAATTCTGGTCATTTTCCCTAATGTACAGTACATTCTAAGTTGACGTAGTGTGTCTGATCATGGAGACTGTAGACTTACCAGCAAGATAGGAAAGGAGTTGTTACCTATACATATCCGAGTAGGAATTTTTTAGTGTACCAGTCCAAAACTTCAAAAGAAGGTTGCCTGATTAATCAATTATATATTTAAAAAAAAAAAAAATTATATATCTATATTAACATTTTTGAAGTACCTTTTAGAAAATAACCTTTTATTTTGTATTATTTGCATAATAAATCCTTGCCATTTAAATAAATAACAAACTTTTAAAACAAAATTTGTAATTAAATTACATCAAAATCGCAAAATTAGAAACTAATATTTATTACATTTAACAAAATTTCCTAATAATGTCTTCCTAACAAATTGAATATATCTCCAATATCTTTATATGATCTTATTTGTTTTAAAATTTACATTATTACATAAAACATAAGTATAATAAAAATACAATTTTTTTGCATATGTAGCAATTTGAATTTTTGAAAACGGGCATATATTACTCAATCAATAAAAGAAAAAAACATATACGTATAACGTCCCACATCGGGTAGAAAAATTTAGACAGTGGTTCGGAATCATTATAAGTATGACTAATATGAAACTTAAAAATCCAAAATCTTGAATGGAAGATTACAAAAAAAAAAGTTATGCCAAATTTTAGGGAATCCAAAATTTTAAAATCTTGATTGGTTAAAAATGAGTTTTTGGAAAACAAAAACTAAAATCTCTCTCGAATCTATAAAACATTCAAGGTTTATATTTTACATAAATATGATTTAACGGGTTTGAGTTATATGTTTTTCTTACGGGTTATCTTACGGGTTAACAAAACAAAAAAATAACAAATATAGCTTAAACATAATTTTTTTAGTCCCGCGATTTAAGTAATAAAAATAACAATCAAAAATACAGTTACACAATCTTTAACACTAACAGGATAATAAAAATTAACAAATATAACTTAAATATATATTTTTTTAGTCAAAAAAATCGTCCCGCGGTGTATTGCGGGTTAAAAGCTAGTTACTGTTAAGATAGAAAACACGTTTTTTTTCCTATAATTCGTACATGTAATATTACTTTGATGATGGGTTCTCATAGATAACGATTTCTTTTTTCTCATTGTGGATATCATTTTAGTTTCATCTTTTCACCTTTTTTTTTTGTTTTTTACCAAATCAACAAAATTCAAAGTTAAATTAAGTAGTCAATGTCTTAAAATCTTTATAAAGCAAATTAGAGCCCCCAAAGTCTCAACTCTTCAATACTTAATGTATCCACTTTTTAGCATATTTTATTGTTTGTTTATCCTTAATTTATAATTTCTTCTCTTTGTGTGTTTAGGTTTGTATCTCGTATCCTTAATTGAGTTTATACATGTATATAGGTTTTCGTTGTTTTACATGTATGATTTATGAGATGTAATGTAAGTTAGATTAACTAATACTGTTGCGGTTGTTCATCTTAGTCATAAATGACTCTTCCACATTCGCTTTACGTACATCTCATGTTCATATTAAGACAAACACTAGCACAAGAACTGAAGTAATCTATAACTAGTTGAACATGTTCAAACGTCTTTTCAAATAAACAGAGCACATATCCCTTCTATCGAGAACTTAGGGCATCCTTAATGGGGGTATCTTAGCTTCCTAAGATACCCCTATTGAGCAAAGAAAATTTTTATATAAGATATTTTCTTTGAAAAAGTGGGGGTATCTTAGCTTCCTAAGATACCCCTATTGAGGATGGTCTAATTATAAGCTGCTGAAAGTGAAAAAGCAAAGGCAGTTCTTAGGCTTATTCCAAATTTCCAAATATGGACAACTACTTGCTAATCTAAAGCAAGTAGTAAAATATCATTTTGGAGCCAAAAGAATTGGCTACGTCCCGCCAACCACACAATAGCGTTTTAATATGGTATTTGCTATTAAAAAAACATTTAGAGCTTTTGCCCCCAAAAAAAAAAAACATTTAGAGCTTAGAAAATAAAACGTGGGAAGCGCAGACTTAATAGCAAATACCATATTAAATCATTTCATCGGATTGGTCTGCTCCAAATACCATTGTTATTAATGAAAGTAACTCCAACATTGCCTTTTGTAATACATCAAGCCCAGTTCAAATATTAATACATCAAGCCCAGTTCAAATATTAATACAATAAGCCCAGTTCAAATATTAATACAATAAGTCTGCGACTCCATACATAAGGGCATGTGCATCAGAGGGACCAATTTCTGGTCCCAAATTTTTTTTTTTCTTTTTTTTCTTTTTACAAAAAATTAAAAAAAAAAAAAAAATTATCCAATAGCGGGCCGCCACGTGTCAGTGGGGCCCGCGAATGGAAGAGGGACAGTCCCGTTTAAAGGAACAACCCGCACATAAAATTTTTTTTTTTTTTTTTCTTAAAAAACTGGGGGACTGCCATGGGACCTTCCAATGCCCATGGTGTAACACTATATAGACCAGACACTTATTAAAACGTGGTATAATCATCTGTCTTCTAAACTGAATTGGCTTTTATCCATTTTTGATATGGCTTCATGACAAACCAAGTCAACACGGCATACCAACCACGGGAAAGTAAAAAGTCAAAGAATTGTTCAGCCACATCTATCACTAAATTAAACCAATCTGATCAGTAATTTAGCAAAATTGCATGATTCTTTAAATTACCATTTAAACCAAAGCCTATCATGTTATTCGTGTAATATATATATATATATATAGACATAAACAAGAACACCTATTTTAGTAATAAAAAGAAAATTTTATAAGAGATGATATGATGTCTTTGGGATGAAGCTTGCCCAATTGTCTCACATAAAACTCCGCCATGCAGCGTTCTCCTCCTGGACCTAAAATCATTAACTGCGATGCAGCTTACGCTAAGTTGGTGATATATTAATCAACACACACATGGCATCGTGATGAGACGTATCTGCCTCCATCACCGTTGTCCATCCACATCAATTTCAATTTTATTGAAAGTTCTTATATTACTTTATCAAACAAGAAAAACCCCAAAAAGGTACTTTACTAGAAAGTATTTTATTTCTTTTTATAGAAAAGATTATACTATTTTATAAATTGAAAAAGATTAAAACTGATAATTGTTTTTGTTCCTTATGCAAGTTTTCAAATCTTAAACAGATATAGAAAGTTTCTGTAGTAAATAGAAGATGCAAGAAAGTGTATTTGGATTTTTATTTCACCGCTAGAAACAAAACCAAGTTGATTTATTAATTTTCCAGCCGACATAAAAAAAAATAATAATAATACGTTCATGATTATTTCCTTTAGTCAAATAAATATAAGTTTTCAAATGTGTACATAAATAATAAAAACGCCAAGATTACAATAAACTACGTATGCGATAACTCCTAAATAAACTAATTTGGACCAAGGATGCATCATCAAAAGCTGGAGGTCGATCCCTATCATCAATTGAGTAAATCTAACTTTTCACTTCTTTTTATCAAATTCTAGTAACCACCCGATTTTTGACACTTATTTTCCCCTCGTCCCCAACCACTTCATGTACGGTCTCATTCCTAGCACCAAAGACTTTGAGGCGTTGCAATTATTGATATATGGATCCATGATCCACTGTAACGTTTTCGTCGTGATTCACGTATTAAAAGCTGGCAGATTATAATATGAAACCTAGTCTCGATTTTGGTCATCGTAATGTACCAACTATATATATATATAACCTATAGATCAATAAGCCCTGTCAAACAAATATTTTAACAGGCAAATGTCGATGGCCACGGCCGATACTGAGACTGGAACTACAGTTTCAAACGATATTGTTCAGGGCTCCGTCGATTTTCGAGGCAAGCCATCCGTCAGATCCGCCTCGGGTGGATGGAGATCTTCTGGCTTCACCATTGGTAAAGTTTTTGACCTATTTTTTCTTGCACCATGTATTCAAAGTCTCAAACTAAACTTTCCCGCCAACTAAACAAGAGAATATATATTCCGGCAGGTGCGGAAATGGCAGAAAAATTTGCCTACTTCGGGGTAGCTTCAAATCTGATGACCTACTTCACTGGGCCGCTACAAGAGTCGACCGCGGCTGCAGCCTCAAACGTCAACCTCTGGCTCGGAACAGCTGCTTTTTTGCCTTTGGTATGGGGTTCTATTGCCGACTCGTTTCTTGGCCGTTTCCGTACCATCCTCTTAACCTCCTCTTTCTACATCTTGGTAATAATTTTTATGATCCCCTACACTTGTTTTATGGTTGTTCCTACTTATTAAAATTCTCTAATATACTTATTTTGTGTGCTCTTGAATTTTATAGGGACTTGGGCTGCTTACGTATACAGCAACAATTCCTGATCTTTGTGCAGATCAAGAAACACATGATTCTTGCGTTTCTCAGGTCAAAATAGTAGTCTTCTTCTGTGCTCTCTATCTGATTGCTTTGGGGGAAGGAGGCTTCAAGGTATGTCTTCGAACTTTCGGAGCAGACCAGTTTGATGAACATGATCCTGAAGAGTCCAAAGCCAAGAGCACCTACTTTAACTGGTTGTATTTTGCGATATCAACCGGCATATTCACCACTCGGTTGGTCATCAATTATGTCCAAGAGAATCTGAGTTGGGCTTTAGGATATGGGATTCCATGGCTCTCCATGATGCTTGCCCTGTTCTTGTTCTTACTTGGAATCAAAACTTACCGCTTCAGCACTGGCGGAGAAGGTAGACAAATAAAAAAAACATAGCAACCCTTTTGTTAGAATTGGACGTGTCCTTATTGCTGCAGCCAAAAATCGACGACAAACTCCTTCGGAAGAGACTTGTCTTCTTCTGCCTGACGAAAGTTCGAATAAATACAGGTAATACTAAGTTTACATATTTTTTTTGTCAATATGCTAATCTAAAATTTAGTTAAACCATAAACCTATTACGCATCATCTTTTTATAATAAGTAGTAAATAAATGAATAGACAAAATATTCTAAATCTATAAATCTTAAAGTATGTGTTCGTTCGTTCGTGTGGCATGTTTGATATTTGTGTTTTGTCACTTGTACAAGATAGTAAAATACTTTTAAATAATACAAACTTTGGCATATGCAGATTCTTGAACAGAGCGATAATTTCGTGCGATTCATATGAAGTTGAGGAAGCAAAAGCTGTGTTGAGTCTCATTCCAATATGGATATGTAGTTTAGTGTTTGGCATTGTGTATGGACAATCTCCTACTTTCTTCACAAAGCAAGGTTCTACAATGGACAGATCAATCACACCAACACTCTTAGTCCCTGCAGCTACACTCCAATGCTTCATAAGCCTTGCAATTCTCTTCTTCATCCCAATCTATGACCGTTTATTCGTCCCAATCGCACGATCATTCACTCATAAACCAGCAGGGATCACAACGCTTCAGAGAATTTCCACAGGCATTTTTCTATCAATTATTTCAATGGTGACAGCTGCTTTGGTCGAGATGAAAAGGCTCAAGACCGCTCGAGATCACGGGATGCTTGATTCGCCTGAAGCCATTGTCCCAATGAGCGTTTGCTGGCTGATTCCACAATACGTTCTCTTTGGAGTGTCTGACGTTTTCACTATGGTTGGATTACAAGAATTTTTCTATGGACAGATCCCGGTCGAGCTTAGGAGCATGGGGCTGGCTCTATACCTAAGTGTTATCGGCATAGGAAACTTCTTGAGTAGTTTCATGGTATCGGCCATAGAGATAGCCACAAGCCAGTCCGGTCAAGCGAGCTGGTTCGATAATAACCTGAACCAAGCACATCTTGATTACTTCTATTGGCTACTTGCTTGTCTCAGCTCCATCTCCTTCGTTTGCCTTGTCCATCTCGCCAAGTCGTATGTCTACAAGAGCCCAAAGTAAACTCTCCAACAATTTTGTGGAATAATGTCACGTTGAATGACATGAAAGAAGTTTAATGGAAATTGTGAGACGGATGAATAAATAAAAATTTATTTACTATTTACGTTTTTGTGGTAAGAAAAAATCTTACGCCGAGTAGTTTGGAAAACTTACAAGGAACAGTTGCACCACATTTCAACCAGAGCATGTATATTAGTTTAACAAATACATAACTTAATTATCAAATACAACCAATATTAGACTATAAGATACTATTTCTATTTTGATGCAAGAATCATTAATTATTTATATGACATGATTGAAATAAGTTGATTCTACCCAACCGCTACTCTCCAAGTTCATCTTTAGATATGCTTTCTAGGTTACCATACACATAGCATATGGAGGGAAATATATGGGAGAAGCAGTGGCGGATCCAGCCCAAAAATTAAGTGGGTGCAAAGTGACACTTTCAGGATTCGAACTCACCATCTCTCATATATTATACATGTAAACATAGCCATTTTGCTACATTGATAATTATGAACAAAGTAATTTTTTAAATAATTTGTAAGTTACTGGTGGCAGCTGCCACCACCAACCACAATGTAGGTCCGCCCCTGGGGAGAAGACAAGGTGACACTTCCATCCCCCAAAACTCAATAGTGTAAGAAACAAGCTCAGCACTATATGAACTCAAGGTGCCTACGAACGCATACAAATGAGGAGTTCGGAATTCGATCTAAAAGCTACTCTCTCAATATATCTACTCCTTTGGTTCATTTATTGTAAAAACAGTTTTTTTTTTGTTCTGTGGAATACAATTTGATATTCATTCAAAAAAATAATGAAAAAGGTACTTTACTTTTAAAAAGTCTATTATTAGTTTATTACATAGTACTACTTATTTAAAAAGATCAAAATTGACAAATATATATATATTATTTTAAAAGAAAGTTTTTGTTGTAGTAAACAGAAGAGGTACAAAATAATTAATTTGATTTTTCTTGTCACCGCTACAAACAAAACAACATGATTTATTAACTGGGCAAGTAGCGAACAGAAAATAAAATTCAATACGACTATGATGGAATTAGTCAAAGAAAAATTAGTTTTTATAAAACATCTATATAAATGATAAAAATTCGAAGATTACAAATCATCTGACGTCTGCCAAAAATCTTGAATAATTCCATTGGGCCAGGATGCATCATCTAAAGCTGGAGATCTGATCGGCCGTCTCATCAATTGAAATCTAACCTTCATTAACTTTTTATTTTGACAACTTCATGTACGGTGTCATCCCTATACACCGTAGACTTTTTTGGTTTACGCAGTTATCAATTAATGGAGCAATCAATAGCGTTTTCGTCGTGGCTCACGTGTTAAACGCTGTCAGAATCTAATATGATGAAAACGCTAGACTTAGATAGATTTTGGTCAGTGCATGTGAACTCCAGGACAGGCATGCATGTAGATATCGGCCGTATCATCATCATATGTGAAATCTAAAATCTTGCATTGATTTTTATCAATTATATATAATAACCACCAGATTGTGCAAATTTCTCCTCTTTTCCAACCACTTCACACGGCGTCATTCCTGTCACCTATGAATTTTTTTTTTTTGAATGTAACCTATGAATTTTATAGCGTCGTATTTATCAATAGACCAATCAATAACGTTCTCGTGACTCACGTGGCTAATATATAAGATATGAAAGCATATTCTAGAATTTGGTCAATGTGATGCGCCAAAGTTGTGTATATACTATATATATAACCCTATAGATCAATGTTGACTTTAGAACACACAAAAAAAACTTATAGATCAGTAATTCTGAAACAATATTATAACTGGCAATGTCGATGTCCAAGGACGATAAGGAGGCTGGAATTATAGTTTCAGACGGTATTGTCGAGTGCTCTGTGGATTATCAAGGCAACCCATCCGTTAGATCAACCTCGGGTGGATGGAGATCTTCTGGCTTCACCATTGGTAAGTTTTTGACCTTTCTTCTTTTCACCACTTTACTCAAACATCTTTCCGGCCAACTAAAAGAAGATGATACATTCGGGCAGGTGCGGAAATGGCGGAGAAATTTGCTTACTTCGGGGTAGCCTCAAATCTGATGACCTACTTCACGGGGCCGCTACAAGAGTCGACCGCGGTTGCAGCCTCAAATGTCAACCTCTGGCTCGGAACAGCGGCTTTTTTGCCTTTGGTATGGGGTTCTATTGCCGACTCGTTTCTTGGCCGTTTCCGTACCATCCTTTTAACCTCTTCTTTCTACATAATGGTAATAACTAATCCCAAAGTTTCCTCTTATTCACTAATGGCCAGTTGGTTTTAAGACTGAATCTCATATTTCTTGAAAATCTTTAATGTCTTCTTTATAGGGACTTGGGTTGCTTACTTTTGCAGCGACGATTCCCGATCTCTGTGCAGATCAAGAAACACATGATTCGTGCGTTTCACAAGTCAAAGTAGTAGTTTTCTTTTGTGCTCTCTATCTGATTGCGTTGGGTGAAGGAGGTTTCAAGGTATGTCTTAGAGCTTTCGGAGCAGATCAGTTTGATGAACAAGACCCTGTAGAGTCCAAAGCCAAGAGTACTTACTTTAACTGGTTGTATTTTGCGATATCAACCGGCATATTGACCACTCGGTTGGTCATCAATTATGTCCAAGAGAATCTGAGTTGGGCTTTAGGATATGGGATTCCATGCCTCTCCATGATGCTTGCTCTGTTCTTGTTCTTGCTTGGAATCAAAACTTATCGCTTCAGCTCTGGAGGAGAAGGTAGACATGGAAAAAAACATAACAACCCTTTTGTTAGAATTGGACGTGTCCTTATTGCTGCAGCCAAAAACCGACGACAAACTTCTTCGGATGAGACTTGTCTTCTTCTGCCTGACGAAAGTTCGAATAAATACAGGTAATACTAAGTTTACATATTTTTTTTTTTTTTTGTCAATATGCTTATCTAAAATTTAGTTAAACCACAAACCTATTACGCATCTTCTTTTTATAATATTAAGTAAATGAATAGACAAAATATTCACCTAACTTCAATTTATAAATTTTAAAGTATGTGCACGTGTGGCATGTTTTGTCACATTTTCACTATAAATTTTCGAATAGAGATGTTATATATATAAAAAATGTTCGACCAGATATTTATGTATACAACGTATACTTTACATTTTATTCCACTTTAGACAATTCCATACGTAAATTCTATTTTACACAGACACAAAAATTGTTGACGTTTACATTTAGATTATACAAAAAAAAAAAAGAATGGAAAGTAAAAAAACTTTTGTGTTTTGTGACTTGCTTGCTTCAAATGTTGAAACATAATAAAATGTTAATAAATAAAAAACTTTGGTAAATGCAGATTCTTGAACAGAGCGGCTATTTCGTGCGATTCATACGAAGTTGAGGAAGCAAAAGCTGTGTTGAGTCTCATTCCAATATGGATGTGTAGTTTAGTGTTTGGCATTGTGTATGGACAATCTCCTACTTTCTTCACAAAGCAAGGTTCTACAATGGACAGATCAATCACACCAACACTCTTAGTCCCTGCAGCTACACTCCAATGCTTCATAAGCCTTGCAATACTCATCTTCATCCCAATCTATGACCGTTTATTCGTCCCAATCGCACAATCATTCACTCATAAACCAGCAGGGATCACAACGCTTCAGAGAATTTCCACAGGCATTTTTCTATCAATTATTTCAATGGTGACAGCTGCTTTGGTCGAGATGAAAAGGCTCAAGACCGCTCGAGATCACGGACTGCTTGATACGCCTGAAGCCATTGTCCCAATGAGCGTTTGCTGGCTGATTCCACAATACGTTCTCTTTGGAGTGTCTGACGTTTTCACTATGGTTGGATTACAAGAATTTTTCTATGGACAAGTCCCGGTCGAGCTTAGGAGCATGGGACTGGCTCTATACATAAGCATAATCGGCATAGGAAACTTCTTAAGTAGCTTCATGATATCCGTCATCGAGATGGCCACAAGCCAGTCCGGTCAAGCGAGCTGGTTCGATAATAACCTGAACCAGGCACATCTTGATTACTTCTATTGGCTACTTGCTTGTCTCAGCTCCATGTCCTTCGTTTGTATTGTCTATCTCTCCAAGTCGTATGTCTACAACAACCCAAAGTAAACTCTCTAGCGATCTTGAGGAATAGTTAATGTTATACGTTGAGTGACATGAAAGAGATTAGATGGGAAATAGTGAGACGGATGGATAAATGAAATAGTATTCACAATTTATTTTGATTGTTAAATCATTCTTCATATTTTTGTGTTAATATATCGGTGATTAACGCTTTAGTGGTAATAAAAGCTTTGTATACATACATCAAACTGTAAAAGGAAATAGCATCATTCCAACCCAAAACACAACTTATTCCTCCCCACGTGGGCTGTGGTAACATAGATGACTTAGCTTTAGCAATTGGGCTGCATTAAATATATGTTAATTTACATAATTGGGCCTAACACCCAACTAATCAAATTACATATTTTATAGTTTAGACAATAAGCAACTCAAATAGTTTTTTTTTTGTTTTTTTTTTTTTTGTCAACAACTCAAGTAGTTTTTTTTTTTTTGGTAATAGAAACAACACAAGTAGTTTGGCTGGCAGGGGAGAGAAAAGACAACCTTCTGATGCGAGTTGTTCTGTCTTCATCTGTTGATGCGAGTTCACTATGGTAGAAACAAATATATTAAAACATAGCGTACGTAGGTTTACCAAAAAAAAAAAAAAAAAAAAAAAACATAACGTACGTAATTTTATAAATTTTTTATATTATAATTTCATTTTGTATAGTAGTAGCATAAATCTTATTTTAGGCTTTTAGCCGTAGTGGCATTAGCATAAATCTACTAATATTACACATAGTCGTCATAGCATTAGCATAAATCTACTAATGCTACTAATTTTGTCTAGTAGTAGTAGTAAACTAGTAATAGGGTTAACATAAATATGTTGATTTATGCTTCTAGTTATGTGTAGTAATAGCATAAATTAAAAATTAAATCTTAATTTTAGTTGTAGTAGTATAAATCGTGTGTAAATTTGAAGCCGAATATTGCTAACTCATGCCCGGAGGTAATGTCAATCACTCAATTTGGTTTCTCTTTTGTCATTTCATGATAAAAGAAACAAAGCAAGTTGTCTCGTCATGTGATGTAAAAAGACCATATGATGGTGAAAACGGCAAGTTTCGTTTTTTTTGGGGTCTTTTTCAGGTAAGAAACGGCAAGTGTTCACAATTCACAAACACACTTTTTTTTTTTTTTTTTTTTAATTGTGTTCACAAAACACATTAGACAAAAAGAAGCGTTTGCCCTTTCCGTGAAATTACAAGAACTAGTTACATTAACGTATAATTGTCGGATAACATTTTGCAAATATTTTAAGCTATTTGCTTGTTTGCCCCCAAGTTTCTAACTATAAAAAAAATCCATATTCGTGTAAGTCGTAACGTAAAATTGAAAGAATAAATTAAAAAAAGTCAGATACGATGATCTTAGCATCTTTTTACAAAAGAAGTAAATAATAGTATCAAATATGATTTTATTATTAGCCCTCCCACCTAAATAGATATAAGAAATTCTTAATTATAAGGATACTGCAAACTAGGATCAATCATTGTTAGGAATGTATATAAAAATACAAGTAAGTGGGTTATGAAAAGAAAAGAAAAAAAACCAGCTAAATGCGATGTAAAGAGTGTATTAATAATAATAAGATGGCAACAGCGATGATGAACAAAAACAGCTTTCTTTCTTCTTTTTTTTTTTTTTTTTTTGTGTTGAGAAAAGCAACCCAATGAAGGGATTTTTAACGGATCAATCCGCCATTGTATACTACCAACTTTACTTTTTCGAATATGTAATCAAAATATATATATATATATATATTATTTGTGGATACGTATTTATAAGGTTTAGTCTTTAGAATGTAAATTGAATTCATATTAGGTGGCAGAAAAAACCTTTTGATGACCAAATAGAATATAGAACATACTATGCCATGTTTGGAATTTAAGTACTGTCTTATATGATGACTTTAACCGTGGGGTTGATGACAGCTCTAGTAGTAGTACCTATTGCAATTTTCTCCTTAATCTCTGGTTTTGAGTTCGAGTATAGAATTACAACTTACAACAACGCATCAAACAACGGTACGTGCCAATGTATATATGTTTATAGTATAGATGACCAAATACAATAATTTGAGGATTTCTTTACGTGCGAAGTAGTCTCTGGGTGTTACTTTTAGCTATATGTCTAAATGTGATCATGACATACTAGAGTTGAACCTTGATGAGACTTATGGATTCAAAACTACTCAGATTATCAACACAAATGGAGGTGTTGATATGTCGTAACATAAATACTTCAATTTATTTATACATTTTTGATATAAAAAAAATATATTTATACATGCACATGTGAATCTTTTCGGACCATGAAAGAAATTCTCAAGACTTCGTTTCCCCTTTTCACAAATGAAACTTATATATATGTATAACCTAGATTGAAATATAGTTAATTACTATAAGATTTTTGTCCCAAAAAATTACTATAAGATAAAGACAATGTCCTAACGTTCAGTGTACGTCAACAACTTGAAACAGGTGAAAGAAATGTTTATTTTGGATAGGCATGCAATTGCACACCATCACACTGCACGCAAAAGAAAGGAAATAAAAGCCATGTTTTTTTTTTTTTTTTTGATTAATAACATGAAATAAAAGCCATGTTATTAATTAACTATACTGTATATACTACGTTGATATCTGTGTTAATTACGGTTTAATCCTTTGAAAAAAAAATCTGACGTCTAAATAATTCATCACAAAATCATGACGGTTGATATGATTATATGAACATCAGTCAAAGTTTTCGAATTATGAACAAAACTATCGTGACATTCGCTAATTTGGTGTCAATATCTGTCTCAGTTATTAATTATTATTAACTAGTATCGGATATTATCGACGAATTCATTAAAAAAGTTGAAATGATCTGTATTTTATATTGATTTTCAAACGAGCTTTTTTTTTGTAAACTTTTTTCAAACGAGTTATACTTATAAATTTTTCTGATATCTGGGAGTATGATATGAATAAGTAAGGGCATTAAACGCGGTTACAGATTTTATTTACCAAAAAAGCTTTGTTAATATTCGACGAATTAAATAGTAACATTTTCTTGGAATTAATTTTGAAATCTTCATGAATTTATTGCTTTTGTACTAGAATAAAATACCCAAAAAAAATCTCATACTAATTTTTTACTTAGTTAATACTTAAAACTTTGGATTGAATACTAAACTTAATTTATTTTTACAGCAAAATGAAACTGGCGTCCAATCTTTTTTCGATTACTTGAAAATACAGAAACCAAAAAAATATTTATTAGAACTATAGATACAATCAATTCCAACTTAAATTCTATAAATAAGTTTTTCTACTATAATTTAATATCTGGTTTAGGCTAATAATATTATACTTCTGATTCGTGTTTATCCTTTATAATGAGAAAAATAAAAACATCTTTTAACATGTAATAAGAAATTGTATGTGTTGTTACTAATGTTATGATATAAATAACATGGTGTCATGATTTGAAACACAACTTTACTTTATAATAAAAACATGACTAGCATTAGCATGCTACTGTCCTTTCTCTTTACCGTTTCAGAAATGATTCCACTTTTTTTTTTTTTTTTGCCCCATTGCTTTCTGTATCTAATTTGAAAATATATCTTCTTTAATTGTAAAGATTTTGATAATTAATTAGGCACATAGAAAAGAATCTTGACAACTATGAAGAAAAGCAGTATATAATATCTTCAAATCAAGAAGAATCATAATAAAAATATATTCACAAAAGTGTAAATATAGTAACTAATATAATGTTAATTATGGAGAAACCAATTATAATACAACAAGGTAAAATAGGATTTGGTTAGAAATGGAAGTTTTACCAAAAAAACAAAAGACGGCCGTTGGGAGAAGAAAGAAGGAGGACCCCAAAGAGAGAGAGAGATGTGTGTTCGAATGAGCTGTCAAAACAGCTCCGACCAGTCTGTTCCCTTTTGCCAAATTCCTCTGTTTCGTTTTTTCTTCTTTTTTATTTATAAAAACCTCTCCTTCTTCCTCTTCTCTCTCTCATCACTAACCCTTCTCTCTTTCACTTTCCAAATTCTCTCTCTCTCTTTTTCTTGAATTTTTGAAAGATGGCTCAAGAAGAGGTACAAAAAGCAGCTGATGTCGCCGCCGCTGCTTCCGTGACTGAGAAACCTATGACTGATAAGGAAGTTACGGTTCCTACCCCTGTGCCAGAGAAGGAGGAAGTGGCTGCTCCTCCTGCCTCTGAGGAGAAGGAGGCGGTTCCGGAGAAAGAGTCCTCCCCGGTGGTTGAAGATGAGAAATCTGTTCCGGCGAAGGAGGAAGAGACTGTTGTTGTAGCTGAGAAGGTGATTGTTTTGACGGCTGAGGAAGTTCAGAAGAAGGCACTTGAAGAGTTCAAGGAGCTTGTGAGGGAGGCTTTGAACAAACGGGAGTTCACTGCTCCCGTGAAGGAAGAGAAACCTGCTCAGGAGGAGAAGAAAACAGAGGAGGAAACTAAAGCAGAGGAGAAAACAGAGGAGAAGAAAGAAGAGACAGCCACTGAGGTGAAGGTTGAGGAAGAGAAGCCTGCGGTTCCAGCGGCGGAGGAGAAGTCATCAGAGGCGGCTCCGGCAGAAACCAAACCCGAAGAGAAAGCAGCCACTGAAACAACCGAGAAAGCCTCTGTTGCTGAGGAAGATGGAACCAAGACCGTTGAAGCGATCGAAGAATCGATCGTCTCTGTTTCACAACCCGAATCCGCCGTGGTAGAGACCGTGGCCGTCGCCGAGGAGGAGCCAGTTGAGCCGGAAGAAGTCTCGATCTGGGGAGTTCCACTCCTCCAAGACGAGAGATCCGACGTGATCCTCACGAAATTCCTCCGTGCAAGAGACTTCAAGGTCAAAGAAGCTTTAACCATGCTCAAAAACACCGTCCAGTGGCGTAAAGAAAACAAAATCGACGAGCTCGTCGAATCAGGAGAAGAAGCGAGCGAGTTCGAGAAGATGGTATTCGCTCACGGTGTTGACAAAGAAGGACACGTCGTGATCTACAGCTCCTACGGTGAGTTCCAGAACAAAGAGCTTTTCTCCGACAAGGAGAAGCTTAACAAGTTCCTCAACTGGAGGATTCAGCTGCAAGAGAAGTGCGTGAGAGCTATCGATTTCAGCAACCCCGAAGCCAAATCTTCGTTCGTGTTCGTCAGTGACTTCAGGAACGCTCCAGGACTCGGCAAGAGAGCGTTGTGGCAATTCATCAGACGTGCTGTTAAACAATTTGAAGATAATTATCCTGAATTCGCCGCTAAAGAGGTATCATATTTTTCGTCACAACATGCAATATCCGTGATTTAACCAGGATTATGACATTAACATTAAATTTAGTATTAGAATTAAATATGATATAGTACTAATTTTTCATTAATCATAGGCTTTTAAGAAGTTTATAATTGGTTGATTTTGTTTTTATTTTAATTGCAGCTATTCATCAATGTGCCATGGTGGTACATACCTTACTACAAAACATTCGGATCTATCATCACATCGCCAAGGACTAGGAGCAAGATGGTCCTTGCTGGTCCATCCAAATCTGCCGATACGATTTTCAAGTAATTAAACGTTCTTTCACTTTAAACCATTTCATAATACGTTTTTTTTTCCTCACCGAGGCTTATATTATATGTTGGTCGAAAACAGATACATAGCTCCTGAACAAGTCCCAGTTAAATACGGCGGACTTAGCAAAGAGGTTCCTGCAGCCACTGTAGAAACCGTAACAGAAGCTATCGTTAAACCGGCAGCAAACTACACCATTGAATTGCCTGCTTCTGAGGTACTATTTTGCCTATAAACCCTATATTATATACATTCAGAATAGGATTACTATTAATAGTCTAATAAGTTGATATTGTAAAAATGTTGTTGATTAAGAAGGGTTAATGTTAATTTGTGGCAGGCATGTACGCTCTCATGGGAGCTTAGGGTTTTGGGCGCAGACGTGAGCTATGGAGCTCAGTTTGAGCCAACCACCGAGGGAAGCTATGCTGTGATCGTCTCTAAAACCCGGAAGATTGCATCAGCTGACGAACCGGTGATAACCGATTCTTTTAAGGTGGGTGAACCGGGAAAGATTGTGATCACAATCGATAACCAGACTTCCAAGAAGAAGAAAGTGCTTTACAGGTTCAAAACTCAACCAAGATCTGATCTTTGAAACTTTAAAATCCAAGAACCAAGAAAGAAGCAAAAAAAGAAGAAAGTTATTTTGTTATTTGGGGGGGAACAAAATTTTAATTAATTAATTTAGTTTGTTATATTATTTATTATGTTTGAAATCTCAAGACGTGGTTGTGTTTTTTGGCTTTGTTTTTGGTATTGGGGTTTGTTTTTGTGTGTGGGAGAATATGTGATTAAAATTCAAAAGAAGAAAAACACTTTGTTTCATTTTTGTTTTTACCTTTAACTTTTTTTTATTCCTTACTTTTGTTTGTAAAATTGTGTATATCTTAATGTATCCATTACTTACATTTGTCTTTTTCTATTTACTCCTTGTTCATGAAATTGATTCTGAAACAAATATGTTTTCTTGGTAACGCATTCGGAAAAATTAGAGTTGAAAGTTACATTAGGTAATGCTCATACCAAATGTTTTAAGTCTAATGTAGTATTATCATCAAGGTATAGAGATAATGGTCAGTGGATATATAGCTTAAGCCTTAAGAGATAAGGAGAAGAGACGTGTCAAGACTGATTTGTAGATTTGTTGTTGTATATCAAAAGATTGATAGAGAGATATGAATATAAATATGAAAAAGATCCCTCTGTATATGTATATAAATAGATGGAAGTGGATAACACTGAATGAGACATTAAGGACGAGATATTATAAGAATGGACCCTCTTTTGTTGAAAAAATATATGGACTAATAAGTCGTGGATAAGACATGGATCACAGAATCAAAAGCACATATTAGATTTGTCATAAAGAGAAACAAATAAATTCAACTGTATAAACTCTATGCTACTTGTAGGATTTGTTCGAATCTATTTTCTCTTGGAAGACCAAAGATAAGTCTGTTCCGGGTGTTTATTTTCCAAAGACAAGTCTATTTGTCGTATTATTTTTCAAAGAGATGGTTCGAAATTTGACTCATAAATATCGGATTATAATGAATAATTAGTCTGTTTAGAAGATTGACCACAGATTGAGTTCAGCTGTTCAGGATGTTAAAACGATTTAAGAGCCCAACAGAAGACAGAACAATGGTCCTAATACTGACAATAATTTTGTTTAAGTTTGTAATCAATGAATGGCCGTTGATTTATGTTCGAACTTTGAATTGACCTAATTAACATAAATATCTCACTGAATATTATGTGTATTGCCCAATCTAGTCAATGAATATAAACTGCTAATTAAACTAGGCTCATGATTTGGATTAGATTCGTTTCACATGCAAGTTAAATTATCATCTTCACGATATATGGTTTATAATTATCTTTTGATGATGAAACAAAACTAAGTAAAAAACAAAAACATGATTGGCAAGCAAATGTAGATTAACAACAAGTAGTTTATACCTTTTTAACGTGGAATAATATTACCAAAACATACGAAAATACACAGATAAATAATTGATGGGGGATAGGTGTGAATATTTTTTTATTTTATTTTTTTTGTAACAGACTTGATAGGTGTGAATGTTGACAAATGCAAACTAATAATGGCTAAATTGGCTATGCCCTACTCATTAATTAAGTCTAAAGTTAATATCAAGTGACTTGTCATCAAGTCTAATCCGCATGTTTATCAAAGTATATAATAGTTAAATAAATACTATCAACTACGGCCCTTACCAGTTACCCTAATGATCAAAACAAATAATTTCATCTTAAATTATATAAAACAACTGTATACATGTCATTGCCCTTTAGGTTTTTCGTTTCTTCTTCTTCATCCACCTACGTGATTACTTAAACTGGTCTAATTGTATACTTTTTTTTGTGTGTCGACAATAGCATAATATAATTTACAATTGATATGTAAATTTCAATACTAGAAGCTAAAAGAGAAAGTATTTCTACCAAAAATAGATTGTTGCTTCACCATAAATACCATCATCGTATATTTAGAATTTGGACTATTTTATAACAACATCCACCAAGAATACAGAGTGTCAACCTGAAAACAGCTAAAGTTGAGTTTTAAGTTTTTTTTTTTGGTAGAAAGCGTGAATTTGTAATGCTAACATAATTGAATAATATATGTAAAAAGAATGGGAGTGATCATAATGTCTGGTCTGAAGACAGTTCGGAGGATCATATGAAAAAATGCATATATAATCTTAGCAATAAGAAAAAGAAGGGGACATGCGTGGACCGACACAACACAAACAGCCATGAATGCAATTTGAACATATTCACTACTGCCCCTAGTCTTCGCATGTGCTTCTTCATCAATTCCTCATTCACTTTCTATTTGCTTTTTTTTTTTTTGTGTTTCTTACTTATATAAAATCTTAAGAGAAAATGATAAGATATCACTTTCACAAAATTGAATTACACAATACTTGTGGTTGGTTGATCACTTCACTTCCATAAATAGTGAGATACAGTATGTGTTTACATTACATATGTTTGTGAGTGTGAAAAAGAGTTGTAATACATAACGAGCGACTAACAAAATTGATAAACCGCCAAACATGATTTTCTTCCATATTCAAAACTTTGTTTAATTTTGATTAGTAAGCAACGATAAAACGAGAAAAGCGTGAAAAGGGTTTGTATGGTAGTGTAAGGGGTTGATCTTCTTGTCATATGGGTTCAAACCTTCTTAAGAGACGGAAATGTACATTCTTTAAATCGGAATGGAATAAAAACTGGCTTCGGATACCGGAAAAAAGATTATGGGCAAAAAAAGTTGAAACTCTCGCGGTTTAACGGAAGATAAAATAAAGTAGCCAAAGCTAAAATACTTTTTGTGGTTTTAATTTGTAGGTGGAAATAGTTAGGTTAATTCATAAATAAAGCTCTTTGAAATCTTGAAATTGCATTGATTTTGAAAGAATTTTCACAATCCATAATTGACATTTGAATGATGCAACAGCCAACAGTTTTTGAGTAAGCAAGACACAGATTGAAACCTCTCCCACCCACTCCAGTCTTGAGACAACAACAACCTTATGTCAGTGTCGGAGAGAAGTTGTTCCAACGTGTAAATCAACAGCCTTACGAATCTTTTTCTTTCTTTCTTTCATTTATTTTGAAATTGAATATAATAAACCTCGTGATTTAGACTTGATGTTGCACGACACCTAATAAGACGTATACGGTTGATTTCATATAAACAGACACGATCAAATAAATTGGTTGAGATTTTAAAGATCTTTATTTCAGGAAGTCATGTAGATATATATTCTCCTCAAATGATTACAAGAGCAAAAGATGCAGCAGCTCCATTGTATTAAACCACACATAAAATTACATAACATTGATAATGCAAACACTCTCACATATACAAACACATATAAGACGCATCTCACTTCTGTTTAAAGAACAACAAAAGTCTAGAAACCATTTTTTTGTAAAGTAAAAATGAAGTTTGGAAAGATATTTGTTTCTAAAACTTAGAGAGGTTTGACATTGAACCTGTAGACGAGCTTCTTCTTCTTAGAGGTTGGGTTGTCTACTGTGAGTAAAACCTTGCCAAGCTCGTTCACTTTGAAGCTATGGGTTAACACCGGTTCATCGGATGGTCTCATCTTCCTTGGTTTCTGTATAACCACCGTGTAAGCATCTTTCTCTTCTGGCACAAACTCTGCTTTGTAGCTCACTTCCCATCCAATTACCCTTATCTCCCACACAAGTTCACATTTCTGCGCCAACAACAACTTGTAATCAGACTTCACAGGATTTTACTAAGTATCATGACTCAGTGACCATGGTGTCATCTTTCAACTGTTTATGTTTTACGAACTGGATATTGCGGTAAGGACAGCACTAACCTCGTAGATTATGATCTCAACAGTTTGTTTTGTTCCGGGCTTAACAGTGATCTCTGAAGCTGCATCTTCCAACGAAAAGTCTGGATTGCAGTCACAAGGATCTACACTCAATCCTCCGTATTGTACAGGAACTTGCTCGGGTGAAATATATCTACAGTCCCACATTTTCCAAACAGAGTTAAGAGACTTTATATAATTGGTTAAGAAACATGACAAGTAACAGAATCAATCAGAATATGTCTAAAGTTACTTGAAAAGGGTTTCAGCAGATCGTGAAGGACCAGCAAACACTAGCTTGCTCTTTGATCGTGGTGTCATGAACGGACCAATCACAGTGTAAAACACAAGGTACCACCAAGGAACATTGATAAAAGCCTGAGACATTTTGATCAACAAAAAAATTAAAATATACCAATATTTCAATCATGTCTTAATCTGGACCATGAAGAGGGCCAAGAGACAACATGCTCAGATACCAATGAAAGACAATTAAACAGGATAAACAGAACCATGTTCTGCTCCAGTTTAGATTTTTGAACCAGTTTCAAAAGACAACATGCTCCGATTAACAGAACCATGTTTTGCTCATCATAAGTAGATCATCAGATTCGCAATTCTATAAACTAAAGATCTTAAGGAAACCAATATAGTGTACCTGTTTGAAGACAAACTCAGGGTAATTGTCTTGAAGCAACTCAACAGCTTGCTTAGTGGCGGATCTAAGCTCTTTCTTACCCAATCCAGGTGAATTCTTCATATCATTAACCTGAAAAATAGTAGAAACCCCACCAGAGCTAAAATCTAGCTTCCTAATACTCCTCTCCAAGAACTGAATCCTTGTCCTCAAGAAATGCTTCCTCTTCTCCTCATCCGAAAACGTCTTGTTGTAAAGCTCCTTATTCTGAAACTCACCATAGACATTATAACAAACAGGGTGGCCTTCCCGGTCCTGTCCATGCATAAACACAACCTTGTCTAGATCATCCACAAGATCTTCCTCAACCAGTTCATCGATCTTGAACTCTCTTCTCCACTTAATCGTGTTCTTGAGCATAGCCAACGAGTCTTTCACCTTGAAATCCCTAGCTCTTAGGAACTTCAGCAACACGACGTCGCTCCTGTCGTCTTCGAGCAACGGGATTCCCCAAATCGTGACTTCTTCTGGAGTGTTTGCGGCGGCGTCATCAGGCTTAGGGGTAGAGCCGAATTGGTGATTGTCTAAAGCATCTCGCACAAGACGCTTGAGTTCATCGAGTGACTTCTTCTCGGAATCTGATAGATCGGAAAGTTTGCTGCTTTCTTCTTTGAATGAACCAAGATTCAGTGGAATCATGCTCTTCTTCTCTTCAGCTACTTCCTTACTCGATGCTTCTTCGTCTCCAAGCTCTTTCTTCTCCGTCGACGCAGTTTCCGTCTCCGTCACCGTCGGTGGATGATGCTCTTCCGGCTGAGCCGCCGCGGTTTCTTCTTCCGGCTTGGTGGTGGCTTCCGGCAAATCAGTCACAGTCTCAGTCACACTCTTGGGAGCTTCAGCCTCTCTCGGTAGAGTAGACTCCGGTGCATCCGATGATGTTTGCTTTTCCGGTGTAACGAGAGTGGTGGTAATAGGTTCCTCCGCCATTTTTTCTTACTTGGCCGTCTTGTTCTGTGATTGTTCCTAAATTGGGTAAAACTGAGTTTTTGGGTTTATAGTGGAGACAAAATGTAAAAAAAAAAAGCGTTGAGACGTCCAAGTACAAAAGGGTATATTGGTCACGCCGATTGACCTGGTTTTTTAATGTTGTCGTCAGCGTGCGACATTTACAGTCTGCTGACATTAACTTCGCATAAGGTTTGGGTTTTTTTCTTTTCCGTATTTAAAATTACAGTATTGCTTCGTTTTTTCTTGTTTTACCACTAAATTCCAAATTAGACATCAGGATTTTTGTGTGACAAAGACAAAACAATCGTCAAATTCGAATCCAATGATAATTCACGAATAGTGCCTTTTTAATCTTTTCAGTTTTTGTAGAAGAATCAAAACAGAACAGATCCACGTGACCAAAAAAAAAAAAACTCATATTTTGGATTTTATATATTCGTTTGTTTTTTAATTTGTTTTAACGTCCTGACTCCTCCTTCACTGCTGCACATCACCGCCTCCACGTATCTATCGGACACTGTAAAAATTCTTCTGTTTTGTCTCTGTAAAGTGTAAACAACTCAACATTATTCGAATCCAAAGTACATGTAATAAAACATATAAGTAGACCCAAAAAAAAAAAAAACGGTTGGATGTAAAAGTATGTTAATGATTGGGGCCTTAATGGGTATACTATAATCAATTGAGCCCAATTATAAGCCCAAATTTGTTGTGACAGAGAAAGGAAACATCACGAACAACAACGGAAGAACAATTAAAAAAACCTCTGAGAGCGACCAAATTAATCGGAAGAGGAGATAGGTTTCGTGAAAGACATGGCAGAGAAGAAGGGTGCTGTGCCACCGGACTACGATGTCAATGCTAAATGGGACGCATGTCTCGATCTCACCGTCCGCCGCTTCGTTTACTCTTCCCTCGGCGGCGCATTCGCCGGTCTTCTTTTCTTCAGTTCAGTGTTTCTATATGACTCTTTACTCGATTCTCGTTTTCTGATTACTTTTATCTGTTTGAGAAGTCAGATTCTTAGAATGAATTGAAATATAGGATGATTGCATAGTGTTTAGTTTTTTTTTTTTCTTTCTAATTTGGATCATATGTTGTTTGATTTAGTTTTCCCTTTAGAGTTTTGATTGACATTTATGATTTATCATAATCTAGTTCCTGAATTTGTTTAGGGAGTCCTGTTACAAGATGGGCATCGATAGCTTTGGGTGCTGGAATTGGTATTGGCTCTGCTTACACTGACTGCTCTCGTGCTTTTGACGCACCTTCTTCATCTTCACCCAATTTAGCATCTCCCAAGACTACTCCAAAGACTTCTGTTTCTCAGGTCAGTTGGAATCTCTCTTGGCAAATCAATACATTAGTTTGGTACATAACTTGATACTAGAGAGCACAAATGTTATAGAGAGATTGTCAGAGATTAGAAAGGTTTTGATTGTAGCTGAAGAACCAATATCTTTGTCTATGGTAACGTAAATTGAGAAGGGTCGTTAATTCCACATTCTGAGCATTTTCACAGTGTGGTTTCCTATTTGATAAAAACAAATTCATGACTGGCTGTGTCGTAGTGATTGCTATTGAACTAAGGATTGGTGAATACAACATATAGAGCTTAGGTTTCTACCCTTGAATATAGTTTTGACTTTTGGTGATTACCAGGTTGAAAGCAGTTCTCTCTTGCAACTTCCATTATCAATGCTCACAACTTTGTAATGTGCGATGAGTAACACAAGAAGAACAAAAAGTAGAAGAATAGTTTTAGTTGCAAATGTGGGTTTCTGAATTTTCAGTGTCAATGAGTAAAGATATGTAATAGCGTTTGCCTGATTTATCTTTGAACAATCAATCTTCTTAAGTCCATGAGAAAGTAGGACTCAAGAGTTAATCTCATTTATTTCTTGTTGCAGGGAGCGGACGAGTAGCCAATGACTATAAACTGGAAGCTACTAATGCATGCAAAGATCAGGGTATCAAGAAACAGAGCTTTTGAATCACGCAATGATTGTTGAATTGTTTCCTTAAACCTGCAAGGACAAGTCATTTAAGATAGTGTCGCCTGTAAAAACCTCTTTTTTTTGTGCTATCATTCACTCACGGTGGTTTTAAACTACTACTAAATTCAAAATGTTACATCAAGTCACGCCAACCTCAATAACAGCAAGGTTTGTTACTCTGATTCGGCCGTCCTTTATTATTGCTTATGCCAAAACGATGTCGTTTCTTTCCTGTTGAAAAATTCTCAAACCGGAAATAACCGAACGGGTTCCACATGTGAAGGATAGCGAAGGACCACCAATTAAAAAAGAAATTAGACCGAACCAATCCGAGTTCCGATAGGTGGACCGCCATAGTCACCGACTAAAACAAAAACCTTCGAGCACGTTAATCTTGGAAGACGACGACGAAGAAGAATTAACGGAAGAAGAAACAACTCAGAGAGAGATGAATAGTCCACCGGAGAACGATCTTTGCTCGATATGTCATTCCCACTTCACCGCTCCTTGTCAAGCCAATTGCTCCCATTGGTTCTGCGGTCATCTTTCTCTCTCTCTCTCTCTCTCTCTCTCTCTCTCTCTCTTCGAATCATTCCTTTCTAGTCTTCTTTTTTTGTTCGTGTGTCGTGATTTGGTTCCTCTTGTACCTTTGCTAAGTTGGTTCGATGAGATCGGATGATTTTGACCTGAGGCTTATTTCCATTTTTTGTTATCACTGTTATTGCTCTATCATGATCGTTTGCTTTTGGTTAGAGATTCTATTGCATTTTAGAATCCAACTGTAGAATTTGGAGTCAAGTATGATTATTAAATGTGGGATTTTATCCTTTTTTCTAAAAAAAAATCCAAACTTTTTAACAGTTTTTGTTTACCCTCTCTGCTTTAACAGATTCTTGTATTTGGTTGACTGTGTGGTTTCAGAGTTTTTGGAACTTGATAACAACTATCGAATTTTTCATATTTATAGCTTTTACTTTGTATCTTGTTTTCAATCTCTTTATCTTAGGTCGATTCTGTGTTTTTGTTGACCTTGAGTTTGTGAGGTAAAGACCTTTGCTTAGTGTGTTCTTCATGTTCACATGTCCATTGCAGCTTGGTGAGAGTTATTTTAGGATGTTCTGTCTCTCTAACTCTGTTTCATTTATTTGTTAGGTAATTGCATCATGCTGGTGTGGACGCATGGATCTAGTACATTACAGCCATGTAAATGCCCCTTGTGTCGTCGTCCAATTAGTTTACTGGTTCCTTCAGAGGACACAATCAGAGACCGCAATGACGGTTCAGTTGCTGAGGTCCTTGGTAAGCTTGAAACGTACAACCGACTCTTTGGTGGCCGATCAAGTAGTTTATTTCAGGTATGTGTTTCTATCCCTGTGTTTTAAGTTGCATTTTTTTGGTCTTTGTGAGAAAAAGCAACTTTTTGAGATAGATAAGAATTCAACATGAATCTTGATATGTTTGGTTTAACTTCAAATTTGGTAATATCAAATCTCTTTTAAGGAAATTCTTTTTTCCGTTGGCAGAGGATGCAAGACCTTCCCTTCTTACTACGGAGGTTGTTGCGGGAAATGATGGATCCACAAAGAACGCTTCCACTTGTCATTAGAGCTCGGGTTTATATCGCAGTTAAGTTCGACCTTGATCTCTCTCTGTTTACAAAGCTTAGTCATGTTTAAGGTTATTATTGTTCTATTTGGAGTTAAAACGTTAGGACTAACGCAATGTCTTTGCATTGGATGCAGATGTTTCTCAGTTTTGTTTACATTGTCAGTCCAATAGATCTCATTCCAGAAGGTGATTTGTCCTTCTTATCCTATGAATCGTATCTCTTAGTTTTGTCTCACTGTCTTCTCACTAATCCTTTCTTTAACTAATTTATTTTAGGAGTTTTGGGGATAGTCGGTTTGCTTGATGATCTTCTCATAGCCCTGATTAGTTTCCTCCATGTTGCTGCCCTGTACCGCTCGGTTCTCTATTTCCGTCATGCCGGTTCGTGAACCAAAGAATGTTTTCGACATTGTGTCGCACTTTAGAGATGTACTTACCTTTTCTTCTGTCTTTGATCCTTTCCCTTTACAAATACACAATTGTTCTGTGTGGCCAAGGAAAACAAAAATGTGTGATGATAAGATCACAGCACGAAAAGCTTGGAACCACATATCAATCATCTTCGTACCACTTTCTCTACGCTAGTCTTTTTGACCTTTCCACTCAAGATTGTTAATTATGGTTTGACCATCTGACTGAGAAACTCCGAGATGGGTGATGGTGATGGTCAATATCAATTCTCTCCGACACAAATCAGTAATTGAGTGGTCCTCTTCTATACACCTTGATATGTTTAATCTCAGTAGCTGCTGAAAAGTCTTCACGGGTTTTTACGATCTTCATCTTCAGTTCATATAGAATCGCATAATCTTTTATTGACCAAAACAGACGTTGTGTAGATTTAAGAAGTTGGGTATTTCAAGAATCAACGGATTACTAGTCTGTCCAGAAGTCTCAGCCATGTACAAAATTTGGTTATTTGAAAAGGTCTTTTTGATGGTTTCGACTAAAACTAAAAGTTGATTTCCCATTAGTAGTCTCCAAGGGATGAACCGTTTGTTGTACACACATTTCATTCAAAGAGAGACAACACAATGTGTCATGGATGAGTGGACCATAAGATAGAACCACAATTTATTTTTGTCTCAATACGGTCACACGTGCATAGATAGAGTTGTACAGCTCGTGGATTCTATTCACATGTATACACCCCAAAAACACATACGCGTGATAGACTCATCTTTTTCATGTGCATGTCCCGAAAGTGACGTTGCTCCACTGAACTCACCCGCCTAAATCTTCAAAACGTTTCTCATGTCCCTCGATATAAATGCACTGGTTACCATATTCTCCATATTTTTCTTCTCTTCATCATCCAGCTTCATTAGTATATCACTTGTCACTTTTAAGGCAAACACACATTACAAGAGTTTAATTTGGCCACACTTATAACGGGTATTACACAAAAAGTATATACATACTTAAAATACACAAAAAATTCCCATGAAGAAGTTGCATAATCTTCTTGTCTTGTAAACAATTGTATTCATAATACTCTGACGTGACGTTGTGATTATTATACACAGGTATGGAGGACAGATATGCTCTTCTCATCAGCTTCTCTCTCTCATCCGATCAATATTATTATCATTGTTGGGACGACCCTACTCGACAAATTATAGACACCCACGTTTACATTATTGTAAAATATTTATATTATTAGCTACCCTCATGGCCTACTACTCTCACTATTAGCTTAGCTATTTTTCATACTGAGACCTCATCTATATTCAATGTTATGTCTGATACAATATGATCAACATATAGTTTGGTACACATAGAATGTTTTTACGGAAACACCTTTACTTGATAGAAATTACAATTCTTGATACATTGTTATAGTATGTGTGTAAGATCTTTTTTATAAACTGATAGAGATAAAAGTTTCGTGAACTTTTGTAAAGCATCGATCCTTTTAGTAAACTCAAACGAATATCTAAGATGAGTGAGTATAATAATCTAGTGTTTGTTGTATCAAGCGACATTAACTTTGAATTCTCTAATGTCTCCACCACCAATAGAAGTTTTTTTTTTTTTGTAATATGGAAAGAGACCAGGCAAAGAAAGAAGCCAAGTTAATGAGAAAGGGGAAGGGATACAGCTGGGGAAGTCAACATCCAAAATTCCAAATCAAAGATCTTTCTTTGATTCTCACTCACATAATTTATTAAGCCGTATCTCTCTTCCCACTTAAACCGACACTATACATTATCGCAAGAAAATTAGGTATTTCCTCACGGCTAATAATACTTTGATTATTTAGTAGAAACTAGAAAGTACTGTATATAGCAAAATGGACTATATTTTATTTAAGTTTTCCTACATTTTAATTAATGCAACGTTTTATTTACATGATTCTTGTATTGAAAATCATTTACGTAAAACGAAATTTGTTTTTATCTTGTAATTAAAGATTTCGATCCTTTAATATTTTTAAAACAAGTATACTAGCAGCATTATTGATTTTGGCCAAATAGTATGGGGAGAAATTTTTTAGTGTTTCCTCTACAATTATTGTTTTTGAAATCTTTCTGTCTCTGATTTCTTTCTCGTGCATTGTCTCACTTTAAAATAGTTAATTTTAGATATTTCTTTTGAAAAAAATAAATAAGAAATACTGTAGATTTTGTAAAAAAAATAAAGATTTGTGTATGATAAATAATAGTAGCACTCTAATAAGGGTCATTACCTACTAGGATATGATTGGTAACTTTGATAAGGGGTACTGTAGACTTGAATAAAACAATCAAGTAGTATGAGTGAAAACTAAACAATTTAACAAAAACGTTACGATGGATAATTGATAGCAATATTACCATTTATTTTTGTATTGCTATACTTACTGAAAATAATATCAACAAATATTTTTATATCATTATTTTCACAAACTATTTAATACTTACAACTCTTTTTTGCCATCTAATTACGTATCGTAATCTCTTATTATCATGCATCTTTCATGGAGATCGAGTTATAGTTTATGACTATTTCACCATCTCTTTACCGTTTCGAACAATGTCATAGGCCATTCATTCTTTGTCTTTGATATCAATCAGAAAAGAGAATTAAACCAATGATTAATTTTTCATAAAAAGTGTGTGTGTGAAGATCATTTAGAATTTGATTCGGATCAAAGAGGATAACAATTAGAGAAACGGATGTAGAAAGAAAAGGATATTGATGCGGTTAGACGATTCTTATCATACTTCACTTAAAAGGGTAATCCACGCAACTATACCATTTTTTTCATTTCTTATGTTCTTTTAGTGTTTTTTTTTTTTTTTGCTATGCTATAATAAGAGAATATTAACACTATACATAAGAAACCAAATGGTTCTTTTTTTATCTGCCTAACTATATATTATGGATCAATTCGATTCGTTCTTTATTAAAACTCTAATAAAGTAATAACCTTCATTGGTTTCTCCAAGTTTATTGTTTTACTCATGTGTGTAAGATTAGAGTTTTCTAAGTATATGATTTTTCTTTTTTCACTTCTCTTTTTATCAGGTTATTGTAGCTAGGAACTATATGAATAATATAAATGTTTCACGCATTAAACTTTTTTTTTCTTATAAAACATTCAACTAGCTAGTTGCTACTATTTCGAATAGGATAATTTATCGTTATCACAAAAACAAAAATCAAATAAGAATTTTTTTATCCAGACAACGACGTATCATTATTAATAAATAAAATTTGCATAATGTTTATTACAATGCATCTCCACTTATTACATATCAATCCATCTAGAAACATTAAACACGAAAGATGAATGTGGTTTACATCGATGAAACTATTTGTTTATGTACAATGCTGTTTGAGAGTATTAAAGTTATATATACACCGTTGGATTTTATTTTGTAGTACTAAACTATATAGAATCGGACAATTAAGAAAGATCATCACAACATATGTCAAAATCAGTATTGTATGGTGAGAGAAGAAAGAGAAGAGAAGAGAGTCGATTAGATAAATGATGAAACCTTTTTTGGCTCCAAGTCTCAACGACAACTCTCTCCTCTTGTCTCTTCCTCTCTCTCATCTTCTCTCCCCAATCTTCTAACAAGTCTTCCTTTCTCTCTCTTTCTCTTTCTCTCGTATTTCTTGGAAACATCTTTCTCTGTAATTGTTCTTCTTTTGAGAGAAACTAAAAGTTAAATTTTTATTTACAATTCCTTATTCCACTTATCTACAAATCAGGCACCTCCCTCGAGATCAATACTTTTTGTTGGTACCTAGAGATTTTATTTTCCTAGATAGAGGTCCAAGAAAAATCACACAAAAAGGTCTCAAGAAACCACAAACAAAGTCTTGATTACGACCCTCTTCCCTGTTTTGGATTCTGTATTTTCTGAACCCTCTCTCAAATTTTGCCTTCAACAAAACCTGAGAGTCTGGATTGTTTTCGACTATCTTAGGTACATATCTTCATTTATCTTTTTTTGTTTTATCTTTTTTCCTTTTCTTGGTTTTATGTTTTAAATCTTTAAGCCTCACACTCTTTGTTTATTTGACTCAATCTAAGGTTGTTTTACTACCAAAGGTTTTAAGGTTAGATATTGTGAAAAAAAGTTACTATGAAAATTTCCAAAATTTCAAATGTGTAGGTTAGTTGCTTTACTAATAACATAATTACTTTATATCCACTAAGTTCAAATCATTAATCCTTAATCTATACTCAATTCTCAATGTTGGGTTCTTCTTTTTTCACTGTTCAATACTTTTTAAGTTTCTATTCACTAATCTAGAAAGTGAAAGATCGATCATTTGCTTTACTTTCAAACCAAATAATTAGATTAGCATTTAGCAGAAAAATATTAAAAAAAAAAACAACTTTCTGCACTGTAATTGAGTACCTTTAAAGCTCACTTATGGAGTTTGTGTATGTTTTAGTACTTAAGCAAGCTTAATCTGTCCATTTTTACATATAATCTTGTTGGTGATAAACTCTATATTTGTATATCTTCTTTATATATAACCAATCAGTTTTTTTTTTTACATATAAATGATTTATTTATATGTGCAACAACTTAATTTATTCATTATACAAAATTATGGAAGAATCACATGAACCCATTCTTTTTACAAAATCTTTATTATTGATTTTGCATAATAATTATTATTCATATATGCATGTACGGAATATAATAATATACAAAACACAATTGGCAAATCATAACACAACTACCAACCCCCACATAGACATTTTGATAGTATATATTTTTCCTACTAAATTGTCTTTGTTCTCAATGTTAATAATATTGTTTAAATCTATTTCTAAAGTGAGTCCCTGTGGCCAGAGTGGATGATTAATTGTGACTAATTTTACTCTTTTCACATTAAAAGATTTAAATATGTAGTGGTTTTGTTTGTTGATTTCATTTTTTTTTACATTTTTCTATGTAGGTGGATGCCTAATTACAGTGCATCAACTATGATGAAAGCCTAAGCTGTAAATTGACCCTTTTGCCCTTGGATATTGCCGGAAATGTCGAGAAGACCGGATATCCAACGTGGCACGCTCGCCACCGTGGTCGGCATAATACTCCTCTCATTTTTCCCGCCAAATGTAGAATCGACCGTTGAGAAACAAGCTCTGTTCCGCTTCAAAAACCGCCTCGACGACCCTCACAACGTACTCGAATCATGGAAACCATCCGATTCGCCGTGCGTGTATCGCGGCGTCACATGCGATCTGATCTCGGAAGAAGTCACCGGTATATCTCTAGGGAACGCAAATCTCTCGGGCACTATTTCTCCATCAATCTCAGCTCTCACGAAGCTCTCTACGTTGTCACTTCCATTTAATTCCATCTCCGGGGTGATCCCGCCGGAGATCACCAACTGCACGAACCTTAAAGTCCTCAATCTCACCTCAAACCGACTCTCCGGAACAATCCCAAACCTTTCTCCACTGAAAACCTTAGAGATTCTCGACATCTCCGGGAACTTTCTTACCGGAGAGTTTCAAAGCTGGATTGGGAATATGACTCAGTTGGTTTCTCTCGGTCTTGGCAACAACTACTACGATGATGGTTTGATTCCTGAGAGTCTTGGAGGTTTAAAGAAACTGACTTGGCTCTTCTTAGCTCGCTCCAACTTGACCGGACAGATACCAAACTCAATCTTTAATTTAAATGGTCTAGACACTTTCGACATCGCCAACAACGCAGTTTCCGGTGATTTCCCACTGCAGATCACAAGATTGGTAAATCTCACCAAGATTGAGCTGTTCAACAACAGCTTAACCGGTAAAATCCCCCCGGAGATAAAGAACTTGACTCGTTTACGCGAATTCGATGTTTCTTCGAACCAGTTCAGTGGTTCTTTACCTCGAGAGCTCGGAAATTTGAAGGAGCTCAAAGTTTTCCACTGCCATGAAAACAACTTCACCGGCGAATTCCCTTCTGGTTTTGGCGAACTTCGTCACCTCACTTCTATTTCGATTTATAGAAACAACTTCTCCGGTGAATTTCCGGTTAACATCGGCAAATTCTCGCCGTTGGACACGGTTGACATATCTGAGAACGTGTTTACAGGTCCGTTTCCAAGATTCTTATGCCAAAACAAGAAACTACAATTCTTGCTCGCCTTGCAGAACGATTTCTCCGGCGAGATTCCTAGATCTTACTCAGAGTGCAAATCTCTTTTGAGACTAAGGATTAACAAGAACCGCCTTAGTGGTCCTGTTTTTGAAGGCTTTTGGGCTCTACCACTTGCTAAGATGGTTGATCTCAGCGATAACGAACTCACCGGAGAGATTTCTCCGGTGATTGGACATTCAACGGAACTGAGCCAGCTCATTTTGCAGAACAACAGATTTGTCGGAAAGATTCCTCCTGAACTAGGTAAACTGACCAAAATAGAGAGGATTTATCTGAGCAACAACAACTTTTCCGGGGACATTCCGACACAAGTGGGAGGTTTGAAAGAGTTGTCATCTCTGCATCTTGAAAACAATTCATTAACAGGATCTATCCCTCTTGGATTGACAAGTTGTGTCAAACTTGTTGATCTGAATCTTGCTAAGAACTTCTTGACAGGAGAAATACCAAATAGTTTATCTCAGATTGCTTCTTTAAACTCGTTGGACTTCTCAGAGAACAGGCTGACGGGTGAGATTCCGGCGAGTCTTGTGAAGTTGAAGCTCAGTTTCATAGATTTTTCTAAAAATCATCTCTCAGGTAGAATACCACCTGATCTTTTAGTGGTGGGAGGATCCACCGCGTTTGCAAGTAACGAGAAGCTTTGTGTTGATAGCCAAAACGCCAGAACAAGTCAGAATTTGGGGCTGAGCGTTTGCAGTGGCTACCAACATGTGCGGAGGAATGGTTCACTCGACGGCACACTCTTGTTCTTGGCTCTTGCAATTGTTGTGGTGGTGCTTGTGACTGGTTTGTTTGCGTTGCGTTATAGAGTTGTGAAGATACGCGAGCTTGATTCAGAAAACGGTGATATTAATAAGGGCGATGCGAAATGGAAAATCGCTTCTTTCCATCAAATGGAGCTGGATGCTGAGGAGATATGTAGGTTGGATGAAGATAATGTGATCGGAGCTGGAAGCGCGGGAAAAGTGTACCGTGTTGATTTGAAAAAGGGTGGCGGGACAGTGGCGGTTAAGTGGTTGAAGAAAAGAGGAGAAGAAGCAGTTGATGGAACAGAGGTCTCTGTTGCGGAAATGGAGATTCTTGGGAAGATTAGACACAGAAACGTCCTGAAGCTCTACGCTTGTCTAGTCGGAAGAGGCTCTAGCTATTTGGTGTTTGAGTTCATGGAGAATGGGAACTTGTACAATGCACTTCGCCAGACTATCAAAGGTGGATTACCAGAATTGGATTGGTACAAGAGGTAATCTTTGTTCTCTACTCTCAACAAGTATGGATCCAAGATTACAAGAAAGAAAAGATAAATAATTATTTTGCCCCCTTTTGTCAATAAACAGATATAAGATTGCGGTGGGGGCGGCTAAAGGAATCACCTATTTGCATCATGATTGTTCTCCTCCAATCATTCACAGAGATATAAAGTCAAGCAACATTTTGCTTGATGGAGATTACGAGTCGAAGATCGCAGACTTTGGAGTTGCCAAAGTTGCAGACAAAGGATATGAATGGAGTTGTGTTGCTGGAACTCATGGCTATATGGCTCCTGGTGAGTTTTGCCTTTTCTTCAACTTAACCATCGATCCTAGATTCAGCTCTGCCTCACATGATGAAAACTGAAACTGATTCTTTATTTGGTTGTAATTGTGATGTGATGACTGTAGAGCTGGCTTACTCCTTCAAGGCGACGGAGAAGAGTGACGTGTACAGCTTTGGCGTGGTTCTTCTAGAGCTAGTTACCGGTCTTCGGCCGATGGAAGATAAGTTTGGAGAGGGCAAAGACATTGTTGACTATGTCTACTCTCAGATTCAACAAGATAGGAGGAACCTCCAAAACGTCTTGGACAAGCAAGTTTTGTCGTCTTACGTAGAAGAAAGCATGATTAGAGTTCTGAAGATGGGTCTTCTCTGCACTACAAAGCTCCCAAATCTCAGACCGAGCATGAGAGAAGTCGTGAGAAAGCTTGACGACGCTGATCCTTGCGTTTCCAATTCTCTGGACAGAACCGGGAAGATTACGGTATAGGTTAGTTAATTTAGTTATCATAGACGGGTTAAGTTTGTTACCCGTTTTGGTTCAGACTTCAGAGTCGACACAAGAGTATTGGTTTGTTCAAAACTCGAGTGGAAAACACAAGTCACTAGTTTTTCATATCTATATATTTGCAGTGAAAAGGCAAAGAGTTATCATAAAGAGATTTGGATTTAAGTTCTTCAGTAAACATAATAAACTATATAATGAATTCACACTACAACGAAATGTAATCCCATCAGTTGACGATTTCGATTCCGGTGAGAGGAAGTCCTTCATGCAACTGAAGAGCGAGGTCTCCCACAATCTACATTTTACAACACTAAAGAGTTTAGAATCCATATCCAACCAAAGGCAGATGACATATAAAAAGAGTGGATCATCCTCGGATATTGTACCTTGGCCATGGACCTATATGAATATTCGGTAACCCCAGCGACGTGAGGGGTTATAATAACGTTTTTAAACTTCAAAATCGGATCATTTGAATCAAATGGCTCGGACCATGCCACGTCAATACCGAGGCCTCCTAGATGACCAGACTCCAGATTCTGGTAAGCTGATTCATAGTTAATCAGACCACCTCGGGAAATATTTACAAGTAAAGCACCCTGAAACAACAAAAGAGATATCAACAGTCATCAGTCATCACAATCTAATCCAACTCGTTTCTTTTCCTATATGAATGGCCCCAAGTAATCACCTTTTTCATTGAGCTTATGAACTTCTTGTTCACGATCTCCGCCTGAGAGTTATAAGATCATCATGTATATACAGCTAAATTATCTAATAATTTGCAGATGGGTTTTCACCACCAAGAAAAATTCATGCATATATCAATGTGCTTGATAAGTTTCTAATGAAGAGAAGTGGAAACTTACTGTTTCTTTGTTGAGCCTCAAACAAACAACAACTATATCAGCTTTTCCCGCGAATGTGTAAATGTCTTCATGGCTACCTCTCTCATCAAGAAGACTGGCTGAAGATAAAAGTTAACAAATTACTAGACATCATGATGGGTTTGTCAAGGCAAACAGAGGAGTTAACAGAGAGCCCATACAGTCCAAGTCGGTGATAGAAGAAGGCCAGCTTCTTTTTGTGGCTACAACTCTCGACCCAAATGGCTGCAACCGTTTAGCCAACTCTATTCCAATGTTTCCATATCCTAAGATAAAAACCTGTATAATAAAAAGAAAGAAGAAAACCTTTTTAAGGGCTACACACTAAAGATGTCAAATGCAGATTACGTACTGAGACTCACAGTTTTACCGAGAAGCGTGCCACCTGTTGGTTCTCCAAGTCGTCTGCTTCTCAGAGATATTTGCATTTCGTTCTGCAATAAATTAACATAGAATTATAACTAGAAAGCAATATCAGAACTAGCACTTGAGGAACTAAGCGATATACTAATGGAACCATACAGAGGCAAATCAAATAAATAAGCCACCTGTTTCTTCAGAAGGCCCAGCATTAGATATATAGCCATTTCAGAACAAGATGCTGCATTTCCATTACCCTCACTGGGAATTCTGGCGACCTTAATCCCATTTTTAGTTGCAGCATCAATATCAACACCTGCAGAAGTATATAAACAGGAGATAAAATTAGATAAACTACAGCTTTCTTTTGGTCCAATCTACGAGGTATATGCTTAATCATGTATTAATTCATAAGAAAGCAGAGACAGATACCATCAAGACCAACACCATACTGCATAATAAGCTTCATCTTGCTGGCACGAGATATAACATTCGAATCCATTTGCATCGTCATTGACACACATATATGATAGTTCTTTATAACCTCAGGGACATCACGGTAATGGACAACATCGACCTACATGAAAAACCAAACCATAAAAAAAATAAACAACAACCATCTCAAAATTAGAATTTTTACTACAATTGAAAACTAGAAACACCAACACAGATTCTAAACATGGTCCTGCAGAACTTGTTATAAGAAAGTTTGAAGTAAAGAGCTTGATTTACATAGTTTAAAACCAAATCTCAAACACTAGCACCTACACAAACATTAAACTAGTCTAGGAGACTAAAGTTTTCAACTTTACTTATTGGTAGAACTTAGAAGAGATCAAAATAGTTAATACCTGAATAAAAGGATAAGCTTGCAAGTATTCTCTGGTGAAATTGTAGGAATCAGGAAAATACGGACCGCAAAATAGAACATGAGTTACATGCATGTCATTTGTCTCAACAATTCTCTCAGGCTTAATAACCTTACTTTGCCTAACCAACATCACAAAACATCCAAATTGAGATTTGACTGAGACACTCGACTTGGTATAATACAAAAGACAAGCTCGGGGGATATAATAGATCTACAACAAGTCAACAAATTCATAGAGAAGCCGTAAAGTTCTTTTAAGGAAAAGGGCGAATTTTTGATTCACCTGGAGATGGAACGAGCCAAGAAAGAGTAGGGTAAAGAAGCGACGTTTGAGATTCTGTTTCGGAACGTAGCTTTGGCGATTTGGAACATTATCTCGGCACTCTGATCACAAGATTTGCAACTGTTTCATTAGTTTCTAGACTTTCAATAATTTCCATATGTTTCCCATATAAATAGTTTATTACAATTTAACCCAACACTTTATAAATTATCTTACTCAACCCTATAGGGAAAAAAACACAGAATTGGACCTCGTATGTGTTCAATTGTTACGTAACGTTTTTTAAATTTGAAAACGAAGAATGCAGAAATAAAAGGGGAAAAATTTATGTACAGAGACTTTCTCAATAACCAAATTACATAGTATCTGACGGAGTAGCATGGCCTGAGCGAAGGTGATCCGACGAACGTTCGCCGACGTTGTTGTTGTCTTTTCCAACAAACAACCGATCAAACGGTGATTTCATAGCTAGAAGCAAATTCTTGGGTGAACCAGCATGCACCTGATCAACACTGCCACCTGGAGACGTGATATTGATCGAACCTGTCCGGTACGGAGGAGTTATCGAGAATGGTCTACGGTCTAACCGGCCATCTTGGTCGAACCGTTCGTAGAAATAGTTTCTCCCACTCCCTAAGCTTCCGGTTCTGTATCCTCTCGCTGAACTCATCACCTGAGGTAACGCCACGTGGCCTTTTGAAAGGCTTGGATTCACTAGTTTATTGTGTATGTCTTGCGGTAATTTCAACGTGAACCGGTCAAGATTCTCTGAACGTTGACCCGTCCAATCAGAATTGGTGAAAATTCCGGCTAAATTCCATCCGGTAGACATAGACCTACGTGGCATACTCTGGTTACAAGTCAACGCCACCGAGTCAATCAACCGCGCGTCAGGTGAACCCAAAACTCTAATTCGATCCCCGGTCGGATCCGAACCGAGAGAGTCGTTGGTTAAACCGGGTATCTGAATTATGGATTCCCCCGGTACAGGGACGAGATCAGCGCGGCAGAGAGGACACGTAGCGTGAGAGCGGAGCCAAGCGTCAATGCAACCGGGATGGAACACGTGGCAGCATTTAGGGATCAAACGCAGCGTTTCAGCCTCTTCGAACTCGTTTAAGCAGACAGGACACTCGAGCGCTTCTTTACCGATCCTTAGCGTCTTCACGGTTGAGTATCGGAAAGTAGGAAACGTCTCGATGACCGACGCGTCTAGCCCACGCGCCGGTTGACGGTTCAGGGTAAGCCAGTTCCCGGCGGCTTCTTCCGTGCTTCCGTAGTCCATCCCCATGACTCGCTCGAGACATCTACGGATGTAGACGGAAAAGAACCCAAGAAAGAAGAAGATGCTGACGAGGACTATCATGAGTATGGCCATGGTTGGGTCAAACCGAGAGCTACCTCCGGGAACGTCTGAATCGCCGTGAGTGGCTTGACCAGCGGCGATCTGACATCCGCCGAGGTTGGAGAAGAGTAGCAGAAAGAGGAGTAGCGATAGGATAGAACCATGATCATGACCACCGATGAATGAACGGTTGAGATTAATTATACCTTTCGTGTTCATGAAGACCAAACTTTCGTCGGTTTGGCTCTCCAGTCCATGCAATGAAAAACAACAATACTAATTTGGTGTGATCAACGTAGATTGGTATGAACTGATCAGAACTTGAGGAACATCAAGAGACAATACTAATTTGAGGTTGCTCAATGGTTGGTAGGTTGACTTTGAAGTTTCAACCATGGCACTATTTAAAAGATGTTGCATCATAACTAATGAATATGTTTTTGTTTTTGTTTTCTTATGTTGACAGCGTAACTAATGAATATTGTAGATACAACATATTTGTTTAAAATATATGATGTGATTGTGATGTTTCCGTCAAGAAGTTGGGATGTATCTATCAATGAGACCAACCATTTAGTGCCAATATCGCCAAGAGATTTGTTGTTAAATTAAGTGATGCTTCTATAACTGTTTAGTTTCTTCGTACGTAATTTTGCTGTTCCTTTCTATCTTCCAAAATGTTTTAGCTTATCTCACTATAAAGTCAATGCCTTTTAATTTTTTTCACATTTAATATCTTAAAACGAACAATATTAGTGAATCAGCTCGATATATGGAACTTTTGTTTTTAAAAACATAATATCTTTTAGAGAGATTTTGATGCATCATATAGTCATATAGAACCATCATGGTAACCTCTAGCTAGATTATAAAACAGTGTGGTGTGTGAGATGGTGGCTATTTGGTCAAATAAGGTTTTAGAAATTGTGTATGTCTGGCAGAGGATTTTGTATTTTGCACTATTATATGGGTTTATAACGCAATCACGCATGAAAGTTTCACGTTGACGAACAAAATAAATTTTAATACGTGAAAGTGATCACTAATTTTGTCTTTGCATCGTGCTTCGTCCCATGTCGTCATCACGTCGTTTTCTAATTATAGGTTATATTCTTATTTAGTGAATAAGTCTATATTGGTTGCATCCTATATCTCTTGTTGATTATCTATAAAAAAAAAAAAGTAAAGGTTTCAAGAGCCTCTATTTGATTTTGATCATCCTCCTATGAGATAATGATTGGATATGGGATGTTAGTGACTTCGACGACGGGATAAAATCATATTTTAACACATTATATAATTAAATATCTTAAGTATAAAATGAACATATAAGTCTGATGACCAAAACAATGAATATAGTTTTATATATGTTTTTATCGGATCACTTAATTAAGTATTTTATACCGACCGCAATGTCTTTGTCCAATATTTCTTCAACAAAATTGTATAATTTTATGCGAAAATGATATTTCGTTGAATACGTTATAGATTATGATCTTTTTCTTTACCAACAATGTTTCATTGTTTTGTATTGTGTGGTCATACTAGCTCGAAGCGAAAGTGTAGCAAAAAGTGTCCCGTTACACTGTTCCAGATTATATACAAAAAGATAGGAATTAATAGTCGAGGCCCAATTAATTGTAAGTTCTTTGTACCAGTCGAGGCCCATTACTACTTAGCCGCGAGCCTCGCATAGCGACTTGCAACCACATTCACAGTGAGCCGCGCCTCACATAGCGTATTGCAATTACGTTCAGATGGATTAATGACTGATGTATATGGTATATATGTGACACAGAGAAGAAAGACACACACGTATTTTACCAATACATTTTTTGCTTTACTGATTCACTCACTTTTAAATAAGAAAGTGTAGTAGAAGTACAGAACCATGGCTATGAAGCCTATGCTGTTGTTGTTCAGCAAAGACACACAAACCCTACAAATCTATTTGTTTGCATGCAGTCTTGTAGATGTCCTGTTTCTATGGGAAAAGTATATAATACAAATTTAAAATGATATTTTTTTCTCGCTTTACAGCTACCTAAACTCTCATGCTATATAACCATGATCTGTACTATTTGTATATCATATAATTTTTTAGAATAAGACTCCTATATTTCCTAGCTAAACTAAGCTTCTATAATATTGAACGGGACGAAGATCATTTAGTCCACCATCATATCATTGGACTCCATGGATTTATTATAGCATGTGAGGTGAGGTAAAGACTCGTTTCATTTGAGCCCAAAAACACGTACTTTTTTTGTTTACTATATATTGAACATATATGAAACATCCATCGAGACAGCTAAGCAAGCTTATATATATAGTATTTTATAGAACTAATGAAAATTTCTTACTGGTCAATTCTTACTAATTTCTTAAAAATACGATGATAGATAACTATGAAGAAAAAAGAAAAAAAAAAAAGATAACTATGAAGTAATATCCATTTGGCTCTCGAATTTTCTAAGGAAATACTTGTGAACATTTTACTTATGTTGATGGTTGTTCACTACAAGCAAGCAACTGTTTTATCTTTACGTATAATCGATAATATAATTCTTGTTGTTTTCCTTTTGTTTTGAGCTTAAAAAGGGATAAATTGTGGAATTGCGAAAATGAATTTTGTTGTATCTTAAATTACAAAACAAGATACCAAATATAGAAATATAGAATGTGGTTTTCTAAAATCTCGAAATTAAAAACAAACACTCTTAGTACGTATGGGCCACAGAAAAATTAGATTATTAACCCGATGATTCACATATCTATCGCAATCTAATTTCAAGACAAAAAATATATATAATAATTAAGTACTTAAGAATATAATGAACACATGCTTCGGAACAAGTACAGTCCTCGAGTTAGAATTTCAGGTAGCGGGGTTTCCGCTTAAACCACATGCTAATCTCAGAGATTTGTTTTTTAAAAATGTAGATTAGGGTGTAAATTTGTTGCCAGGATTGCTTAGTTGTAAGCTAATTTATGTTTAAGAAAAAGAAAAAATATATATGAATTGATAGGTCATTGGTGTGTATATACGAAATTTTCACGTAAGAAGTCATTTTTTAAAATTGGTCAAAACCTATCTGACTAGTGTAAAACTTGACTTTAGCATAGAATTTCACTTTTTTACAAAATACCTTTTTAAAAAGATTTTCACCCTAATATTTGCAAAGATAATACCTTATATAATATACCTTTTCTGTAAATCTTAGGATAAAAACCCTCTAAAATCCTTTGCATTAAAGATGGTCTAAGACCATTTCCAAAAAAAAGTATTTAACTAAATATTTAATTTTTAGAATCTATATATATAAAGTTAACTTTTACTCTCTTCTCCTTAAGCCACATCATCATCCACCTCATTTTATTATTTAATTTTTAAAATTAATTATACTATTTTATCATTTAATTTTAATATTTAAACCTATGTAAATAAGTTTTTCCAAAATGAATATGAAAGGTCTTTTTATATTATACATTATAAAACTAAAAAGATAATTGATTAAGAGTTAAAAAAACTTACTAATTATCGAGTATACTAACAAATATATAAATAATAGATTATAGTTTTTAGTGAATGTTTAAAATATATATATGATTATATTTACACAATGTAAACCTAAATATAATGAGATTTAACGGGAATAAAACAAAAAGTAAGAAATTTTGAAAATATAAATCTATCTAATTTATGTCTCAAAACATTTTCTAATATAAGTGAGATATGTCGGAGATTCTTATTTTTTATAAACATATAAAAAGGTAAAAATAAAAATAATATTTCTTTATAAGTTTCTAATATGAATTTAACTATTTGTTTCCAATACAACACATATGTTAAACTAATAAACAAAATAAAAAATTAACTATATTTCATAAAACTGAAAATTAAAATAAAACATTATTAAATGAAATAAACTAAATATAAAGTAAATTATACTAATATGTTAAATTTAAAATTGTTCCATATGAAAAAACAAAAAAAATATATAAAACATAAAATCAGAAAAATATATAATAGTATATAAATGATCATTACGAGATATAAAGTACGACAAATCCAAAAAAGGAAACCGTAAAACAAAAAATAATAAATTATGACAATATATAAAGAGATAATGTAAACAATTAAAAATACAAAAATTCGCCCGAAACCCACAAATCATGTTCAAATTTCATGCCAACATATAAAAGGGCCCAAAATACTAACATCTAGATCTATATTTGGTAAAAACCCTAATAGCACACGTTTCTCAATGATTATCAACCGCACTTTCATTTACGCCCACACTTCGACTTATACTATACACACTTAATTTTTCAACGACAAATGAAACTAAAACTCAATAGTTTTTCTATACAAACACAATTTAAGTAATAAAAAAGTAAAGTATGGTATAGTGAAAAAATAATTAGTAAATAAAATACGAACCAATTACTCATAAACAATATAATAAACTCGCGCGCTACGCAACCGACTAGTTATTTATAAAGTCCACCATTGAAGCAACATTTTTTAGAATTCAACAAAATTTTATTAATCATTAAATTTAATAAAAATTTGTTTGACACTCTAAATTAAGCATCTATCATTAGAGATGCTCTAAGACCGGAAAAAAAAAGTATAGTCAGACTCAATACATAAATAATTGTAAACATATGCGTGCCATAATCCGACGAAGATATGGCCAGGGCATCAAGAATCATGCATATGTACGAAAACGTATTAAATTAAAACAATACGTTAATTATATATGTATTTCACTAATAAGGACATGATAAAAATGGTAGAAGAGCGTGCATCTAACTAAATACGACAAACTGAAAACTTGCGACGTGTTATTTGAGTATGTGCCTGAACAAATTAAAGAATTTACAAAGATCGCTATTACCCTAGATTAAATCATAATTTAATTCAAGTTGGATAGGAATCTGATATAAAAAAAAATTGCATAAATAAATAAAGTAATCTCCATATATATACAAAAATGATTACATTCTCCAAGAAAAAACCTCTTCGTTCTTAGTAAAAAAAAACAAGTGCATGGAAATTGTGTATAATTAGTATTATAATCGCGGAACTATCAGAAACCCCAACCAAAAAAAACCGTATGGAATGTCTTGCTGGAAACTAGAGTCATTATCGAAAAAATTAAATTTATCGAGCCGATTGAAAACGATATACACATTATTTTGTGTAATGTATTCACGCTGTCGGATGACGAAGATTTACATATGTATTGAAACAACAGGTTTTGGTACTATGGTAACTTGTATGTCTTCTTGTTTTGCCGTATATGATATTTTCAGGATTACAAAATAGTCTTTTCCAATTAAAATTTAAATTCAATATGGTCAAATTAATCAAGTTTTTCTTCATGCATGCTTTATAGTACTTTATACTTATATACAGAAAAAAGGCAAAAACCGTTAATCTTAATTAACTACTAGTGATAACTTAAACAGTTTGCTAA